GATTGAGTTCGATTGAGTTCGGCAATCGAACGAAATCGAACTCACCGAAAAGAAAAAAAATCAATCGAACCCAATCGAACGTTCGATTTTCGAACTCGTGATTTATGTAAAACAGACGTTGAAAATCCATTACCAGATCTTAGAAGCTCGAGCTACTTCAGCCCTGAGTGTAGCGCACGTGTTTTTCGTAAACGAAGAAATTCCGCAGAAATGGCTTCAGATGCGTTGTGGATCGTAAGCTTCAAATGTATAGTCAAAGGCTACTAGGAATGCCGCTTTGATGTCAAGGATGGCGAAGTTTTCAGGGTTTTAAAGAAAATAGGCGAGAAAGGCCGTGCCTTAATTCCGCATTGCAAACGAGCGCGGACAACTGAGGTCACCTTCAACGTGAACTGGTTGCTTCCCTGTGGCCTGTAAATGCTTCGATAACTTGGTAAGTGAAGATGTTTGTAAGGGATTCGCGAATATATTAATTTGCCTCAAGTAGTTAATATTGTGCAACCCTTATGAAAAACAGGGGAAGCAAAACTTATACATACTTTTCACCTTTAGTAGGGTCTGTGGGCCACCATTTGATGATCCTAAAGGTCGCTGGCAAAGAGGAGGTGGTATCAATGTCCCAATTATCCTAAAGTTTTCAACACGGCGAGCCGAAGCATTGAATGTATACTGTAAAGGAACTCGTGAATAAATAGTAAAAAAAGCGCAAGAAAAACTTGCTTTGACGGGCTTGCTTTGGGCTTGCTTTGTATAGGTTCACCAAACCCAATCGAACGAAATCCATTTAATTGTGTTCGATTGAGAACGGTTTCCGAACACAATCGAACACAATCAGACGGATTGAGTTCGATTGAGTTCGATTTGTTCGATTGAACTCGATTTGTTCGGAAATCGAACTCACTGAAAGTGTGGTGTTCGATTTCGTTCGATTGCCGAACTCAATCGAACTCAATCCACGGATTGAGTTCGATTGAGTTCGATTGAGTTCGATTTTCGAACGTTCGATTTACTATGCCGGGGAGGAAATGATGGAGAAGCAGATTATGAAACCCACGTTGATCAGCAGAACTGCCATTATTACGCAATATCTACGATTATCCTGATGCCTTATTGGAAATGAACAATTTGTTCAAGCTAAGATTACAACAAAATATTTTAATTTTTTTTATTATTTACAAATCTAATAAAATATCTACATTTTGTGCGTCGCACTCTGTCAACACACACACACAAAAAAAAACGTTCCCGACAGGATTCGAACCTGTAAGTCTCGAGTCCCACCTGGCTGGCTGGGCTCATCGGCCGAAAGCGAGAAATTCTTGCCAGTACCGGCGATGGCCACCGAACCACCGCTTTCCCGGCCATTTTTTTGATGACTTTTTAAACTTTTTAAAACGAAATGGGCGTGACGTCAATAGGAGGTCACACACGTCCCGCTTGTAAAATAAGGAATGACGTCAGAATAAAATGAGTTGAAAAGTGACATTTGGTGTGCTATTACATGAACGGGGAATGTTGGGGAACTTTTCGTGATGTCTTACATGACGTATCACTTGGTATGACGCAACTTTTCTGGGGTAATTAAATCCAGCCTTCTGATTGGTCGAGAGCGATCACGTGTTTGAAATACGCGATTCTGATTGGCTGTGTGACAAGGTAGCCAGTATTACTACTAATCTTCATCTAAAGTAGCCCTTTACATCCTCATAGGAGCGAATCAGGTAGGAGTACGTTACCCTATGAGCAAACCATAAACGGCCTACAAATAAAGATAAGCCTACAAACTGATATATCAATCTACAAATAATAATAAAAAAAAAACAAGAAATCGGGCATGAAAATCGGCGACGAATTTGTACAAATGTGTATAACGTTTAATCCAAAAATTCTTGGAATCACGTAGTGCTGGTTTTGGTATAATGCCTTTGAAGGAATCAAACTTATAGCTCCACGAGTTCCAAAATTTTCAATCATGCTCCAACAGTCTGTTGGAAAACTTACCACACTGTCCCGAGATAGCCTGGATAGTAAGCTTTTCCGCGCTAGTTTGTCAAAAAAAATTGGAAAAAGAGAAAAAAAGATCGCACCCACTTGTTAGGCAGGCTAGGCCGGAGAGGAATAGGCTCTCTGTGTGTCGTTTACCTAAGCTTACCTTGATAGGTGCATTCCATGCACTCGCGCATGTACTAGGAAGCCACGACGAATCACCGGTAAATTGAGAGTTATATTTCATTTAAATGGTGTGACAGTTAAAGATTCCTTGGTCTGATACTTTCTGCCCCTTAGTAAGTTCTTTTTAGTTGCGCAACTACCTGGCATTGAAGTTCATTACAACATGATTTCCATCTTTCTTGCTTCTACATAAGTGATCCTTGCTTCATACAGTTATACCGTTCATTATGTTTTTTTTTTTTTCAGAATGGCAGCAGTCCTTTAGGATTGTCGCGTGGACGAGCGCACAAGGCACTCAAGACCCTTAAGAGAAGACGGTCTCCCTCCAGTTCCCTTCTCGGGTAGTTCGCTTTCTCCTGAGTCCAGCTAAGCGTCCGCGTACATTCTACGATCTGTTTCTTCTCTACTGCTAATCTAGGATGAAAAGAATAATGGCCACATTGCCATGCTACAGTAGCATCTATAATTCACATTTTGACAATGTTGTTTTGATTAGCATTTATGTGACACTCAAAATCAGAAGTTGCCGCCTGCGAACAAAGACTACACCCGAGACTAATGTAAGGTGTATAATAACCTTGAAAAGGTGGGAATTCCGAAGCTTCGAAGTTTTTCCGATTTGAAGGGTGTGCGATCGACTTTTATCTGAGCATTACCTTGTAAACGTCTTGTGCATAATCCTTCATTTTGATGAAATTTTGAATTTTGAGAACCACAATATCTACTTTAAATATTACAGGTAAACGATATTAATTGCAGTTAGTATATTGCAATTATAATTACGATATTTTATATGAACGTTTTTGATAGTCCTGTCAGAGATATGTCTTGTAAACTGAATAAAAAATAAGAATGGTCACATTCTTTGAGTGGCCGTTCTGTGGTCATTGTACAATTAAACGAGGAACTCAAAATGGCTTCTTCTATTTGTAACTAAACTGTGTGTTCACTGTAAAAACGACCAAATGGCGCAAGGATATCTAAACCTTCTGGACAAAAGCCTTTCTTCTCAGATTGTAATTCAATAGTATCTCCATCGAAAAAGTTACAAGGTAAGGATTTCTTAATCTAAAGCCAAAGAACAAAACACTTGTCTTCTGCGTAGCCGTTTTACCCTTGGAGAGGAGCGCTACATCACGAGACCAGAACGGCCGGCTGCAAAGGTGACAAGGAAAACATTATCTGGGTGAAAGGTTGTTTCAGTCGACTGGACGTCAAAAAAATGTGTGCATCGTAGAATCGACCTCATAAAAAAGATTTCCACATCTGACAAAAGGCGCCCTTCTTTAGATAGTTCGCTGTATCTTTATTGTGAATCCAAGAAAGTCTTGGATTCTGGATCCACGCCGTGATTCTGGATTTCTTGAGCTGTATTCCAGATTCCAAAGCCAGGATTCCGGATTCCAGAAGCAAAGATTTCCTAGATTTCATATGCAGAAAATTCCCGGATCCGGATCCGGGCAAAAAGTCGCAAAAACTACATTTGATGATATCAATATCACTTCCCATCTCTTCTTCTGTTCGTAGTTGCACCGTGACCTTATCGTAAAAGCGACAAAATACGATTATTTGCAAGGTAAAGATCTCTAAATTTGATCGTAGAAACGACATTTGACGATAGAAATACCACTTCAAAACTCTTCTTCCGCCCGTAGTTGCACCGTGCCTTTGTCGTAAAATGACAAATCACGATTTCTTTACGATTTTTTTTATGGTAAAAATCTCTGAATGTGATCGTGAAAACGACATTTCACGATAAAAATACGAGTTCAACTCTCTTCTTCTGCTCGTAGTTGTACCGTACCTTTATCGTAAAAGCGACACAATACGACTTTTTGAAAACTTACTTTACGACATGAATACGATTAATTTAAGTTAATTTAGGATGTAAATACGATCACTTTACGACGCAAATAAGGTCCCAATACGATTTAAAATACGATCCTTTTACTATCAAAATACGATCTAGAGGTCAGTAGTGGATCAAAATATCAGCTGGGGCTACTTTTTCCATAGAGGGAGTGGAATCGTATGATGATTGTCTATCATGTTGTAAAAAAAGGGAAAATATCAACAATTTCTAATTATATATTTGTATTTTATGTCAGTAGTATAATAAACTGGTGGTTTCGTGAGGTGTATATCTGTCTGATTTCGTTAAAACGTGGCCACTAGGTTTTCGCCTCGCGCCAGGCACAGCCTAGTTCCAGGCCAGCCCGGTGCCCAAAAAATAAGGGGGCGTGCCATCTGCTTGGTGGGTACAGCTGGATAGCCCAGGGACTGCCTTAACAGTGGGTGGGTGGTTCAGGCCTGGGGGGAAAAAACTAGTGGGGTAGGGAGGGGGCTATTTTGACTCAACCCTTTCAGTAAGCAGCAGTGTTCACTAGAGGCTCTGACTGGTAAGTACCTTGTTCTTACTTTGCCCTAGCTAGCTGAATCAGGCCTCTGCTGAGAATGATTATCATGATAATTACAGAGCTCAGTGGGAGGTCATTCCCACTTCAAATTCAGTGTCCATCACTGTATATTTATCAAACTTCATTGCGTACTCCTATTTTCAAAATATCAGTCTCTTTCTCTGACTCACTGCCCTTGAAGTGAAGTGTGCATAATAATGCATTCCCTCACCATCCATTTGCTTATTTCCTTATTTCTGGTTATTAGCTGGGAGCTTCTGATAAGTCGCACTCCCGATATCTCAAACATTTTTGGATTTTCCTTTGTTCAAGTTATTGGGAGTCTACTGTAATTTTTATGAATTTGGCTAGGGGTCACCTTGTTAGTGGTCCTTTATGAAACCCTGAAGATTTATTTGTTTGTTGTTTCTTTGTTACAGACTCAACACAATAGCTAGAGATAATCTGTGTAAAAATCTAGCCAGAAGACACACCAGACTGTCAGCAGCTGTCAGTAAGTTTATACATTTTTTACATGTGTGAGTTCATCATATGACATTTCAAAGAAACATACCAGAAGTTCTTAGTCATAGCCATTATTATAATCACACATGATGTGGACAGGATGCAGTGGTGCAGTTCCATATAATTCCCCAACATCTACGTCTTCCTCATATTCAAAACATTTCCCATCAGCAATAAATGAGCTGAAATCCTTCTTCAGCAATAAAAGTCAGAGAAGTTTGTTTTTGAAGCAGGTTTACCCTTAAGCATTGATGATAACAAGGTACTTCATTGCTGTGATGCGCCTGCAAACTAGTTTTACTCTGATCGGATTTTCATTATCAAGATTATTGGCATTTTAGTGTATGACAATTGTAATATATTAATAAGCAACCTTTTAGAAAATGTGTACGACAAAATTAATAATTTTCTGGTAAAGCTTAAAGGCATTTTGTTTTTTCGTTTAGATGGCTCATCACTGAATAATGTGCCTTTAATGTTGCATGACAAAGTTTATTTGCTCTTGATCTCAAAGTCCAGTCAACTGCTTTCAGAGCCTCGTTCCTTATTCCGTAAATTATTATTTTATGGGGGAACATTATGGCTTGGAACAAGCTTTCTAATAATATTGAGAATCATCAGAAGCGAAGGGAACTCACAATAATTGTGAGTCCCCTTTGCTTCTTATTGGTATAAGCGAAAGTGCAAAAGAAAGAGGTACTATTCCCCACCTCAATCATCTGGACAGATAGCTTGTGTGATCTTGTGGTTTCCAAATGGAGAGCTTTATTTCTGCCCAGGGGACGTTGGGGCTACCAAACAGCCCGCTGTTCACCTTGCCAAAGGAACTAGAGTCTTCTCCTCGTTTATTAAATGGGATTACTTCAAAATCTGAGAAGTGACAATGATGCCCTGAGATTCTTTCCACTATATCCCCCTTATGCCAGTAATATATAATTTCAAACACTGTCATATACTATTATATAGTATCATTATTATTATATACTACTTATTAATGGAGAGTGAGGTCATTACAGGGAAATCTCAGACCGAGGCCTTGATGTATGTTGATACATCAAGGCGGAGGTCTGAGATTTCCCTGTAATGACTGAATGGACAAGGTTAATGAGTTATTTATTATATGGCCTTTTCGTTATGGACCTGAGCCTGCGATCAATTATTGAAACCAACAACTGGTCAGTGGATAACTTAAAAAAACACATCACCTCAGTGAGGTACATACTTGTACCGTCAGGGGACACTGGTCAGTAAACACCCTTTTTGACAGCTGTCAATTGACCTTAACATGGATGTCCATAAGGATGTCCACTATTAAGTTAAACACAGATGGTATATGCCTTGGACACCCAGCTAGTAATGCCAGGTCATTACGAGAAAATAATGCCCGTTTATTAAAAGAAAACAGCCAATCAGAGCGTGTGTACTATTGTAGCCAACACATTCTCAAGACAACTATTGGAATTCATATTCATCTACTGCCATGGCTATTAGAGGAAGTCATAAATTATTCTGCACTAATTGCAATTATTTTTAACTCAAATTTAGATCAAATCTGGTTTACTTCTGTGGCGGATATAATGTGTGAAGAGGATGAGGGAAATGGGGATGATGAAATTGCAACAGAAGTTGTATCAGATGAGGATGAAATATTGAGAGTTTGTCATACCCTGAAGGCCATGTGACGAATGTAATCTAACAGATTTGCAGGCAGTCGGGGGATTTTAAACTGTAAATGCATCAAAATGGCCTTGTCATCACTCTGCAATAACAGTGTTCTTTTGAAGATTGAAGTTCCAGTTATTCACATGAAATTAAAGTACACGTAATGAAATGAACCAATCACAACTTGTAGCAAGGTGAAACTAACCAGTGAAGACTGTTGGAACATGCATTAAACTAAAGTTTGACTTTACTTCCATCATGAGTTTACTGAGCAGTACTTTTTAGACCTGTAGCACTGTTACTGTAAAAGGGGATTGCAAGTTTTGAGTCTCAGCTAGATGCAAACGAAAGCTGCCAAACAATGCTTTCCTTTAGGACTTTGTATGGTACTCTACAAAGTTTTGATTTTGTGTTCTCTTGGAAGCAAAATTTGACCTTTTTATAAGTACCCTCCAAAATAACTGGCAAAGAGGTTTCATTTCAGTTGTCACTTCAGTTTATCCAAGGCTATCAGTAAAGTCCATAATAAATTTCTCTCAATTTTGTTGCGATTTGTGATTGGTTCAGTTACTATTACGTATCACTATTACTGTGGCTTACCTGAGAACACTACTTTGGTAACAGACAGTTTTTCTTTTTTTACGTTTGGAAGCAAAGTTTAAGGCATTATTTTTTTAATTCCTATAGGTTTCGTGGTGCTTAATCCACCTCCCCTGGTAGAAAACTGCGAGACAGATGATGACAGTTTGGAGGCGGTTTGTGGAGATGATGACGAGACATTTTCGTGCTGTAAAGATAAAATACCGGGGCTCTGAAAACCCCGAAATTGTAACAAAGAACGCGAACTTTATTATTTACCTTTCAAATGTAATTATTGTTTTTATTCTCTGTCTGTAAATCAGTTAGATGACGGTTTGTATTAAAGATTGTCTTTTATCTCTGTTATAGTTTAGTTCCTAGCCTGCGTTTCAGCCAGCCCACACATCGTCTCGACCATTAGTTTAGTCTTTATACAGGTGGTTAAGACTGTCTGCGACACAGGCCATGAAGTCCCTAAAGACATCTAAAGCAAAAACACAATGTTGACAACAGATTTGTGACCTTTACCTATGGCTTTATTTTAATAAATTGCTTGAAAAACGATTTGCAGAATCTCTTGTAGAATCTTTTATAGGCTCAAAGCCTGGCCCGCCAAAAACGCTAATGTGAACTGAAGTCCTTTACGCAGCTTGCGTACTGATGCTCTCATAAGTCCTGGGCGTATACAACTTCGTAAGGGGTTTTAGAAGGGCTTATAAACGGGTGAGCTTGTATCCGAGAGGTCTTTTAACAGAATAGAAAACGGTAGCCTGCGAACACATCCGTTTCCCCTCACTCTTCGCCGCTGGGGAAACGTCCTCAGCGGCGAAGAGCGAGGAGAAACGGATGTTTTCGCAGGCTAAGAAAACGGAAGCGTTTTAAAACGAGCTACATAGCGGTGCTGATCAAAATATATTTTTTTAATTTACTCGCTTTTTAAGCTTCAGAACGTCGTAAAAAAAAATCGAATTCATTTCAATACAAGCTAGAGGGAGCGCTTATAACGGGGTGCATCTTTTTTTGTGTGAAAGGTAGATGGGCCTATAACTGGGGGGGGCGCTTACAATAAGCGGAAGTTTAAGGTATCCGAGTGGCCACAAGGAAAAAGTTCTCTTGGTCATGTATTATTGACCAAGCTTGTTTGGTCAAGTAGAGGGTCATAAAACGAAAAATAGGGAACTACAATCGGGGACAAAATTAGACTCTGCCAGGAGCCCATAACTCGGAGCGCGCAACTCCCATACCAGGTCAATGTCACGGCGTTTTAGGGACGGACCATTAGAAAAGTTATGCGGCGGGGGAGGGGAATTTTCGAGCCGCAGGAATTTTTTTCGTTACCAAATTCCTTGCATGTATTTTTTTTAGGATTAATTGGCGTGTAACTTCGCCCGCCCCCCCCCCCCCCCCATAAGTTTTCTAATAGTCCGTCCCTTATAATTACGGACCAGTGTATTGTTAGACACATTTTAGGGCACTTTCTCCCGCGAAAATAGAATCTCCACTCCGTCGATAAGCGCATTCGAAGGATGAGATATCAAATAGGAAAACAAATATCGTTTTTATGGTCTGTTGGTTTTACTGACTAATTTATGGACTTTTAATACCGTAAATAAAATAGTCTGCAACACAGCCGTTTTTAGTGTCGTCACGCAATGCTCCTCCCCATATAGTGGGGAGCAGCGTTGCGTGACGACACTAAAAACGGCTGTGTAGCAGACTATAAAGATTAATAAAGAAACAAAAGACGGCTTTTAGCTGGGTCCTGGGACAAGGTTGCTATTCAACTGAAGCGTATATACTTATTCGGCATTTTATACCATTCACAGTTTATCGGCGCACGGTGCTGTACGAAAAGAACTTGACCTTTTTCTTTTGGAGATGAGTGGAAAGTTCAACATTTTCACATAAAGAAGACTGCCAAAATTGAGCGGAAATCTCAAGTAATCGGGGAAGAAGCAAGGTAATAACAATAAGCAATCAGTTACCTGGCCATATTAACACTTAGCCGCCTAATTATGCTTATTTCGTCGTTTTGATTATACAGTTGAGACCCGTAGTTTCTGTAAAATCAGGTTTCATTTTCCTTTATGTGGTCTCCAGCTTCTGGGAAACTCAAACGAGCGACCGGTCTGTCTGGAACCATATGGCCCATAGAGTGAAAAATTATTTTATGGTTGGTCCAAGCGCTTTAGTTGATCGCTCTATCAGTGCGTTAACTATTTCTTTCACATTCCTGGCTTCGCAGGCATTATTCCTACTCAATTCTCAAAACGAGAACTAAAATATAAATCCTTTGTTTTACGCCAAGAAATTGAAATCTTTGTTATCTCTTCGATTGGCGAACCGCCGCACAAAACTTCGGGTTGTTCCTCATATACCGAAAGTTGAAAACTTCACTCTCGCACCCACACAAACCGCCAGCTACGCAGGCCAAGTTGTTGGCAATCAATAAAATATAACAATAGACTGTACTGGCTTTTACGTGCGGTGTGAGGCTGGAAATAATTTCATACACAAATTAACTAGAAAACAAAGGGCATTGGAGACTGAAAGTTGAAATCATTTTCGTTGTTTTATAAATCGACATTTTCCCAAACCTCTTGCAACCTAGGACACGGATTGAAAATGTGGTAATAATTTATTCATGTGCCCACTGAGAAGTCTTATTCGGCTCGTAAACTTTGAGCCAAATATAACTGATATACGAACGCAATTAACCGGCGTGTGACCACATTGTGTGGAAAGGAGTAAATAAGTTTTGACGCTTTTACGACGTCTGACTCCTTTTTCTTTTTCTTTTTTTTTCATCACGGATAATATTTAAGTCAAAGTTAAAACTATCAGTTTAATAATTTCTCTATCTCCCCATATACCCCAGCTTCTGAAGCATTCAACTCACTCAGAAAGAATCGATCACGTCCAAGAATGGAAGAGAAATGGGGATCATTTTGCGGTCGGTATCATTTCGGGGGCTGTACACACAGTGTGCATAACTGAATAAATGCAGCGTTCAGGTGACTAAATAGTCCATTTTAGAGACAAAGAAACATGACATGAGTTGACTTTTGATACCTAACTTCTATTTGATTTTACATTTCCAAAGGAAACCTATGTATAATCACTTATAGCGCTGTTAGATGCAACAAAATAACCTATTCTCTATAAAATTTCGCTTAGTGCCGATAAGAGATCATGATATTATTATTAGATTCTGTTGTCGACTGATATGAATTTATGATGTAAAGTAGGATATTGGACGCTTAAGGCTCGCTATAAATCATTTAGAGCCAACCCGAACTGAATCATTACATTGCGTTAAAAGCGTTCTAAGTATAGTTGAACTCGATATTATTGTCAATCATATCAGGGGCGGATACCAGGGGGGGGTACTCCCATACATAACCTATACGGGTATGTGCCGCCCAACGGGGTCGTGATTTTGAAGCTCCTGATTTTGAACGGGGTATCCATTTCAGGGGCGTTTTCTAGAACGGGGTATAAAAAACTGTGTATCACGGCTTTATCTTCTGCTTAATTGCTGATTGTGAAGAAGCATTTATTTTTTGTATAAGTCGAACAAATAAAGAAATGTCTTTTTAAAAAAAACAGGGCTATTTCAATTTACAAACTTTCTGGAACGGAGAATAAAAAATTGGCCCATTTCTAGAAAGGGGTATCAGTTTTAGGGCGAATTCTAGAACCGGGTATAAAAAATTGGCCCATTTCTAGAACGGGGTATCAATTTTAGGAGAATTTTTTTCAGAACGGGGTGCCAATTTGGATTCCCGGGCGGCACATACCCACCCAAAAATTACCCAAGTGCCCCCCCGGGGGCGGATCCAGAAAATTCAGGGAGAGTCCAGAGAGAGGAGGCCAGCACACTTACCAGCTCTATTTTGGATACTTTTTATTTTTCTGAGACGGAATTCTTTAAAAATAATACAAACTTTCATAGGAAAAGGGTCGGCTGCTGCCCCTCGACGCACTCCTAAATCCGCCCATGCATATATCAATATTAGCAACAGCCAACAAGATAAAATATAGATACTTTTTTCGCAGCTCGTAAGATCCGGGTGTAAGAAACCCAACACTATAAAAAATCACTGATTTCAAATACTGGCATCGTGTTGTTGTTTTTCAAATTAAAGGCCTGGTAGATGTTCCTCATTCAGTACAAGGTAGATACGTAAATAGAAAGTGACTAAGTTAGGGACGCAAAAATTACATATTTGCCCAAAAGTGACTAAGATGGGATCTATAATTGGCCACAGAATAGAATGTAATGGGGTGGGGGCTCTGAGAGGCCACACATACCCGGCAAAACTTAACACGAGTAACCCCCCGGGCTGCCAGTATCGGTCAAAAACGATAATGAAGATGTGCCTGGTGGCTTTCGTGTTTTTCGCTTTGACAGGGTTGCTGTTCAGTCCTCATAAACGCTTGCGAGTGCTTTTTTGAGACATTTTACACCAATGTAAGGTGGGGTGCTTAAAAACGGTCAGAAAGGAGAACAATCTTGCAAAATCGTTGCGTGTAGTTTCATTTGTAGCCTGCGTAGCAAGCGTTTCCAATCGTGTTATTGCGCGAAAGTTAGAGCGGTTCCTTCGTTCCCCTCCCCCTTCCCCGTCATTCATGTTTTTTTGCTCTTGTCCCAGCTTTCTAGACGAACCTCGCGAGGAAACGCTTGCTACGCAGGCTATTTCATTTGAAATGACAGGTTGCTCGCTAGGTTGCCAAGGTATTGTTTGGTCAGAGAAATATTTTGATAGTCAGGAATGTCAAATCTTATCGAGGTTTGTCAAAATGCTTTTAAGTCATTTCGCGCAATATTAAATAGGAAAACTATATAAAAACCGCTAAAAGCAAAACAAGAAATAAAAAAGGGAAAATGAAAGCAGTAACGGGCCACTTGTGAGCGAAATGAAATGAAAATTCAAATGATGAACGTAAATTTGAAACACTGACCAGACAAACCGAACCAGTATTCTTTAATTTGTTGTTAGAGGTTCAATCGTACGTGAATCGAAAAGAAAAGAAGAAAAGAAAAAAGAAAAACGAGGAAAAACTTTACCATGCAGTGAAATTTAAACAAGAAAATATTTAAAGTATTTTAATAATATATACTAATAAATAGAAAAATGGGCAAAAAGAAAATATCAGTGAACCAGCTCGGGGAACGGGAAACCGACGAATGGAACCAGTCGCGGACGAAAACTAACATCTCGTGATTGCCAGATAGAAAGTTTGCTTGTTTACGTATATACAGGCTAAATTCGAACAAATAACCTGCGTACTGATGCTGCAATGGACGATTTAGCCAAAAAATAATACCCATTCTACAGCTGATGGTACACAAAATGTAGAGGAGGAAAAAGGAAAAATGAACATATTTTGTCTGGTTTGCTGGAAAAAAAAGAATTCCTAAAGGCGAGAGGAAAAAGTCCCATTTTCTCAGTATCACTTTAGCCTGCCTCGAAACCCGATTAAACACTCGAGAACGGACCATGAGCCATATGAAGAACTTATTTTCACGAATTGGTGCAAAAATATGGAGCAGTGTTCCCGATAGTGATCGTGCTCTAAAATTTAAGAATACCCTACAGAGTTGGCTACTGAATATTTTGATACGGGAGGATACGTATGTTGGCCTGCGTACTTTAATTGACAGTTTAATTTCATTCATATCTTGTTTCATTTACCTATTTTGAAATATATGTATTCTCTGTCTTATTAATTTTAATAACTTTATTGTTATGTTTCAACCCTATAATTGTAATTGTTTTTACTTTTCCTTCCCGCCTCAATTAGCTTTAGCCTACTTTGCGTGCAAGGATCAATTTTGGCATGTATGTTAATTTATTAAAATAAACGTGAACTTTAACTTGAAACCTTTTGTTTTAATTTAAAATTACATGTCTGTGTTAAAGATTACACGGATGTATTCAGTTGATCCAACTCTCAAGAACGAAAAGTCTGACGTGACATGGACTAGTTGAATTCAAGGTAAATCTCTTTCTGAAATGTTGACCAACTGTGCCAAAAATTGGACTGCTTGGAGTCTGTCTTGTTCTAATCGCAGCCAGCGCGATTGCAAACTTACGTTTACAACCCGGGGGGGGGGCGGGGGTACTCCCTTATAAGGTTTAATTTGGACGTGCGGCCAGCCAGGGTATGTTTTTCGGGATTTTTGTCTTAAACAGGGTATCGATTTTTGTCTTAATCAGGGTATCGATTTTATCAATACTTGTGTTAATTAGGGTATCGATTTTATCAATTTTTGTCACAGCTGTAAATAGTTTTGTGATTGCCAATGGATTAAATAAGAAAGAGTTTCGATATTATTAATTGTCTCACACAGGGTATGGTTTCGGGTTAAATGTCTTAAACAGAGTTTCAAAAATCGGAATTCTGTCCTGAACAGGGTAGGAAAATCAGCGATTTTTGTCTTAAACAGGGTCAGGATATGAGGGGCCGGGCCGCACCTCCCAACCCGAGGATATATCGAGTACCCCCCGGCGGTTTACGATCAAGGGGCTGTTTATCGCGGCTCTCGGCTTCACCGATCGCTGCGCCTGTGCAAGGCTTACGGGTGGAGGAACTTTGAAAACTGAAAAGAAAAGTAAGAGACAAATTTTCATAAGGAAGTGTGACACTCGGTTGTGTTACTTTAATAGTCGATGTGTTCGTTATGATTACGCATCTTTTCACTGACGCACACATGTACTCGTAGGGCATCGCGCTGGTTATAGATGTCAGATGAATCTATCGAGCCGTTTTTCGGCATTTTTAGACGGTAAATTCGCTTTGAAAACTGAAAAGAAAAGTAAGAGACAAATTTTCATAAGGAAGTGTGACACTCGGTTGTGTTACTTTAATAGTCGATGTGTTCGTTATGATTACGCATCTTTTCACTGACGCACACATGTACTCGTAGGGCATCGCGCTGGTTATAGATGTCAGATGAATCTATCGAGCCGTTTTTCGGCATTTTTAGACGGTAAATTCGCTTTTGGCGATGAACGGTTGGGAAACACTCTACGGTAAGTCACTTTCCTCCGTTTCTAGATCTGCTTACAATTTATGATTATCAATGGCAATCTAGCGGGGCTTTTAGATCCATGTTGTTGTTGTGAAATATACTGTAAGACCCGGTTCAGACGCCGAACTTTTCATTAGCCGAACCTTATTCGAATTAAGGCCGACCCAAATTATTTAGACCGGCTAAAGTGATTCAGACGCCGATCTTAATTCCAGCCGAACTAAATTCAGAAGGCGAAAAATGCGCATTTCGGTCAAACTGCTTACAAAATACGTTGTAAGAATTTCTGCATTTGGTTCGGTACATGAAAAGTTCGGCGTCTGAATCAAAGGCGTTCCAAAGTCGATCCGAAGGCGAAATTCCCGGCCGGGCTAGGCGAAAAGAACGGCTGAGCCGTTCCAAATTGAAACAGGCGTTCCTAATTGATTCAGACGCCGAACTTTTCATGCACTTAATTCAATGTATTAGGTTCGGCTCATGAAAAGTACGGCGTCTGAACCAGGCCTAAGTTTCTCACGTATTTACTAGGTATACCTATCGATAGAGTGCCAACGAGCAAATCATGTGTATTTTGCATAGGAATGGATTCCTCTTTTGCTGAAAGGATTATTTCCTTAAAACTGATGTGCTATGCAAGGCGGTATAAACTAGGTTCGGAGAAGAGTCAGTCCTCAGACTGCTGTGGCTTTACGAACCTGCTATATAAAAGTTTGAAGTGTCATGAGGCATACTTTTTTGAAAGAATAAAACAGCTTGCAGAGGAAGCGATCGGTAATATTTAGGGGGAAATATAAAAAATGATCGTTTCTCTTACCACTACAAAATTAGTGTCGGTTCGGGTTCACTTTGTAGATAAATATTTGTCCAGTTTAATCATTTAACCCTCCTCTAAAATTTCCCGAGGCTTTTTGTCGAGTTCCCGATTGAATTTTAGAATGATTCGCCGCGCTGCTTGAAATGTTTTCAAGGACATGCGATGTACGGCACGTCTGTATTTTGTTTTCACTTCGGCCAGGTTTCGAAAAAAATAGCGTTGTTTTCTTTTCCTTCGTCGTTCGCTTTAGGCTTGTAATTCTTTTTTATTCTTATTTTTCCATTTGCTGGTTAGATTTTTTCCCCAACATCAGATTTTCCAACAGAAGCTACTATATATTCTTCGTATCAAGCTTTCCCCATCTCCTCGTGTAATCTGATCCTTTTGCTTGTTTCACATGGAAAATTAAACTGTTGTTTTACAAGCTTCACTTCGTTAAAACCTTACATTAATGGCTCCCCAAATTAATACAATGCATCAAGTTTTTATTTTCCTTGACTGCCGGGGCCAGATTTTGGTGAATAAACAATAAAAGCGTACCACATTCAAGTTCATGTGCCGCGGAGGAAAGTACACATGTGTGCCAAGTATAGTTTCCTGCTCTTTGATTGGCTGAAACTGTCACACCACTTGGTCTCAGGGGAATCTACATTACATGAGGGGCGCTTTCCATTTAGGAAAAACAACCGGAAATTTCGGTTGGAACAAAAGTGGAATTTCCGATTGGTAAAAAGTTGCTCCATTTGGTCGTAAAGCCCGGCACGTCGCGGTGTCCGACCGTGGACCTGGAACTGGTACAAACTACAAGAAACGTAAATGGAACACGACATTCCGTTCGGAAATTCCAACCGGGAAAACGGGCCCACCTTTTTGGATTTTCCACTGTTTCTGGGAATATTCCCCGGGGGCACTTGGATAATTTTTGGGTGGGTATGTGCCGCCCGGGACTCTAAATTGGCACCCCGTTCTAAAAAAAATTTCCCCTAAAATTGATACCCCGATATAGAAATGAGCCAATTTTTTATACCCCGTTCTAGAATTCGCCCTAAAACTGATACCCCGTTCTAGAAATGGGCCAGTTGCTTATACTCCGTTCTAGAAAGTTTGTAAATTGAAAAAGTCCTGTTTTTTAAGAGATATTTCTTTCCTTGTTCGACTTATACATCAAATAAATGCTTCTTCATAATCAGCAACAATTTTAAGCAGAAGATAAAGCCGTCATCCACAATTTTTTAAACCCCGTTCAACGTTGGGCGGCACATACCCGTATAGGTAATGTATGGGAGTGCCCCCCCCCGGGGAATATTCCAGTGGGACGAACCGACGAAACGTGTTCCTTTTACCGCCGAACCGGAAATTCCGGAAATTTTGACTAAATGGAAAGCGCCCGAGGTTACACTTTTTGAAGCTCGATCGGGAATTTTTCTGCCTACAGCCGCGTCTTGCGCGGCTCTATACTAGGTATACCTATCGATAGAGTGCCAGCGAGCAAATCATGCGTGTTTTGCTTCGGAATAAAATTCCTTTTTTTTTCCCATTTGACCGTTTCTTGGTCCCTTCCTGTTGCAAGGATTATTTTCTTGAAAAGTTCTCAGATTCAGTCTGGTGGCTTTTACAATACAAACCTGCTATGTAAAAGTGTGAAGTGTCTTGAAGGAATAAAGTCAGCTTTTCAGACGAAGCGATCGGGAATATTATTAAGTCCAGCTACAAATCTACTGTCGGTTCGGTTTCACATTGTAGATAAATATTTGCACAGTTTAATCATGTAAACCTCCTTTCAAATTTCCCAAGGCTTTTTGTTTCCGGATTGAAACTTAGAATGATTCGCTGGGCCATCTGAAATGTTTCCAAGGACATGCGACTGTACGGCACGTCGGTATTTAATTTTGGTTCATTATTTTTATACTGAACTCGGCCAGGTTTGGAAAAAATGGCGTTGTTTTCTTTTCTTTTGTCGTTCGCTTTAGGCTTGTAATTCGTTTTTGTTCTCATATCTTTTGTTTGCTGGTTAGATTTTTTCGCCAACACCAGATTTTCCAACAGACGCGACTGCATTCTTCGTGTCAAGCTTTCCTTATCTCCTCGTGTAATCTGATCCTTTTTAGTGGTGGGAATATTGCTTGTTGCCCATAGAACACTTTTGCAGTTTTACAAACTTCTCTTCGTTAAAACTTAACATTATGGCCCCTAAAATTAATAGAATATATCAAGTGCTCATATTTCTTGACTGCAGTGGCCAGGTTTGACAAAAAAAATTTCGGTAAATAAACACAGGAAGTCGCGACGGCGGGAATTGTGTGAAATTTTGTATTTTATTCAACTTGAGCCCGTGCGCCAGGTACTGCCTTTTGATTGGTTCACAACTGACCACTTGGTCTCAGGGGAATCTACATTACATTAGGTTACACTTTCAGCTCGATCGAGAATTTTTCTGCCTCTCAACCCAGTCTTGCGCGACTCTATTCTGCTGCCGCCTCGCCAAGCGAGCGTCTTCGCTCGGATGGCTCGTTGGCAATTAGATGAAAACTCTAGCCAAATGTTTGTGTCTTAAAGCCTTCCAGAGAACTAGTAATTTCGAATTTTTTATGTCATTCTTCGCTTTTCAAGCCTTTAAGTAAAACTGATATGTGGCCCGGTTCAGACGCCGCTCCACCAGGACGTGAACAATCGATGAAATCGATAATCGATGGCAATCAATAACAATCGATGACAATCGATATCAATAAATCGATTGATTTGATATTGATAATCGATGGAGAATCGATGACGAAACTTTTTGTGATTATCGATTATCATCGATTATCAATATCAATCGATAATAGATGGCAGTCGATAACAATCGATGACAATCGATATCAATTAATCGATTGATATTGATAATCGATGGACAATCGATGACGAAAATTTTTGTGATTATTCATTATCATCGATTATCAATATCAATTGATGGGAATCGATCAATTAACATAATAGATTGTTATCAAATATGCAATATCAATCGATTACCTATTCAGTCAAACATTTCAATGGAGTACTAATAAAGTTACACATTTTGATATTATTGCTTTTTGTTTGAGTATAAAAACTAGCGAGTAGCAATGCGTAAACTTGTTTAATCGCCCACACGTTTTGCGTGAGTTTAAAATTCATAGAAACGTACTACAGTCGTGTGTAAGAAAAACTAACTCCACTGTTATGGGTCAACAAATCGAAACCGCTGGAAAATTAGGCGAGGTGTGAAATATTTTATGCGTGATGTAACGTTTGGAGCCAACAGTTTAGCTGAGTATTCGTAAAATATGTTCAATTTAATGCACACATTTTCTGTTAGACGTGACATTTTATTTGTAACAACAACGATAATTTCAACAACTAAAATTCAAACTACAAAACTATCGATCCTACTGAGATTTTACTTTCATGGTGTATTACAGCAGCTGAAAACAAATTTTCACTTCAAAAAGGTTCTTGGTTTTTTGATAGACTACGCTTGAATTTTAAAGCGTCTGCGTGACGCAGCATTTACATGACGGCCGAGAGAGCTGTCATTTAGGTTAAAAAAAGTGACTTTTTGCGAGGTTAAAATAATATACGATCTGCGTCGTACACTGCGATACGGAGACATGAATTTAGTGCCAATCGATGAAGTTTGCGACCACCCAAGTGTGATTATCGATTGATCATCGATTGGCCGATGCCAATCGATGCTAATCAACAGTAATTAATCGATTGTCATCGATTGATCGATTGATTTTCCGATCATCGATTTTCATCGATTGTTCACGTCCTGCTCCACTCATGTGCCGAACCTACCTGATGAATTAAGTACGGCAAAAGAGCGGCGTCTGAATCAATTTGGTATGGCAGTTTTAGTTTGGTGCGGCAAAAGCGTTAAGTTCGACAGAGTCTGTCGAACTTTTGTCGAACTTAACTTAGGTTCGACACACGGTACGCCGTCTGAATCAGATGTCGCGGCAGTGTCGCTCCAAAGTCGAACTTATTCATTTAGGTTCGGCACATGAAAAGTACGGCGTCTGAACCAGGCCTAAGGTACCGCATAATCGGTCGACGATGTTAAAGTGATGGAAACATGGCTGGCAACATGAAGTTGTCAGTGACCCAGCTGGTATTCCTTTCATTCAGGCTTGAAAATACTCAATTGTATGTTGGTAATTGTCTATATTGTTATTTTCTGGATCTCTTTTATCGTTTAATTACGATCTTTTAGGTATGCTTTGTGTTGTGCTTATGTATACAGCTATTTCGAGAAAGGTTGTGGGAAAAAGTGCACGCGACAATCCCGAAAGGCATTGTGGGTGGTTTTAAGTTCACTGTTCTTTAAAGAAATTTGAAAGAATTGGTACGAAAGGCCGTGGAAATGTGTTTGCGAGTGCTAAAGGAAAGCAACAAAAGTAGGTTCGACAGGTACAGTCGTCAGAAACAGTGTATTGATCATATCCCATATTACCTTTCGGGATTGTCGCGTGCACATTTTTCCGACAACCTTTCTCGAAATAGCTGTATATTAGAAGTTACGTTTCACTATTTTGCGATCTCGCGCCTCAGCAGAACGACAGTGAGTAGCCTGCGTGGCCGGCGCTAGGAAGTACAGTCGACTCCCGATAACTCGAACCCTCGCTAACTCGAATCTCGTGCTAACTCGAACCAAGATCGATTTCCCCTGGATTTCCGTCATACATTCACTGTAATTTTATCCTCGGTAAGTCGAACCCTCGTTTCCCGTCAGGTCATTTTCTATATAATTTTACCCTCGATAACTCGAACCATGTTTTGAGCCCTTAAAAAGTCGGGAAAAAAGCCGTCTACGGGCGTCCGAAACATTGAATTTTGGATTTCCTGTTGACGTGTTGTAGGAGTATGGTTTACTAGTGGAGGCTGATGTTGATTGTCACAGGCTAACGTGAGGCACCTTTTCTTCTCAAAACTGTAAACGCATGTTCTATTTAGGCTATGTTTTGTTACGGTACGTTCTGTTTTATAATCTAGAAGTATCTTTTAATTTTCACTTGACCTTTCTTCAATTAAATGTGATTAAAATGTTCACTGTGCAGTAAAAACTGTTTTTTAACATACTCTCGGCTATTTTCTTCGAACTCTCGATAACTCGAACTCCCGATAACTCGAACCTTTTTTCGATTTCCCTTAAAGGTTCAAGTTATCGGGAGTCGATTGTAGTTTACTAGTGGAGGCTGATGTTGATTGTCACAGGCTAAGGTGAAGCAGCTTTTTTCTCAAAACAGTAACGCATGCTCTATTTAGGCTATGTTTTGTTACGTTACGTTCTGATTTATAATCTAGAAGTATCTTCTAATTTTCACTTGACATTTCTACAATTGAATGTGATTAAAATGTTCACTGTGCAGTAAAAACTGTTTTTTACCTTACTCTCGGCTATTTTCTTCGAACTCCCGATAACTCGAACCTTTTTGCGATTTCCCTTGAAGGTTCGAGTTATCGGGAGTGGACTGTAGTGGGCGAAAGAGAGAACAGGCGCGTGCGAGGGAGACACGCGAGGGGTGAGGGAGCCTTGTGTCTCCTTCTCGCGCCCTTTTTTTTTGTTCCCACTACTTCTAAGCGCCTTTCAAGTAGGGTGGGCAGAAAGTTTTGTGTTTCCATCGAAATATCGCGCACAAATGAAGCTTATGTAATTTAGTTTTGAGCTTGGTCACTTCTCTGTAAGGATTAATTTGCTGCCATGTTTTTATAACTGCCCACAAATAAGTTTGAGTATGAAGCTACTGTACTCACCGCAAAGATCAAAATAATTCGTTTAACAGAGGAAATTTCAAGTTACAGTGAAACCTGTATTACGCGGACACCCTCTGTTAAGCGGACAGTAGCCGAAGTCCCCAAATTTATTTCCCTTATTTTCTTGAAATGAAACCTTTATTAAGCGGACACCTCTATTAAGCGGACGTGGACACCTAAAAGGTACCTGAAATGGTCATTTCTATTGTTGCCAACCTGTATTAAACGAACACTTGTAATTAAATTCCTCCACCCAACATGCCAGACACCGGAAATGCGAAGGATTGCCACCCACAAATTTTAATATTTTTACATTGAAAAACGTGACTTGACGAACTTATTTGATTAGTTTCACTGTACAGTGTTGTTTTTTATTTCGTTTTGTTTCTATAGAGCTTGTTCCACTCATCTGAGTTCTTCAAATTTGAGTTGCAATCTATGTTTATGGTACTATCATCTTTAATAAAGAAATTAATGCAAACATATTTCGGTATAGTCTCTGGGACTATTCTAAACGTTTCCACTGTTCATTTGAATGGTATTGGACTCCTCATATGACGCTATCTATCGAAACCTGTATTAGGCGGACACACTGTATTAAGCGGACACTACAGCTTTCCCCGAGAGTGTCCGCTTAATACAGGTTTCACTGTATAGCAGAGCAAACTGGCCGATAAGGCACATAGTTTGCTGAGCATAAAAAGAGGAACCATAAGGCCCAAACTTTCTGTATAAATGGCAAATGAACTCGAAGATATCTCGAACTAATTCCGAAGCAAAATTCGGAAGCAACTTCGGGACCTCCGAATGCAACTTTGAAACATTCCTGAACTGCGCGAATCCTTTACTATTTTTATCCATTCGTAATAGCTTTATGTGTTGATTGAGTTTGTAATGAGCATTTTTTAATTGTTGGTATTATTAAACATTGAAAATCACAATGTGGGAAAATGCAAACATGAATCTGTCACAAATCTGACACATATAGACATATGTCAGAAATTGGACTAGATTTGCATAATTTCCAGACAACTGTCATTTTTAAAATTTCTTCTTTTGGTAATTTTGTTATGGTAGTTTTGTGCTATAAAGCACTCATAGCATGTAACAAACAGTGACAAAAAGTGTACATGCCGATTAGAAGTCAGCACACAACGTGACTGCCTTGAAGATCGATTTTGTTTTGCAAGCACATGCATGGTTTTTGTACAGACTATTCCGGCATTGTCAGTAAGCTCATGTCCTCTCAGAGGACTATTTTTAATGTTTGTGTTTGTAATGTATTGGGTAGATTGTGGGCACAGGCCGGTCATCCTGGCCGAATAAGCGAGACGTCTTTACCTTTTGTAGCTCAAAGCGTTTATCTTTTCTCAGACCTTTTGTTTGCATAATCTCTCGGTGAGAGAGATACCCCACGAGCGTAGTCTCCTGTTTGTCTTTTAGAGTGAGCGGATAAAAGGAGGCTTTACCTGAATCTTTTTATACGCTTATTGTGCAAAAATCCACGCTTCTTGTCGGAGCAGTTGTTTTGTATTGTGGTTGGCATAAAATGGTTGAAGGTTTGTTTTAAAGTGGAAAGTGCACTTAGCTTATACTCGGCTAGTTTACAAGCACTTCACTCAAATAATTAGAGGCAAATAACCCAGATAGAGCATAACAAGATTAAAAACATCAATTGGTCGGAGGCAACCAGTTGACTATTTACAAGCTTTGAACTCCGGACAACGGAGAACAAATCCAGCAAGGGGCCAGAGAGGAACTCGAATCCGGCATCCCCGGATTGCGAGTCCGACGCGCGCGCTGCCCACTCGGCCACGCTGCTGCTTCATGAAATGTCGAATCTTATTCTGTTGCGCGTGGCAACCCTTGCACGCTCATATTTTTAAAGGACATCTACTTCATAGAAGAGATTGACTTGAAGATTTAATGATCACCTTCTCTAAAAGACAAAAAACTGGTTTTCAACGTTTTTCATCAAAATTTTTAAGCCTGCGTTGATAACGCAACGCTTATCATGGCCTACAAGCCGTCTCGTTTAGTTGCTGGCAGCTATCCCACTCTTGAGTCTGCTTGGAAGCTAATTTTGCTTTGGTTTTGTCATAATATGCTATTTAAAGTAGAATGGTAGTGTCTCACCGATGGAAAATCTTTAGGTTCTTCAGGCGTTTGTTACTTTTTGGCGTGAAGCAAAGGTAGTTGGTGTCGTTTGCACACAGATTATATTTTGCTTGCCTTAATCAATTTATCTTTGTTTTCCTTTCAGTGATCATAGATGCCAACCGAGATCTGATTGAAAAGAAATGGGTATGAAACGAAAAATTCTGTTATCGACCGTCGTTTTGGCGGTTGTGATACTCTTCACAGAAGTGTTTGTTTTGAACGATTACCTTCCTTCAATTAAAAAGCATCATAAGAGACCGGCTCGACTGTCTAAGACTGAGGAACTAATTCATTTTAAGCCTGACTCGCGCACTCGGACAAGAAACAAGCCGGTTTCAAGAAAGAAAAATGCAACAGTGCTGAATGGACCGAACGGGTTGAAAACCGAAAGTGTTACTCAGAACCAGAATGAGGTTAACATCATACCGAATCGGCTTTCTGGTAAAGTGAACGGGATCGACAATAGAATAATACGGACGAAACTTCAGGTTAAACCAGGAGGTGTAAAGACAGGTAAGCGAGTATTAATTTACACGCCGTTGTTTACAGATAAGCCGTGGCAGGGCATCAATAATACATACGGATTCACTCATTATAGAGGGGCGCCCTGTCCAGTAACTAACTGCTTGCTTACATATAGACACCGTTTGTTTCCCCGTAGCGATGTTGTTATTTTTCACGGCCAGGACATGCCAGATACGTTCGAGTTGGAAAAACTAAACAGCCGCCGCCCTAAAGGACAAATTTGGATCTATTTTGTCCTGGAAAGTCCCTCTAATGCAAGGGATACCTACTTTTTTCGAGACATGTTTAACTGGACAATGACTTACGAGAGGAACGCAGATATCTTCCTACCCTACGGTTCGTATGTTACCCTCAAACCAGGTGAAAAATCTTCTTACGGGCAAATTAACCCAGATAACAAGGACCGTCTTGTGGTTTGGACAGTAAGTAATTGTGGTGGATTGCGCGACTGGTTTGTCCGAGAACTGAAGAATCACATTCGTGTTGATATTTTTGGTTCTTGCGCTGATAGCGTGTATCAGCCGCATTTGCAAGACGAGGAATGTGAAAAAGACTCTCCGGAATGTGAAAATCTCCTAAAGCGCTACAAGTTTCAGTTGGCATTTGAGAATGGTAATTGCGTCGATTATGTTACTGAAAAATACTGGGGGGGACCCTTAGAACTGGGGATTGTCCCTGTGGTTTTAGGAGGCGCAAATTACTCGGAGATGGCCATTCCAGGATCATATATCAACGTTTTCGACTTCGATTCCATAAAGACGTTAGCCGACTATCTTCTTTATCTTGATAAAAACGACACTGCTTATATGGAGTATTTTGCTTGGCGGAAGCTGTACAAGGTCGACGGATACCTAAACGGGGCTACTTTTAACAAACACTATCCTTGGACGTGCGATATATGCGCAAAAGCTCAGAATCCAAAGCGTAAGAGTTACAAGAGGATAAGTGATTTCAGAGACCCTTCAACGCACTGTGGATTACACGAAGACAAATTATATGAGTTGATGAGTCCTGGCGGTGACAATGACTTCAGATCCATCGAAAACCGCAATTATAGCGCTGCCACTGCGGATATCTCTCGGGAAGATAGTCAAGAAGATGACGAAGAAGAAAAAGAAGGCGATGAAGAAGACAGCGCTTCGAATAAGGAGGAGAATGCAGAAGAAAATTCAGATAAGATAAAAGAACATAAAGAAGGGAACGAGGAAAGTAACACAGTTATTAAACAAAGAAAAAAGTGAAATTGAAGTTAATGCATTGAGAAAAAGGCTAAAAGAGCGGATGAAACGAAAACAGAGAGAAAGAAAGATGCAGTTATCAAATAGTTTAGTTTACTTCATTTATTCTTCAGTTTCCTGAAATACTGAATTTTCAATGATGACATCCCTTTCCCACCTTACGCATGCTAGAAGGTCCTCTTCCACGTTTTCCTTCCCTTCGGAGAAGTTACAGGAAACTACATGGGATTATAATACGGACTAAAGGTGGTCGGCTTCATCTTGTAATGATCGCCATCTCATTCGCGGTGGCTAGTGCTATACATGCATTTTAAACTGTATTATTGTATTTTTTATTTTTCTGTACGTCTTTGTTCGTGTTTATTATTTCTTTTAGTGTTAACTTGAGAGAGCAAAGAGGGGGAGCGTTTAGAAAAGTTAATTTGCTGTTTAGGAAGGGTTCATTTCATCATATTCTAGAATACTGACACACTGCAGAAAGATTGTTTAAAATCCCCAGCGTAAAGATTTTTGAACAACTAGAATGCTTCACACATTTTTATTTCTTAGCCAGAGGTGGACATATTACGTCTCACTAAATTCCCATAAAATCCCATATATATTTACGGAAAACGTATAGATAGTAGGGAAAGCGGATCGAGAAAAATTGCACAAAAACCGCTTGGGGACTGGAGAGAGGCGGTGTGTCCCCCTTCTCTGTTTCCCGCCGTTTCGCCATTTCACTGCTCACTCTCTTTTTTTGCTCGTGTTTAGTGACCGAGAGCTTGGCACAGGCTACGAAAAACAGAGTTATTTGAATTATTGAAAGCACCCCTGTACCAATAGAGCTTCGTACCGGAACGAACGCACAGAACGAATGCAATTAAAGGTTTCGAGGAGCTTGGTGACAGCAAAGCCCTCCTGACTAAGTCCTCCTCTGCCATGCCCGCCTCTAGATGTGACGCTGGTTCCAAGGGTCCTTTTTTGTCTCTCTGTCCTTACGTAGACAGCGAAAAGAAGGACCTGGAAATGAACATTTTTTTTGTACAAAGCTATTCTCGTCCCCAGAGCCTCCTGGGGGCCTGAGTATTAGGTCCAGGAGGCTCAGGGGACGAGAATGGTACAAAGCGCGCTCCTTTCACGGAAGAGAGACGGGACAGGAACCTGATGAAGTCCCTGGGCGGTTGTTGTTGTTGTTGTTGTTTTTGTTTTTATCCAAGTGAAGCCTCGTCTGAATTGTCATTGGAACAAGGTGTAGAAATTAAAAAAAAAACATTTTTAATAGACAATTATACCAGCTTAATATATTATTAAAAAACTGAAACTTTCTAGAGAAATTAATGAGAAAAGAATGTGTTATAACTTCATATAGTTCTGTAAAAAGTTGTGATTTTTTATCCCGCATTTTTTTAAATTTGTAAGCGAAAGAAAATTGTACAAAATTTAAGAGACGAGAAGTTATGTATTATTAATTAAAGGTTTTACTTCTTCTACTTGTCTTAGTTTCTTCGTGTACTATCCTGCGTGGCAGGCGCCAGTTGTTTTTCAGTCGGTTTTGGTTAGTTTTTTTTTTTTATAGAGCGAGGGGAACACACGAAGGGGACAGAAAAGGAAAGGTGTGCGCGCGTCCTTAAAGTTTCTTCCTTGCCGTTGCATGCTACGCAGGCTCGACCTCGGTGAAATAGGATGTGACGTCACCCGTCAATTCTCTATCGTGCTGTCTGATCGGGTTCACCAGAACGGGTGGGGAGCTTTCTGCGGCCTTTTTTAATTTAAAAAACGCTCACTAAAAGATGGCAAAACCCGTTGATAGACGACTGGTTACCAGGATACCGGGCCTGTTTATCCTTCGATTAACTATTACGGCTAGAATGCAATTGAGCGTGACTTAGGTTTGGTTAGGGCTCGGTGAAAAGGAATACGGACGTTTGGTTTAATTAGATCTGAGCACGACAACTACTGCAATTTTTTATTCCGTTGTGGGAACATCGTTGCCAAACCACTTATACGAAGACTAACGGCGGTCTTGCAACGTGCCTCATGAAGTTTAAGAAGCCGAGTTTAGAGAGACTTGTTGCGAGGAGCAATGTTGCCTTGATCTTGAGTTACATGATGAAACAAAATATGTCACCTTACACATGCAACGCGCCCCGCGACATTCATGTGATACGCCTCTTTACTTGACTACTCGTGTCTTTTTTAATCATTAAAACCGAGGGAAGTTCCCAGAAGTTCTCTTGGTAGTTGATTAGTCGTGAAATAAGTTGTAAAAAGTGAATATGGTATATTTAATTCTTGGTTTGCAACCATGTTACAAGGCGGCCATGTTGGGGGTGAGTACAATAGAATTTTTTGTCGAAGAATTTACTTGAAAATAGAGTTTAGTTCCCATAGGAGAGAAATACATTTGTTCTTGACCATCAGCATGGCCGCCGTGACGTCATGTGCAAACCTGCAATTCGGTGAAGAAAAAAAAAACTGCTTGTAATGACATTTACGCTTTCCCCGGAGTGAATTGAAAAAGAAACCTTAGGGGAATAATTCATTAAGCAGTTTCTTGATGTTGCGGGCGTGTGCAATCACCAAATGACGTAATACCAAAGATTGAAAAAGACACTGAGCAATGCACACACCACAAAACAAAGGCGAACCAACCATGGTTTCCGCCACACCAAGAAACATCCCATTATCTGGCACTCATTACTTCAGGATCAGTAGATTTTTTTAAAAAAACATTAATTATTCATCCATACCACCTGTTAAAATGGCTGGTGGCATTTAAATAAAAGGGGATGCATTCACACATCCACACAAACAAGTAATAATAGAAAACATGGATTCTTCCGTTCATGGCTCCGTAAGCGATCACCATTACTTGAGAAGCTTTTTCGACAAGATGAACCAAATGAGAAAAGGTGAAGTTCTTTGTGACGTTGTGCTTACGACGGAAAATGGGAGATCAAAACTGTATGCGCATAGAAGTGTTTTGGCAGCAAGTAGTTCATATTTTTACAACCTTTACACTGGTACTTATCTTTCAAGGTATAGTAGAGAAACTGTTATCGGGGGAATTACAGATGATATACTCAGCATCATTCTGGATTATATTTATTCATCTAAAATATTGCTGGACCAAGGGAACGTGGAAGCAATTTTGTACGCTGCTTTCCAGCTCGGATTAGAATCTCTCGGACAGCTGTGTGAAAAGTTTCTTCTTCGCAAGCTATGTGTTGAGAACTGTATTAAAATGACGACTTTAGCAAGATTATATTCACTTGAAACGCTCCAGAGTGAAGGACAACGCTTGATAATCAATAATTTCTTGAAAATTAAAAACTCTGGAGAATTTTTTCAGCTATCAAGCAAAGAACTGGCTCAAATAGTATCTGACGATGATTTAAATGTGAGAAATGAAGAACAAGTTTATAATGCGATTCGAGCGTGGGTAAGTTATGATGTTTCATCGAGGCAGCCTGAATTTGAAAACCTTTTGAGTCATGTGCGACTGCCATACATCAATCGTAAATTTTTACTTGGCACAATCGACAAGGATTCTCTAGTGACCTCATCGTCGGCAAGTAGAGAATTGGTGGCCGAAGCATTGTCTTTCAAGATGGCGAGTCACAGAGATAAAAAGCTTTTCCACAACGAAAGAACTAAACGAAGGTAGTAAGTTTATTCCGCTGTTATTTTTAAAATATAGGGTTCTCATTACTGGCTCGTCCTCAGTCCCTCGCAGTCGCTTATTTGAGGTATTTCAGAGGAGGAGGGAGGGACGGGAAGCCGGAGAAAATCTGTCCATCATGCCCCCTCTCGTCTCCAACTCTCCATATTGAAGTACACCAACCACGCTTTGCCTTGAAAACCGAAACACAGGGTACTAGAGTTTTCTTTCCTCGCGTGTAGCCGGGTGCTTTGGGGTAGGAATCAGACGCGCATGTAAAATTAAAGTCTCGGATACCCATGGTAATTTTTACTCTATAATCCGTTTGTGTATGTATTGGCAATCTTGTCCCCAGATAGTACTGATTGATGAGACATTCTGTGGATGCGGAGGGGACTGGGTTGGCTGTGTGTCGAAATTGATAATGGAGCTGTCTTGCGGAACAAACTTGGACCTAACCTACTGCGTAACGTCGTGTATTGTAATTACCAGTAATCCCTTAACCGTCCCACAATGCATTTCGACATTACATGTAAACTGGCCCATGCTTAGTCTCACAACCTCAAAGTGGCCAAAGATTAAATCATTTTTAAGCAGGTTTTGCTCAGTTTATATTGAAAAACGGCTGCAAAAGAATTCATTCGCGCTGATCACCTGTAAGACCAATTAACCATCCCCTGTCTGTGCAACCTCGTTCCCAGAGTCCGAGTATCGTCCTCTCGTCCGTCTCTCGCTTCAGGGAACGGGAGGACAAGAGAAGCCCGGAGCGAGGTTGCTGTTTGTGTTGTTGGCTCTGCTTTTTACAGGGCTTCTTCTGGTACTGCAGGCTTGTTTGTTTGTAAGACCAAAAACGTCCAGATTGTGGAATAGCCAGTGACATGACAGTCCGGTCGTGGAATGCAAATCAATAGAGATGGAGAGAGATGTCGCTTCCGGTTTCCTCCTGTATTTAGGAATATTCGTGATTTTACGCAATATGATAGATATTGCTGTTTTTTTTTCTTTATGGTCTTCATGGAATCATCAGGTGGAAATCTCACTTGATTGACGTCATCGTGTTAGTTGGAGGCGTCGTAGAAGACGGCGTTCAGCCTTGCTGCCACTGCTTCAATCCGCTGACCAATAAATGGCACTACATGTCTCCAGTGATTGATAGCCGGTTGAACTTTGGCCTTGCCCGGTTGCAAGGATGTTTATTTGCGGTGGGTGGCTCTACGGTTGGAGAGAAAATGACGATGCTTTCAAGCATGGAAAGATTTCACCCCAAGTTTAACTCTTGGGAGAAACACGCTCCATTGGGCCAGGGTAAGAAGGGACCGAAGGGAATTGTGGGTGCATGCAATGTGATTTTCCACACAAGCTACTGGTTAACATTTATAGAAATGGAAAGCAGAAGCGGAGACAGAAAGATTAGAGACAGAAGCGCAAAAAACAAACAAACAAAAACAAAAACAAAAGCGGAAGCGGAAGCTCGATGGAAGCAGGGACAGAAATAATGGAAGACTTCATAGCAAATGGTTTAAAGCCAGAATAAAGCGCATAATGAAACGGTCATTGTGAGTCAACGAAAAAACTTTTTCCGGAATCCTCTAGAAATTGAATTGAAAACATACTACATCAGTAGAAACCTCAAGACTAATGTTTAGCAAACAACTGAAGACTTCCGCTTTTGTTCCGTCGTTATGGTTAACAGGAGGACATAAAGTTGTTTCCATTCGGTTTCCCGTGTTTGTTGCTTCGTTTGTTTGTATAAACCTACGATCGAAGCCCCCACCCCATAACAACCTTGATCCACAGCAAGGGGACATGTTACAAAAGGTTGAGTAATTCTAGAGTGTCCCGATTTATGGTTCTGACTTAGTTTAGGCTTACTAAAATACCCTAGAAGATAGATGATACTGGCTTTAGCGTGTGTGAAAAAGAAAGTTGCTAGAAATTTTTTTGGTTTATCAAAAGCATTGTAGACATTGTAAAGCAAAACCTTGGCAGTCACGAAATTAGTTATAAAGCTCTCTGGTAGATTAAGTCGCACTTCAATGTATCGGCAGGTCGCTTCAGCCACGAGACCCTGGAACTTCAAGGGAAAATATACGTTGTTGGAGGAGTTTTAGAAAGAAATGATCAAGAGCAAACGATGGAATGCTATGATCACGTGACAGACAAGTGGACTTCACTTTCTGCACCCCGTCAGAATCGTCATTCTCACTGTTCAATGTCACTAAATGGCTACCTTTATGTGATTGGAGGTAAGCTTATGGCATTTTTGTTAAAAAACTTATTAGGTAACCAGAGGAGCCCGCAATCCTGATCTCCAGGTTACTACTACGCATGCGCGGTAAATATGTCACCAGTTTGGATTTCCTATTAGAATAAATGGAATGCGCAGAACACATCTGATTACGCGCTATTGCACCTTCTATCACGTGAAACCCACGCAAATCACAGCGTTTGACCTTCTTTCGATCTCGCACGCATTCTGTAACCTTTGGTTATTACTAGTTTCCTAGATCAGTTAACGTACAATGACATTGTATCTCCCATGTAAAGGAATCAAAGGCATTCTGGGATTCTGAATTCACGCCGTGGATTTCGGATTCCAGGTAGCGTGAATTCTGGTTTCCAAATTCTGGATTACGGAATCCGAATTCCCTTACATGGAGAGAATCGTAGCCAGTCACTATCAAAGATCTGAAGCCTCATATTTACGTGTTAACGGATTTACTCTAGACTTGTACCTACTACTTCTGACAGTCTTTTTACCACTGTACAATCTCTGTAGGAATCTCCAAAAACAACAACGTTCTTAAGACAGTGGAAAGGTATGATCCTCAACACGACAAATGGCACAACGTGGCGAACCTCAACATCCCGCGGAGTGGAGCATGCGCAGTAGTACTGATGGGTCAAATCTTCGTGATGGGTGGTGGTTCAGACGTTCGTAACATTCTAAATTCCTGTGAGATTTACGACCCTGGAGTAGATAGATGGTTTATCGGGAAAGGTGAGTCCTATCAGCTTTCCTTTTTTCAAGGGCTAACAACACGCATCAATAAACATGATGAACTGTAACTATATATAGTATATCTTTTGTTTTTTTGTTATCTTGTCTTTTTAAGTAGCCACACCATACCACGTCATATTATGTAATTTCCGGTCATTATTTTACTTCATATATATTTCTGTAAATTCGTGATATCTCAATAAACCTGATGAAGACTAGTATTGGCCAGTCGAAATATCGCAACTTATAACCCTATTTGTGAAAGGTTTGAACCCAGGAGTCACTTCAAAAGGTTGAGTTTGATCGTCCGGGTGAACGTAGTCCTGAATAACCCTATTTCACGTTGTTTGATCAGTCCCTGCAAAAGTCTTCTTGACTGTAACGTTTTCAACGCGCATCAGTTTGATCCGCGTCGCTGAAACACCCGGAGGGTACTCCCTATAATGGCCTACACGGGGATGCTCAGCCCGAAAGGGGTACCTTTCTCAAGCTTCAGATGAAAGGGTCGGGATTTCGTTAGTTGAAGTATTGGAAAGGGTAGAGAATCCGTCATTTCGGTCTTTAAAAGGACCAAAAAGGGCCAACAGACGCATTTGAGGGACGTGAAAGAGACAAGAAAACTTCGTGGTTTAGTGATTCATCCACGTTAAAAAGACGTGCAAAGTTCTAAACTATGTAAGTGAAACGGGTGCCATTTTTAAGTCGCAGGTTTAGGAAAGGAGCACATTTTCTGTCCACATTTGTATACAAAAGGGTGAGGGGTTGGACCTGGGGGCGGAGCCGCCCCGTATAAAACGTTGTCGAGTGCCGCACGTAGCGCACGTCGTCGTTGTCATTTTTAGTCTCAAGCTTATTATTCTTTTGTTTTTCAGATATGAAAACTAAACGTGATCGCGCTGGGGCCACGGTCTTTGGTGGAAGAATCTACGTGTTTGGTGGTTCCTATGGTAACGTGGCTGTGACGTCAGTGGAGTGTTATGACCCCCGTGAAGATGGTTGGTCCGTTATAACTGAGCTGCCTTACCCGCGATATGGATTTCGGTGCGCAACAACTGCTGTCACAAACGACATGATAGCAGACGTGCCTCCTGCGAAACCAAAAGCACGAAACCAAGAAAAATTGATTTAGAAAGTTACGACATTGCATTGCACACGAATGAGTTAAAAATTCTGGTTTAATTAGCCTTTTGGTATCGTTGCTGCTTGACTTAGACTGATAACAGGCCATCCAAAGATCGTCAAGGGTAACAGATGTAGACGATTTATTCGAACCGAGAAAACCGATTCACGACTGTTACAATGACTCAAATACTTTCACCATTCAATCACGTTAAGAGTCTGTACGGACAGTAGAGAGATTTAGAATCACGGTTAATGCAAACGGCAGATTCGTGTTGCGATTTCTCGCATTAGGAAATGAGTGTATAAAAACTGTTCAAAAGAATTGCTACGGATGAATCTGACATGAAAATGCTTATTTTTGAGTAGAAACAGTTAACTCTCGCCTTGCGAACACCCCTGTAATACGGAGAGCAGCTAAATCCCAAAGCAAAAATAAATTAAAGATGTTTGACTGAAAAACAACTCCCGCTATTACGGATTCTCGCTAATGTGGACACTGACTCAAGGTCCCTACAGTACGGTGTCTGTTATAAAAGGAATTGACTGTAATTACAATGAATAGTACAAGAAATGTAAAGGGATACATAACTTGACCACAAAGGGCAAATTGGTTTTTTTTCGTTTGCCCTGAACGTGATTCTAAAGCCTGTTCTAAAACTCTCTAATAACATCACGACTTAACCGACAGAGAGCCCCAATATGCACATACAAATTCTCCAAACTGAACTCCATACATTTCTTTAAAGAATGTGTTGAGAGAATTTCATAAAAGATCAATGCAATTTCACTTTGGTGATCATTTTACCAATTCTCATAACCATATCTCTTGAAAGTGTATGGACATCGTTAGGAGAAAATTGGTGTTGGTCACCATAGGGACTTAAAGGGTTAATGAGGTCTCGACGTAGTTGACCTATAAAACAAATAAAAATATTCTTTGAGCTTAGAAAGTTGGAAAAGGAAACCAGAGTGAACGACAGAAGACCTGCAAAAACCTTCAGAGAGTGCACTGCACCAAACCAAGCCTCTACCCACAAAGAGAAGTAGAGTGGCAACTGGAGTGGCATACTGCATTGACTCAAACTTTTGTTTACTTGTGAATTAATGAATTTGGAGTGCGTAGTTTGTTTTTTATAGAGACACTGCCCACCTAGACTGGCCTTTGCTGTTTGTGGGTAGTGGGAAAATAAAATTGTAAATTTGGATTAACCAATAAAAATGACTGAATGAATGAATGAATCTCGTGAGCTATTCTGATGTCTCACGTGTATAGCCGCACATACTAAATTGATCTTATTTTTGCTGTCAGATGATCCTAGAATAGCAAAGCGTCCCACTTTGAGGTTAAATAACCCTCAAGTCTGAATTGCCTTGTCATAGTAGATTAATCTCTCCACTGGAAGTTTTGTCCAGGATTAGGCTTTTTGTTTCTCAACTTTCATCTTCTTCTCAGCCAATTTTCTTTCCGCCAATTCTTTCTGTAGTGCGGGGGCCAGTTTCGGGAGAAGACCTATCAAATAAATATGTAATCATAAAAATGACTGTCTCACAGTATCCTTTTCATAAAAATTTGTCTTTCAGACATTGCGTTGCAATTTATGTGTATTTAAGTTACAATACAACGTCCAACTAGGTGATGCCTCAAAATAACACACAAAATTCAAAGGGCTGCAAAAAATATCCATTTAAAAAGCTTGTGATTAAAAAATGTGTAAGCTACCAATATTAAGGATCTTTTGGAAATCTTTGCATTCCAGAGATTGGCTGATGATTTCATTTTTCACTGGCGCTGCTCTTAACAGACAAGGGTTCTATAATTCATTGTTCTTGTATCAACATTTCAAAGCCACAATCTTTCAGCGGTGGGATTTAGCCCTAAAAGGGTGTCTGAAGGTGAAAGTACAGGCCAAGAAGTCCACCTAGTGGTAGTGTTAGTGGTACACAAACTGCAGTTGGTAAAAAATTTTGCTAGATGTCAGAGATGTCAGATGTCTCTCCGTGGTTACTGAAAATAGGAAAAGTTTGGGACAGGATGCACCTAAGAGTCTTTTGCCCTGAAAACTCCCCCTTAGATTTCATTTGACATTGTATTACCGCGGGGGGAAGAAAAATCCTTAGAATGAAAGCATGGAAATAGTTGAGCAGTTCAAAAGATGGATCCAGGCAAGTATACATATTAGAACAAACACTCCTACCATGAACAGGGACGAAGAGCATACCAGCTATCTCCTATATGGACCCAAGTGATTTCCACCTCCAATCAGGGGGGAAGGGTGGCCTTGACAGAATACTGATTATTTATGTTGCAATTAACACCTTCAGAAGCCTATTTAGGGCTACTGACAGTTGTGGCGGTTTTTTTTTCGATAAAGATTGCCGTCAGTCATTCGGGTATGCTTTAAGAACATTTGAATAGAGATCTCAACTTACATCAAACTTCCAAAATCTGTCCCTGTCTTAGGGTTGCTTTTTTCAAGAAACTACTTAGGTCTATGCTTTCTTTGCCATTAAACAGAGTTGCTGGTAATTATTTCAATTTGCCAATTATATTTTCTTGGAGTGTGAATTGCTGGTTTCTCTAGTCTAGACTAAAATCCACAGCCAACTGATCAGTTTCCAGCAAAATGGGAGCCCATTCTAGACCCAAATTCTCTGATTTCTATACCCTGTCCCACACTGAATTGCTTGAAAACCATACCCTTCACAGTGGAACATACCAGCCTATTTAGTGCCAAAACATGTGTTGCCAAGTGAATTGTTTACCTAATCTCTGTGATATCTTGATTGCTTTCTCTAACTTTCGCTGCTGTTTTCTGCAAACACCTTTTTAAGAAAGGAATGTGAATGATAAAGAATTTTAGAGTAATAAACTGTGTTTTTCATGCTTCATTTAAATTTATCACATGATACATATACCCTGCTAAACTACAGCCCCTGTCCATGGCTGCAAAAACTGTCAATATTCTTGCCTTAAGTTACATGTACAGTTGAATCCTGCAAAGTTCTGTATCCTTACAAAGCGTTTTGGATTTCTGCACGAGGGTATGAAAGTTACAATGACAAGACCCCCATGCTACTTTTATACAAAATAAAATGACTATTAACACTAATTTACAACATTCACTAAACGAAATTATGAAACATATTTACACCCATTAAACTAAGTAAGCTCATAACCCCCAAAAAATTACTGTAAGGGTGCATTCGATTGATCATATTCTGGAATAATACCAGAAGTTTTGAGGCAAATATCTTGTACTGTGATTTTTGGGCCACTTAAATGCTTCATACCTTCAGTTGGAATATTTTACTTCAGGCAGATTTCTAGCTATTGCAAAGCAATAAAAGCCAAAAGAGTGATTTTTAGAATTCTTATTCCAGAATACCGTCAATCGAACATGCTCTAAGTTAACACCAATGCCATGACTCTTACAGTTTTGGTAGCTCAAAACACCCAAGCGTAACATACATCTATTTTTTTTAAAAAAATGTCTTTTTTTCTTGAAGTTTTAGTTAGGGTTTACTACTCTTGGGGTGAGAGGACTAAGGACAAGACACGACATGAACTTTATTTTCATACCACACACAAAAAAAAAAGAGAGGAAACAAGACAATACCACTTATGTAAGGTATAAGCCACCTAGACAATAAATAAAATGCTAATCTAGCTAGGAGGCATTATAGACTATTTTAAAAGATAAAAGAGGTTCTTACATGGAGGTACAAGTATAAAATAATGTTTGTAAAGAAAAAAAAATCCAAACAATGGCTAAACCCTGAAGAAATCTGGGTTAATTTGAAACTTGTAAAGAAATTTTAACCAAAGTTGATCAGTTTAATTTGTTCCAATAACAAATTTTTTTCACAAATTACAGTGTGACTACTATAACTGGGGCCACCTAGACAAAGTTGACCAATCAGTTTAAAGGAAAATAACAATACATTTCGAGAAAGTTAGTTATCAATCATAATTACCACATTACCAATAAACAACAAGGATCAAAATCAACCAATTACACCCTACAGACGTGACCTTTTGAACCTGCTGAAGAAAGCATGTGTTTCCCGAGAGGACTGTTAGAGTGAATGATGGAGGCAAAAAACGTAAACGATAGTTATATTTGTTGCTTGTGGTCGCATGTTATTGCAAACCGCAGCAAAAGTAGCAAAGAAATTCCTGGTAGATGACAAAATAACAGCCTGTATCAAAGAAATATGTCTCCTGGGCATCGTATGCAAAGTTTTGAATAGAGAAACATTGTCAGGTGAAACATTTTGCTTTCCTTGCTATCAATATTAATTTTGTGCTTTGGGTAACTTATTGCTTTTTTACAAGCTGCTGACTGGCCCACAACCAACTTTCTTGGAATGTATTGTTATTTTCCTGTAATCTGATTGGTCAACTTTGTCTAAGTGGGCCCAGTTACAGTATTTGCACTGTAACAAATGATGGAACAGAATCTTAATTCTGAAGTGTTATCTTGTTAGAAATAAACCATAAACCCTTCTCAGCATCAGCCCTAGTAAAGGTGACTGGTTTTTGCTTGGAAACTGTTGCAAGTAAAATGGTTAAGAAAAGTTGTAAAAAATGGAAAGTGATCAAACTCAAAAATTATTGTGGAACTAATGACTGTGAAAAAAGTACCAGGTTTCAAAGACGGATAAGACATAATTATGTACCTGTTTCTCTTCGATTGAGAATGTATCCTCTTGGTGACATAAATTGTGACAAGAATAGCACATCCTATGGGACAAGAATAAATTAGTACACAGTGACTAATACCATTGTTACTATTATTATTATTATTGCTATTATCTTTATTACTATTATTATTGTTGTTGTTGTTGTTATCATTATTCAATCTCTAGTGGTGTAACGATTAATCGCGATTATGACTGTTTGGTTCGATTCATGATTCTTTGCTTCCACGTTTCGATTTTGGTTCAATTATTGCACACCTTTTCCAGGGTGCCTTTAGTGAGTTATTAGATTGTAAAATCGGAATCCAGAACGCTTTAAATTGTGCATGCATGATTGACGAGCAAAGATGATAGAATTTTGGGTGTCATTTTGTGTTGCCTGGTAAAAATGCTGTCCTTCAACCAACCCATGAGAATTTCCAAATAAGGCAAACTATGTGCGACCCGCTCTTTGTCAGGTTCTCAAACATGGCGATGAATCAAGCGACTGTGAATCCTCATGTCCCTGCTACTATTCTCAAATTGAGGGTTTAGGGTTGCATGTTGTTTACATTACGCGTTATGTTATAAGAATTAAGAAACATATACTTAATCGAATCAAAATAATCGAAAGGCAATAATCGAAATCGAAACAAACCGCAAGGAATATGAATCGTTACACCCCTATCACTCTCATAAACTAGGATTCCTTTCTCTTTGGGAGGAGGGACCAAATCATGACTAAGGTTCTATCTCACTGCTTGATTGATATTACTCTCTGCAAGATGTGAGCTAATTCTTTGAATGTTGTCTTTTGGAATTTATTATTTACTTCATATTACTATTAGCAATATTATTATTCTAACTTACTTTGTAAGTAAATGTGATATCTCTACTGCAGATTGGGCAGCCTACATCTGCTTTGTTTATTTTCTCCTCTGTCAGAATGGAAGCCTTGATTCCTAGAGAAAATTATTGTAGAAAATATAATAAAATAGCTTCCCTGTTCTAGGAAATGTCTTGAACTTTGACACCACCTTCTGGGTAGAGCCCAAACACTTACACATTTATGCACTGCCATAATTAATAAATAAATAATAATTTTGTTGATAACATAATAAACTTCACAGAATAGAACGACACAACAATGGTGCTAATCTATTGACTTACTATATCGAGCATCCCCTAAATGAGAACTGCTTATTCAGACATATTTCACATTGCTACCATTAACTTTCGATCAATTAAAAAATAACTAAAACTAGCCAGATCAAAAGTTCAGCTGAGAGTACTCACCAAGCCAACTTTGAAGACTGAAACGCCTGACTCCTAACGCTGTTTCTCTGCCAATTCTTAAATTATTCATTGAAAAAACAGTTGAGCTAGAACAGATAATACTAGAAGAATGTAAATATCGTGAGAAACCTGAAACTGTAAGTGGGAAAAGAGCCATATCGTTTAGCAGCTTCAGCCGGGAAAGGCTTATGGCAGCCATGTTGAAATTCATGAATTACTTCATGTCTGACCTCACGTAAATTTTGAGGACTGCCGCTGGCTTTGATATCGAAGGCTCAATAATTTGCTTTAGCAAAACGTGATGGGGATGAGTCAAAGTTGGCTATTTTTGTGACGATGATATTTCGCACAGTAAATTGGAGGATCTCCCCTAATTAGGGAAAATTAATTGACCATGTATTCGAGCAGCAACGGGCTGCGAAAGCCAAGGCGAGTTGGCTTCTTGGTGAGTCAGCGAAAGATGAGGAAATCGATTTTCGACACCTTTGCGCTCTTATGCGAGTACGTTCAATTTCTTGAGCTTGTTTTTTGGTGATTAATTTATAAACATTATCATGATCAAGATCCATTTCAAATGGTTCAAATTTTCCTGAGGGTATTAATTTTTCTTCTTTTTACACTCTAGGAAAACGGGCATTGATTTGGTCGAGGTAGGTTTTCTTGTACGTTTCACTGTCTGATCTTCGATCTGTGAAGAATGCACGATTCGATTCCGTATAACTTAATTACGAATGTGTGTGTTGGCCTACCTGTAGTATTTTGCTCTGTTGATCCCCTGAATTGTTTGTTTTGATGATATTGGAAATACGATCCGTTTTGTATATCGTCAATTCCATATGCAGAGAAACGAGACAAGTGCATCCAGCTTGTTTTTCTGGAATGACGTATTCCAATTCCTGGGACTGATCAAGAACTTGTATTTAGTTAATCTTAATTCATAAGCTTTATAAAAGGAAATTTGTTATTCAATTGTACTTTGAAGAGTAGGAATAAAGCTATCCACTGGTAATGGAAGGTTTTGTTATGGCTCTACGGATGCAGGTTTCAGAAGTGAACTTAATCCTTTTGCCAAACTTCAGAACACCCAGCCACTTATTTGGGTCACCTTGAATAACGAAATTGTCTGTTGTATTATGCCACGTTGTTCCAAGTTTTCTGGAAAGTGACTAGGTATTCTGAAGTTGTTATAATTGTAGTCATGTATTTTATAAAGTGGGGCAGTGTTGAGGTTGATTATCAAGGCTCCGTCTTAATATGCTTGTGCATATAACCACATGCCACTGGCAAGTGGTTTCACTGCAAAATTTTGAACACTTTGACATCATTTCTTTGGTCGACAAGAGTACAGACCATGGAAAATAGTTGTCAATGTGTTAATCAATTTTATTTTCAAGTATAAATTTACAGTATTTTTAGACTAACAGACATTGGAGCTTGATGTCCTTTAACAAAAACTTTTTCAATATCTAAATAATATTGATCTTTGATACTCATTATATTATTCTCAGTTTTCACATAACATCACCAAACTTCAAACTAAGGAATTATCGATTCATCTAAGTTTCTACTTTCATGAGGCATCACAGCAGCTAAACACCTTTTCTTACAAAAGGGTTTTTCATTTTCCAATAGGAGGCACTTGAATTTTAAAGCTTTTGCATTATGCAGCATTTATCTGTCGCCTGGGAAACCTCTTATGTGGGTTAAAAATGTTACTAGTTTTTTGAGATTTTGTTATCTAAACATTCCGTGTCTCAGAATGAAATATTACTTTAATCTTAATGACTTTCTGCTTTGAATGGGTTACATTTTTTATTTTGAATGGTGTGACAGTGAAAACGGTAGAATTCACAAATTTAGTAGCACCCGCATAAATACCTTAACAAAACATGAACAAAAATAGTGAAAATCAAACTGATTAACCAAAAGATGGGTCATTTAATGATCCTATCTTTTGACTCTTTTTATTCCACATACATAACATAACATAACATAAAACTTCATTTATACTCGAATTTTAGAGTAGCTAACAAGCTAATATCTTCGAGCTGACACTACATAAAAACTATATAGAAAATATATATATACATTAAATGCAAGGAAAGAATTTACAAAAGTTTTATGTAGCAAAAGAATCTACATGAAAACATCCTGTATTTTAGTCTTAAAGTCTGCAAAAAAACATGAAAAAAAATAGTGAAAAGTAAGAAACTGATTAAGACCAGGAAAGATGGGTTTTCATTTAGTGAAAGAATGATCCTATCATAGGAAGAGGACCGGAGTGAAAACAATCATATTCTTCATATAAGTAGGAAAATGAGTGAAAAACAAACTCTATTCCGATAATCTCTCTTTAATAATTTTTGTCATTTTTACTTTTTAAAAGGTTGACATGGACAGACCATTGGAAGAACAGGGACCATTTGACCTTATCATTCAGAAGCTTACAGACTACATGGCAGCTGCAATTGATGGGAGTCAAGATGCCATGAAAACATTAAAAAGACTTGAGGTGAAAGGAGTGAAGTCATAATCTTTTGCCCCCATTCTTTTGTGTCTGAATACCTTCTTATAGGAAGTTAACCCGTCATGATATGGAAATTTGTGTTAATTTAAGTCGCGTTGATTTTTTGAAACATTAATTTCTGTGCCATTAATTAATTGAGCATTGATATTTCTACGACCTTAATTTCATTATTTTGGATACACCTCTGACATTCTTGACACTTACGAAAGAGGAGTATTCTATCAGGGTCGAGATCTGCTAGTAACTATGAAACTGTGAAGAACCCAAGAAATGGCCAGATTTTTTCGCTTCACCCTCTTCTTATGTTTAGGAAAAGTACCATGAACAAAGTTTCCATTTTAGGTTATACATTTAACTTTGTTTCTGTTGTCTCTCTCAGCTAGTTTCGTTTCTTTGTGAGCATTGCGTTAATTTCCTTCATTTTGAAATTTTACCCTCTCTTTTGTGTTAATTTCCTTCATTTGAAAGTTGTTTTGCACTATAAATTCACATTAATTGAAGTCCTGTTAATTTCCCATACTTCATTTTAACTGCCCGTAATAAGGTAATTGGGTACCACTGAGCTGTATCTCTGCGATTGAGTGAATCACAAGAGCAGGGAGGCAGCGTGGCCAAGTGGTCAGTGTGTTGGACTCGCAATCCAGCAGTCCCATGTTTGAGTCCCGCTCTGGCCACTTGCTGGATTTGTTCTCGGTCATCCCGAGTTCAACAGCCATGCTTGAAAATAGCCAACTGGTTGCCTCCTGCCAGTTGGGGTTTTTATTCCCGTTATGTTATATTTGAATGATTTGTTTCTAAGTACTTGAGTGGAGTGCCTGTAAACTAGCTGGATAAGCTAAGAGCACTTTCCACTATAAACAAGCCTTTAAACCTTTAGCCCCCATGAATATGCAAGACTGTCATATCTCTTACTTAAAACTGCTGCCTGGTTTAATCTCTCTGGGATAAGCTTTGGTCTGCCAAGCGGGAGGCTGCCAGTTCCAACCCCAGCTGGACCAACCCTCAGGGTCTTTAAATAACTAAGCAGAAAGTGCTACCTTTGTGAAGACAACTGCAATCGGTTAGGCTCTCTAAACTTTAGACCCTGTCTCAACCCTTGCACGTGTAAATTCTGTGGGATGCTGAATAACCCACACACTGTTTACAAAAGAGTAGGGGACATGTCTTCCCTGGTGTGGTGGTCTATCCCTCATGGGGAAGGGGAAGCATTGTTGCAGTGACCCTGCCAAATTTGGTGAACCTAAGTAAACTTTTCAACTTCTTTTACCCAACTATTTACAGTACAAGTTTCGTGTTGGCTTTAAATATTTTTTGTAACCTTGCATTTTAGATCTACATAAAAGACCACCCTGAAGTCATTGTGATTGATCCAATGGAGTCTGTCAGTAAGCTTTTTGACAGAACAACAAGCTACCGGATAATGAAAGAATGTGAAATACTAGAAGAAGGTTAGCCGAGATTATTGAAGTTATTTTAATTTGTATTCTTGTTGTTCGATGATATTGTTATTGAAAGTTAGTGAGTGCTCCAAAATGTTTAGTGCTGAGCAAAATATTTAATAATTCATTGTTTTGTGGCTAGTAATGAATGCTTTATTTCTGGAAGGGTGATATTGTGGTTCTGATCAGTTTCTATTGGTACAGTTTTATAACTGTCTAATATCCATGTACAAAAAAATGTTGGGAAACTGAAAGACAGCGTGGATATATACAAAGCGAAGTGAAATACCTGCTGTGAAAGATTTTAATTTCTCACAGCTGAAATCCATTAACACTGTACACTGTTTTATTACAGTTAAAAATAAATGTAATATTTTTTCTTTGTTTGTAAACATAAGGTGTTTACAATATAATACGTGTCAAAAGCTACTTACTACAGCACACAAAAGGTTAGAATGTTTCTTTGTCGGATGCCTTAAAAAAAAAGACATCCAGGCTCTAAAATTTCCTTCAAATATACATACACTGTAGGACACCTGAATATTAAGATCTTTCCCTACAGATAACCCACCCTGCCCAGGAAAGGTTGGCCGCACCACAGGGGCCTACGTCCCCAACTCTTTTTGAACAGTGGCGTGGCTTCCTTTATGTCCCAAGAGAACCAGTAAGTGAAAGTGCTGTGAGATGGGACCTACAGATTTTCGTCCTTATCCGGGAAGACTAGAAAGTCTAACCTTTTGCAGATGTCATTACAAAGGCAGCACTTTTTTTCTCAGTTATTTAAAGAACAGAGTGTTGGTCCAGCTGGGGTTTGAACCCACGACCTCCCACTCATTAGACTGGCCCTCTTCCAACTGAGCTAACCAGGTGGTGGTATTATATGCTATTTGCATACTATTTTGATATGAATATTTTATTATCAGGAATAACTGCATGTCCATTTTCTTTTTGTGCCATTTTTTGTTGTAGGAGTAAGAGTTTTTATTCCTAATTTCGTGCAAATTGATGCAATGGATCACAAGGAAAACTTGAGAAAAATAGAAAATGCTGGTGTTTCATATCCAATGGGTGAGTGACAACAATCCCTTAAAAATAATAAAAAAAGTAATAATAATTTTCATAAAGGTATTCAGGAGGTCTACAGCTGTAAATGGACATTTGATTGGCACCTTGAACTCAAGCCTTAAATTTATCAGCTTCTCAAGTTAGTCGATAGACATTTCTGATGTGAAAAAAAGTTATAAATAAATAAAAATTCTACATAACTGCATATTTTTCTTGGTATGTGTCACACAATGAGACCATCTTAATTTTTTGGAATTTAGTCTGATAAAAAATAGCAGTATATCCATATCTGAGATGTTTTCAGAACCAGGTATAATATTTAGAAGCCCATAAACAAATGTCTAGATATCTGCAATGAAAATTGTCATGAATTCAGGAAAAGGAATTAAGTTTTGGCCTTTACCTACTGAACAGTGTAATATTATTTTGAAATGCCAGTAATAGTTTGCCAGAATCTGTCTTATCTGTTTTGGTGATACTGTCATGTTCCCATCCCAAACCTTTTATATTCAAGACAGCTTGTAAACCCATATTACAGTCAAAATTATCTTGTTAAAGGGACGTGAAAAGGACATGCCAGAGTTCACTCAGTGCTTGAAAAGCAGTTACTGAGGTCACCTGAAAGTGTCCATATTAAAGTAAGAGAAAATATGTGAGCTTTCCATCTGGACATAGAAAAGTGTCCATTATGACTGGGTGTCCAAATCAAGTGGGTGTCTACAGGGCAGCCAGGTTCCATGAGAGTAATTTGTTTTGTCTTTTTCAGTTTGTAAAACTGTCATTGGACATGGATCAGAATCATGCCATGAGGTATTATGAGATTTGTATTGTAGAAATAAAGAGAACAAAAAACATATTAAGAAACATTTTTCATTAAACCTAAAAACACTTGAGGCTTTTCGAGGTTTCCCATGGACTATTTTTCCTTTTCCATCTTTGGTCTGTATAGTTGTGCTTTTAGTTGAACAAGTTAGTGATACCTACATATAGAACTATCTCTGTCTATTCAAATGTGTTTATGTATATATGCAAAAAGTTACTTTTTTGGACTGATTGGAAGTTACTTCATTTCAGATGGCAGTGATATTTAACGAAGAGGGACTCAAGGATCTAATGCCTCCTTGTGTTGTTCAACAGTTTGTTAACCACAATGCCGTTTTATTTAAGGTAACTGTGATGGTTTCATTTCATGGTTGGTAAAGTACGGCTGAAATGACACTTTTTTTTACAGCTTGTTTTAAGCAAAGCAGGTACCTTAGACAATAATTCAGAGAAACAGTGAATCTTAGAGCACCAACAAAAAATTAGCTATTTAAATGTGACAATTAAGGCCGATCGAAACACACCAATGACATTACGAGTCTTCATAGCCAACAACATCACAACTTAACTGACAGACGACCAATATCAGCATGAGTTAATTGACCAATCAGGTCAATATAACCAGAGTTTAATAACATCAACTGACATGATACAACTCGCCTTGATGCTGAAGATGAAGATGACTACCGTACAGGATGTCAAAACGTCAGTCACTGTCAACAACAACAGTCCTATTCAATTATGTAGATGCAAGGGTACAACTACAGTGGGACAAAAAAGGAACTTTGCTGTAAAGTGCAGCTGTGCAATGACATGTGCATTTTATTTTGTATTGTAAGACACAATTTGAAGGTGATGGCATCATTAATTTATGGCTTTTTTCATTTAACAGGTTTTTGTAGCAGGGAACAAGCACTATATTGTAAAGCGACCTTCAATAAAGAATTTTTATAGTACTGATGGTAAGTTTCTTTAGTCTTTAGTAGTTGTAGTAGTTGTAGTTCCGGATCAATTAAGGTGTCTGGGAAACTGCCTACCTACCCCTCCCCTAAGCTGACATAACACTTACTTCTCACTTAGGGAAAAAAGATGGCTTAGTGGAGGGGTAGGTGGGCAGTTTCCCAAAAACCTTGACTGATCTGTAGTTCCTTCTATTGACAAAGCTGGCTTTGAATATTACAATTAACAGTAAAATTTTTTGGATTTAACCACCAACTTAAACTTCAGATTAATTTTAAAAAGTACATTAGTCAACTTCTGTTGTTTATTGAACAGAAAATAAGGGTGTGTAGAAAACTCAGACCCTCAGAAAATGTAGCAATTTTCATGTGTGCTCAAGTATTTTGTGCACTCTACTATCCCTGAATGAGGGCCTCTTAGTTGGGGGTGGGGGAAGGGGGGGGCATTTACAGTGTATGTTCTTTGTCTGAATTTCAAAAAATTGTCATTTTTGCATTTTGAGGAGTAGGCTATGTCCCACTGTTTTAAGGCCATGTCACTTGTCAGAATTTTATCCTAACATGGCCTCCTGAACATGAGGGACAAACTGCAATCTAATACAGAGCTGGCACTAAGATTTATTAAAATTGCTGGCTTTGAGAGATTAGTAGGCAGGGAATTGAACAACTAAGAAGTTATTATGGTTCTATTTTCCTTTTGTTTCTTATGAAAGGAGACAGGGGTCATGCTTACAGTTACAAGGGGAAATCATGTCAAGTTTGCATGTGCATAACCATTTACTTACTCTTATGATAACATGTCATTTTTTGCAACAGCTAAGGACAGAAAAACAATATTTTTCTCATCACATGACGTTTCTAAACCTGACTCTGGTTCATATCTTAGTGAGGTGAGTGTAAAATATTTGACTTTTGTTTGTTTTTTGGGCAGTGCCCAAGTGAAGTTGCAGGGATGGTGAGATTGGCTTCAAAGTTGCAGTAGGTCTGTGGACAAGACTGGGCTTGCAAATCCAGGCCAAGCGTATGAACGTAGAGGTGTTTGCGCCCCTCTTCTTGCACCAAGTACTTTGCTCCCCATGTGTCATGCATGCGTCATTCCCAGATCTTACCAGAAATCGGTAGTAAAAATTTTGTTACGGTAAAAGCTCGATATAACGAAGTCCTTGGTATAACGAACGATTTTCTTTACCCCAGTAATAGTAAAATAGATGGAAAAGAACCTTGATATGACAAAAACTTGTTATATAGCGAACTAAGTTTGCCAGTCCCTTGGTTTTTTGTTGTATGGAGGTTCCATTGTATACGACTTGCTTTGCACTTCTTAGCCTTAATCTTGTGTTTGCATTAGTATTCTTATTTGTTTACTCTCAAGTTTTTCTGTGTTTGATAACATGCACTTTGCCCAAATGAATGCTTTCAAAGCATCTTGTACATGTCCTGCTAAACAAATTCATCAGCCACATTAAGTTAAGTAAAGTAAATAAAGTTATAATCTTTATTTAACAGTAGCACTTTTATAATGCCCAAATTTTCGACAGTCTCAGCTCTCATGACCATGACATTGTGTAAACAAGGTCAAGTCAGTTGGGGCTTGGAGTTATTCCAGCCCCCCTCCCCTCCCCTATAAAGGCTATCTTTGGGTTTTTCAATGGTATTTTCTTAGTTTTGTTTGTTCATTAAGTGCCTCTGTGTTTGAGTCAATCCCTTTTTTCAATGACAGCTGGATGAATATGACAGTGAACCTAACGTTTCTGCCCCTGATGAAAGTCTTGTTTTGAAACTTGTCAGGAAACTTCGACCGAAGTTGGTAAGTCTTGTTTGTACGTAAAATCTAACCTAGAAACTGCACAATTAGGATTGAAATAAGGCAAGGGAATAGCGGGAATACGTAAGAGAAAATATGTGAAACTGCTAAAATTGGGCTTGGGGCCCGTTTCTCGAAAGTCCCGTTAACTTTACGGGCCCGAAATCAAGTGAAAGCCGCTCAACCAGCAATGCTTATCAAAGATATTTTCCAGAATTTATTGTTGTTTTTTTTTTTACTCAGAATTTAACCATGTTTGGTGTCGACATAATTGTTGAAAAAGGAACAGGACATCATGTTGTCATAGATATCAACTATTTTCCTGGTAAGTGCAGTTGGTATATGATAAGTACTGTTGAAGAAGCGAGCAGGAGTGTATCGCTGAGAGTTTTTGAACCTGGTAGTACACGACTGCGAGTTTTTTGAGTGGCTTCAAAATCGCTGATATAGAGCAACTCTTTCTTGCACTGATAATTAGATTTGGGGTTATTTTGGTCTAAAAGATTGGACGTAAGGATTAGCCTTGTCTTCATCAGTTATTTAAGACACTCATTAAACATCAATTTCTTTGGTTTTTTCGTTTTCTAAGTATTAATGAATTTTTGAATTTTTTTATCCTTCCGTAGTTGGTTTCAGTTTTTACATGTTTTTTTTTTTTCATGTCTTCGTCTACAGGCTATGAGGGTGCACCATCATTTCCGCTAGATTTCGCAAAATATGTACATGAATTACTGGACAAGTCACAGGAAAAGGAGAGGACATCTACAACTCCCATACTTTTAAGTTGACACCAATAAAGTTATTATTAATTTCATTCTGTTATTACTTATTGTTATGAAAAATAATTGTAATAATAATAATGTGATGATGATGATGATAACAATATCGTTTCAAATTTACTAAGAGAGAGGAATAAAAAAGGCTTGAGGTACATTTTTACAGTAAGTCTCTATCTATTTAGTTTGCCACACAGCCATTTTTAGTGTCGTCATGCAACGCAACGTGTTGTGTGACAGCACTAAAAACGGCTGTGTAGCAGACTACCGGTACTATCTATTTAGCTAAGAAAAATACTTTCGAACCCCTGAGAAAGTGGCCTTTATAGGGGTGAAGGATTATAATGTGACGCCATTTTCATGGGAAAGAGTGGAACATTTTAATTTATTTTCAAAAATGCTTAATATAGCATATTTTAAAATACTTAGCAAAACCAAAATACAGTGGAACCTCGACATAACGAAGGTTTTAAGGAACTCGGCAAAATGTGTTAGCTCTCGTGACCTTCTATTTTGCTATTTACTTAGTGGGGCGAAAAATATCGTTCGTTGCAATGTATATGATCTTATCTCGGCACTGTACCTAGGGCTCATTTCTTGAAAGGCCCGGAAACTTTTCGGGCTGGAAGGCAAGTTTTAAAATCGAAACCCGCATAAAAGAACAAATGGATTAAGAACACTCAGGCTGAAATTCGGTCAAAAAAGTACCATATACATAAGAACACATTCAACTTGAAAAATGAAAATTGTTCTTATATAAAAAAAAATGGCAGCCAGTTAGATGAGAATAACCTAGGGTACAGTCAATAGTTACATGGAAAGGGGGAGGAAGGTGGAGCTAGTGCATTTTAAATTTGCTTGACTTTTGCTAAGTTTCGAGTTGTTTATCACCAGAACTGCCACCCCTCTCCCAATGTAATATTATCAGAGGCACCAATATGGACTTTTACCCTTAAAAGGTCACCTAGAATTTTCGGGAGCCTTTTCTCTTGCTGAGATTTTCGAAAAGCGAGTTACGTTTTGATCCCTATAATTTTTGCATCACTAGACTTTTAGCTAGGAAATCTGAACAGATGAAAAATTTTTAGGGGATAAAAATATCATGCCTATATCTACCGTTTAAAAACTAAAGTACATGTAACAATGCTATGTTTAAGTGGTTTGAACTATATTCTCGTTGGGCTCCCCTGATATTATTGCCTTGATTAATGCAGTTACGGTTAGTTCCATCCGTTAATGAATTAAAATGTTGTGCTTGCACACTGATTTCATCTGTTGGTAGTCTATGCAGCATTTAATTTTTAGAAACAATTGTAAGAACACCTTAAGAACAATTTCAGGCTGATTTTGCAGAAAACACCCGATATATAAGAACAAAATCAGTCTGAACCCCCAAAACACATTTTCTCTTATGCGGGTTTTTACTGTACCGAAGAGTTCGTTATATAATGGTTCCACTGTTCGTCAATACGAACAGAAACCAAGAAAGTTTAAAACAAACTTGTCAACAAACAGAGTGGATTAATGTGTAAGGAGTTCTTCAGTTTGCATGTCGTTCGCTTTTTAAAGGGGCAGTGTCACGCAGTAAAAAAAAGCTAAACCTATTTTCGTATCAACTAAATTCCAAAAATAATAGTCCAGTTTTGTTATTTTAGACTATAATTCTGTTCGATTTACCATATTAAAAAACTGCCTGGAGGAAAATATCCCGATCGATAAAAAGTTTAAATGGTTGAAAAATCACGGTACAATGTAGAAGAGAAAAATAAAAAAGAAAATACTGCGTATTCTTGTTCTTTCGCAACCGCTCGGGTCGGATTCACGCGAAGGAGATTAGTGCTATGCCTACAATTCACCCCAAAATATTGTAGTATTCCTTGATGAACTTTTTTTTCGTTTGACATCTTCATATATTACGGCTCGACATGAGCATTTTGTGTGTGGATAGAGACACTTAGTAGTAATTTCTGCACAGAATTGACCTTAAACAGCAATATCCGCTTGACATTGCCTCTTTAAATCGCCGTTATGGAGAGGTTGTTTTAGCGGCTAGGACGCAGTTCATATCAGTGAATGTTGCGTTTAGCACGGTCTCCATCCACTGGAGCGCTCCCCGAGCCTTCCATGAGGCGGGGGTCGTTGGGCTTGTGAACAGGTGGTCATTTTTGAGAGACAGAGGCTTAAACGTTGGGGCAGAAATGTAGCGATTGGGGAGAGGCCGTAGTTTAGAGGTTTCTGTTAGTAGCCTGTTCCAGGCCAGAGCGAAAACCGCGTTGGGGCTGGGGGGAGACCGAGAGCATAGCACAGGCTAGGTAACTAGAGGTTCGACTGTATTCAGAAACACCAGTTAGATTTAGGAGCTTGATACAACATTAGTATTGTTTTACTATAAGGGCGCTTACCGGTATTATTAGTGAGAATGGGCTGGCCATAACAGTTCAGTTTTTAAGAAAATCTGCCTATTGATCAGGGCGCCGGTTGTTCAAACGTTGGATAGCGCTATCCAGGGGAGAAATCACTATCCGACGGATAAGTATTAAGGAAACCAATAAGAATTGCGCTATTCAGTAAGAAGAGATTTATCTGGTGGATAGCGTTATCCACCCTTTTGTACAACTGCGGCCTGGATTGTCCAGCCAGATCAGTCTTTAGTAAATAGTATGCATGGCAGTGATTGGTTTTTAGCAGACGCTGTCGCTTCTCTTTCATTTTCAAAATGATCTTTACAGCCGGCCAGTTCTGATTAATGGTAAGCGCCGTAAGTTTCACCCATTCACGTTTGGTGTCATTTACACGTACGAAGACAAAAAAAGCGTTTATTACTTTTGAGTGTGAAATACTAAATAGATACTTCGAAATGTGTTGACCAATTTTTATCGTGTGACCACAGGTGGCCCAGGCTCACTGTTTGCGTCGCGTACGGGTTTCATGTAACATGAGTATTATATATAGAATGAATGTATGCAGGGGCGAAGTTTAGGTCTGGAAATTCGCTAGAAAATGGAAATGAAAGTCGATGAAACTTACCATGTGGCGAGTTGTTGTCCTTAATATGCACACGAAGTTTGCATATTAAGCCTAGGACCGGGTCAGGGCCTATCTTTTTTTTTTTGAAAAAAGACCACGACCCCGGCCCAGACTCCGCGTTTTACTAACACTCCTATAACATACCTTTCCTTTTTTCAGTGATAGAGTGGTAAGCGTTTTACCAGGGGGCTTATATTTGGAGGGGCAATTTCTCGGATGGTTTTTTGCGTTACGAGTTTGGGGGGCTTACATTTGGAAAGCCTTACTTACTTGGAAAGCCTTATTGTTTTCAGATGCTTAACTTTCTTTCGTTCAAGAGAGAGAGAACTGTTCCTTTTGAAATTATCTTTTTCCTGTGAGTATGTACTCAAAATAAATAATAAGGGTAAAATCACACGACATACAATAGGAAAACAAAACATACAAGCTAAAGAGGGTCTACATCAGCCTCGTTCCCAGGTATTTGTTTACCCGAGCTACTCCGAGCTAATACGTATATGAGCTGAAGCGCTGCGGCCGCCGCCCTCTTTACTAGATCAAGTGCGTCCCATTTTCCCTTACGTTCGCGACTTTGTCCATCAGATCGTGAGGTGATCATCACTCTGTTCTGTTCTGCGAGTCGCAGTCCAGGCTTAGCTACATAATTCCCAAAATATGGCCAAAAAATTCTTTCCGCAATTTCCCGAAAAAAGCTCTAAAATTCTTTTCGAAATGTTCAAAATTCTCAAAAATTCTCAAAAAATTTTGGATTTTTGTGATAGCGAGGGCGAGGGCGAGGGCCCCTTTTGGTGAATAACCGCTGATAACTTGTAGTGTAGACGACTCTGATGAAAAGCCGCTGATTTGTTTAGCGAGTGCGAGCAAGCTCTCCTATTTGGGCGAGGGAAGCGAGTTTCGCGAGAACGCTCGCTCATAGCTTGCGCGTTCTCGCGAGGCTCGCCCAAATAGGGGAGCTTGCTCGCAGGCTAGTGATTTGTTGTGCTCAGTAGACAGTGTTCTAGACACTGCTGTAGCATGTAATCGGACTGAGCCCTCTCCTGGTCGGTAGGAATACAACAAAAAACGTTTTGTCAACGTTTTTGCCATGAAATATTGCAAAAATGTCGGGTGAATGTTCAAATTGCTTTAGAATTCTCGAATTTGTCGATTTTTCCCCCAAAAATTCCTGCGATTTTCTAAAATTCTTTTTGAAGTCTAAAATTCCAAGAAAAATTCCAGAATTATGTAGCAAAGCTTATCGCAGTCATGGCCTTCGCGTGTTCGCGTGTTGTAAAATCGGTGAAAACACTGCATTTTAGTTTGAAAAATCATTAGGAGTGATGATGCTCACGAACCCGTGCATGCATTGCACAGTTGTCAGTAGAGCCTTATACTTTCAGCTAACGTTTCGCACGTACTGCGTGAATCGCGAAAACAGTGGCCCGCCGGGGCTCGCAGACTCCCTAGCCGTGACTGAGAAATGAGAAATCGTTCACCTTGGTGGCCACATCACGGACACTCAACTCGAGGGGACTTCCTATTTTAGACTTTGAACACCAGTTTCGTTATATTCCGTAATCAATGGATCGTACCAAAAGTAAAAACCTTTTTGTCAGATGATATCATAAAGATAAAAACAACAAGAAGTCATTAAAGAAATTTCGCCTAATATATTTGTATTTTGTGGCTCTTAGCAATGTCATGATTATTCTGTAAACTACTTATAACTTACCTTATTATTCAACCCATACGCTAAAAAAGGGGATCAGGAAAAAAACAAAAACAAAAAGCACCGGAAGTTGCGTGACACTCGTGAATTGTCACCCGTATTTTCAACCAATAAGCACGCCAAGTTAGACAATGGCAATCTAAAGATTTGAATCGGAAGGAAAATATAAATGCAGTGACTCACCTCTGTTTTGCCATTCAAGCACGTATAAAAACAGTGGTACATAATACAGTCGTTGACGATGTCGTCTTTGGTTCACAACCATCTTCGAAGGAAACGAGTTGGCCTAGTGCTCACCAAGAAAAAAAGGCTAAAACCGCTTTTTGTTGCGTTTGTGAAATTGTGTCGGTACGTTTATAACCACCTCAATATGCATTTTATAATATTCTCTCCCTAAACTGCATCGCGTACATATAAATGATGTATTACCTTTTAATGGTTTGTTTGATTTTAGGGAGACTGGAATCGACTTAGTTGAGGTAAGAGGTTTTGTAAAGCAAGGGAAGCGGATCGATCGAGCATTAATCACGCTTTTGCTTTAATACTTGCATAGTGCAGGTAACGTTAAAATAGTGTGAAGGTTATTACTCGGGAGATTGTTGTAAATAAGACCGCTACCATCATCCAACAAAGTAAACGTTAAGTTACATAGGGAAAATTCTCTCACTCTTCATTCGATATTTTTTATTTACGTGATTATTTCGAAGCTTATATTGATCAACTCGCCGTTGATTTCATCAGAGCTCATGAGTAAAATTTATCGACCCTTGAAGGCGTCGAAATAAAGCAGCATGTTGTTTATGCAAATCGTATTGACGCACTTGATATTCGATTGGCATAATTCCCTTCCTAAGAGAAATGCCCCTAGCTAGGAGGTCCAATACTTCACTAAAATGTTGAAACACTTTGGCTTGTTCGATAGTATAACAGCAATTTTAAGTAAAGCTATATATCCGTAGTCTCATGGGTGTCTTCCAGGCAGGTTAAAAACTCCGACTCCGAGAAAGAAATACAGAAGTTAGTTGTAATTAAGTAGGGAACCTTAAGAGGTATGTCATTCATACCGAAGAGCGCTTACTTTCATAGAGAACTTTCGATGAAAAAAACTCCTACAAATGGAACTGGTATATTTACCGAAAATAGGAACGGGATTGAGTTGTATCATTTGCAAAATACCGATAAAGCTTTCGCTTTCTCTCGCGAGGAAGCCTGGCATGGCACTGGTATTAAATTCACACAATACGGCCGTTCCGGTATTACCGTAAAATCGATGCCTCGGAAAAAATTACCTTTTTCCCGTGCAGAAAAATTTTCACCAGAATGAACTCTTTCCACTTGAATTCGTGCCGGAATCAGGAGTCGATCGTTACCGGGCTTTCAATACAAAAGGTATTAAATTAAGCGCTCGAAGTTTCTAGCACACCCGTCTGAAGAATGGACCGATTTGCCTGAGTGGGTCGTCGGTGAACGCGTACAAGGGTTCTTTAAGATCGTTTTTAAAAATATTTTGTAGTAAAAAACAAAAATATTTCTTTTCTCTTAAATTATAAAGAATATTTTTAGATTTCTCCTCAGGGAGTTATTTACAGGGCCAACCTCTCCTACACTTTTGTAAATGCTTTCAAAAAGTTCTGTCTCAAGAGTCTGTTCAAGTATTTATTAGCAGTCTAAACGTGCATGACGTAAGCGATCTCGTGGCGTTCTCCTGAGTGTAGGACTGTTTCATGTCAAGCCTGAAGTCAAGTAGTGTTTTATACCAATTTACTTTTCCCGCGCTTTTATAAACATGCTTTTGAAGTCACTCGAGGCATTTCGGTGGTTGCTTGCGTGCAAAGGAAATAGGAAACGTCTGCACGCAGACCATTTCGGTGGCGGATGCGCAAAGAGTATCTGAAATTCCAAAGGATGGCATATACACAATTAATCTGGTAGCTAAAAGATGAAACTTGCGCAACACTTTGCCTCTTTAATAATAACCACAAAATACGTTCAGTAGTCAGTCATTAGACAGTTTAACCTTCACGTATACGGCAAACGGCAAACGACAGATTCAAGTTGAGAATTTGTTAAAATAGAAAATGAGCAGATAAAAACCAGCTCAGAAAATTCTTATGGATAACAAATTATGTGAAAATACATTCGACTCTCTCTTAACGGACACCTCTGTGAAACGGACACTTAGAGTTGGTCCCTGCCTTTCTTTACTCCCTTTATTTGACTCTCTATAAGACGGACACTTAGAGCCGGTCCCAAAGGTGTCCGTCTTATAGAGAGTTGACTGTACTCATTTGTGTGTAGAAATAATGGACAGTAGGCGACAAGCAAAGGGGAAACTTGGTCACGTGGTACAAATCGCGTTTGCCGTTTGACGTAAACGTGATGCTCAGCCTTCCTTCCTATTGTTTTCTTTTCGTTCTCGCGGGAATGGTGAGATCACTGACAGTCTAGACTGTAGTCAGAAAAGACACAGAGCTGAGAAAGCGAACCAAGTAGAAATGGTCTTAGATCAAGTGGTCTCTGTTGGACTCACACTGCACTGCTATGAGGAAACCGTTTCTGAAGAAAAATTTGGAATGGAATTCGCGATGTAGCTAGACTACGAGTAGTCCCCCATTTTTCCTCAGGGATAGGAGAGCGAGCTAAACGCGAGCGCGCATGAAAATCACCCCACGCGAGAAAAGGCGACACGCGGCGTGGGGTGATTTTCACACGCGCTCGCGTTTCGCTCGCTCTACTATCCCTGAGAAGAAATGGGGGACTACTCGTAGTCTACAATGTAGCTTGAACCTGCAGCCGTTTCATTGACCCCATGCCGAGTAGCAGAAGGGTTTTTCTTTGCTTTTTACTTATAGTCTGTAATATCTGATTTGTAATAGAATTAATTTGGCACGCTCGCTGCGACTAGCGTTTTTATGGCCAACTGCGTGCCAGGAAATTATACAAGCAATGTTATGATAACAAATGTCTTGTCTTGACTTTTTACCACATTTCATACAAACAAGCGTGATACTGCCAGCGTTGTAGGATCAAAAGAAACGCCTGTGTTACCTTATTAAACAGTCAAATATTTAATTAATAATGCATTTTAATAAATGCAAATAATAGAAATTTTATGGAACGTTTTACGAAACGCAACATGAAAAATGCATTACATATTTCGGTTTTATCAGGTTGAGTTAGACATACCGCTTGAGGAACAAGGTCCATTTGATCTGATAATACAGAAGGTACCAGATTACCTGGGCAAGGCGGTTGGAAAAGAGCTGGGCAAAGACGAAGCTTTGCAAATGTTGCAAGGAATCAAGGTCAGTAAGGGATGGTCAGTTAGAAAAGTTATGGGGGAAGTGCGGAATTTCAAAGCCCGTGAGTTTTCTAATGGTCCATCCCTAATCTACAGCTATAACTCCCAGTTAGACCTGATAAAAGGAATCTTCGCACATTGTGTAATCAACAGCGTCCGTATGGACCACATTAAAGCATTGTGGGCGAAAATTTAATGAGTGAAAAATATTTTAGTGGGGAGGAGGGGGGGGTGGGCTAAGCACGTAGGGGATAGGGAGGAATGGAAAAAAGAAAGGGGTTGGGATTGGGATTGGGATTCCCTTTCGCGCTTTTCTCCTTCCCCTCTCCCCCTCCCCTTTTTGCGCCTGCCAGGCAGGCTAAGAGAGTTTCGGATGTCAACCCTATGGCCTGATCATACTAGCTGTGATTGAAACCCGGGGACCGACCATTTCTCGATAGTTTTAACGCCCTTTTAGGCCCAGACAGCTACTTTATGAGTGCAGTGATGTGAATGAATAAATAAATGAATGTTAAAAAGGCGTTAAACTCTATGGCAGCGTTAAAATTTGGTACCCACACACGGTGCCCGACCACGGTACTCGCTGGAGACTGATATGAGCACACCCTTTTGTCAAGTACCCACGCTCAGAATTCGGGCACAATAGTGGGCACCGGGTCCTTGTGTGTACGCCGTTTTTGTCCGGTGTGGGGAAGCCATTGCCAAGGTGCCCGACTGACGGTACTCACTGGGCGCTGAAGTGTACACACCTTTTTTTTTCATGAATAATTTCGGGTACAGTGATTCGAATTTTTCAAGTGACTTTTTTCTACCCTCGTCGGCCTCATGGCTGCATAAGGACCCTAATACATATAGAGTGGACAAGCGTGTAGCCTGCGATCATGCCATTATCTCCATCTGTTCATCCCCTCCCGAAAAAAAGACAATAAAATAAATTAAATAGTAGCGCCTATTTGCTAGCCTGCGTAGCAGGCGCTTGGAAGTAGTGGGCGCAAGAAAGAGCGAGCACGCGAGAGGGAGACACGCGCGCCCGTTTTTTCTTGGGCCTGCAACGTAGGCTACCTATTTGCAGGTTTTCAGCGCACAGCAGACGTCTCTTAATTCTATTTTTTTTTTAATGAAATATGATAGATAGATATGATGCACAGACTAATGCTGTGTTCACTTTTTACCGGATAGCTTCACGTGCAGACACAAAAAGCTATCCGGTATAGTGTGAACACCTGTCCGATATGTGACTTCACTTTAGGGAAAGCGTGGCGCAACATCGCTGCGTTATCGTTATCGTTATCGTTATCGTTCTTATGCGTGAAAAGAAGCCCTATCTGGTATGGTTTTCGTGCCGGCGCAAAAGCTATCCGGCATAGTGTGAACACCTATCCGATATGTGACTTCACTTTAGGGAAAGCGTGGCGCAGTATCGCTGCATTACAGAAATCGCGCTGAAATCATCGTTCTTATGTGCGAACAGAAGTCCTATATGGTATGGTTTTCGTGCCGGAGCAAAAGCTATCCGGTATAGTGCTAACGTAGCCTAACACTTGAGTTGTTCTTTTATTCGTCTGAAAGTTTCGCCGCTCACATGATAAACTGTTCCTTTTCATCAGCTGTATGCTAGAGATCACCCCGGAGTTATCCTGCTTGATCCACTGGAGCCAGTTTGTAATTTGCTTGACAGAACAAGAAGTTACCAGGTCATGAAAGAATGTGCAATTACTTCGGAGAAAGGTAACATTTAAATTAGCCTGCAAGCAAGCTCTTCATTTGGGGGAGACGCGAGAAGTCACGCGAGAACAACACGCAAAAGGAGGCGCTCGCCATAATAGACGTCTTTAGCTTGTGTGTTTTGTTTTTCCAATGTAGGTCATATGATAAAACTCAAGAGAACTGTTTCCTTCAAATTTCGAATTATTCCGGTGCATATGCACGCATAATTTCTGAAAAGAAAAAGTGTCAAATGTCCCTGAGACCTCTATTGGGAAAACAAAACGTACAAGCTAAAGAGGTCTATTGGAGAGCTTGTTCGTAGCCTCGCACGCTACATTTGAATGTAACTGATTTAAATCTCCGGCCGTAAATATATTTAATGCTCAAAACGTTAAAACTACCTTCACTTTGCCGGATGTAAATCACTTGTTTTTCGGCTCAATATTCTCAGCCCTCTAGGATGTTGTTTTCATATATCTTCAAGTTTTCAGGGGCACCCAACGACAATTTTCGGAAAATTATCTGTTCGGAAGACGATTTGAGGTCTAGAATTTTCGGATCATTTTCTGAAAAATTTCTCGCTTGCCTGCCTCTCCTAAGATTTTCGAACTTCAAAAAAATTGTATAATTGCCCATTTTTAATGGATTTTTACCCTAAAAAGGTCACCTAGAATTTTCGGGAGCCTTTTTTCTTCCTGAAATTTTCGAAAAGGTAAATTTTGATCCCTATAATTTTCGGATCACTATACTTTCAGCTAGGAAATCCGAACAGATGGAAAATTTTTAGGGCATAAAAATAAGCCTTTATCTACCGTTTAAATACTAAAGTACGTTCAACAATGCTATGTTTATGTGGTTTTGAACTATATTCTCGTTGGGTGCCCCTGAGTTTTTATGTGTTTCCTGACTAATCGGGAAACTTTAGCTCAAGGGAATGCGTCATGATTTTCTTAATTTCCTTAGTTTGTTGTCGGTTCTCTTCCCTAAGTTATTTTTCTTATGTCTGTTTATACTTTCCCTCCTGATTTATTTTATTTTAGGGATAAGGGCGGTGGTGCCTAATTTTGTACAAATTGACGTGTTGGATATTAAAGAAAATTTGATGAAAATAGAGAAAGCAGGCGTTTCCTTTCCAATGAGTAAGTTGACGTTACTTCGATGTTGTAAGTTATTATTCTCTTTATTTACTTCGATGTTGTAAGTTATTATTCTCTTTATTCTATATTCCTGATAACGATTATGACAAAGATTTAATGTAAAGGCTCTAGCGCTATCTAAATGTGTTTTTTAAAGTAAATACAAAAGGAGTTCATGTTAATAATTTTATAGTTCATTTTAGTTTTTTTTTTCTCCAGTTGTCTTGTCAAAAAAACTTATAAACGTGCGATTTTTGGAGCAATAAAGAGAATACAGTAAAGTTTTCTTCCCTTGTTGGTCACATGACATTCGCGTCCTGTTGTCCACCTACAAACTCCGCAAAACAAACCTTTAGCATAAAAGATAGCCTGCGTAGCATGCGCTATAAAGCAATATTGGCGCATAAAGGAACGGGGCGCGCATGGGGGGACACGCCAGGGGAAAGGTAGCTCCCACTCTCCTCGTGTGCCTTACTCGCGCGCCCCGTTCCTTTTTGCGCCCATATTATTTTTTATGTGCCTGCTACAGAGGCTACATAGAACACCTTGGTCAGGGATCGAACAGCTGTATAAAATTACTTAGCAGATAACTAGTGTAAATGGACCGTGAGGTTCACTCAGGCGCGACATAGCGGCCGGAAGGACTGAGTGGGGAGCTTTTCGTGGAGAGGTCACCGGACTGGAAAAGATAACTAACGGACTTTGGACCGGAAGGTCCAACACACCTTCCCACCGGTAGAGGGGCGTTGGTTGACGCCCCTAAAAACGGTTGCCATGGAGACAAGAAGTCCCAGTAATCGAAAACCAGTTTTATAGTAAGCCTTATTATCAATTGGTCTGTACGTTGATTCACTTTATACTGCTTATTTCAGTTTCTAAGCCAGTGATTGCTGATGGATCTGATGTGTCTCATAAGGTTAGTCGTATTCCCTGACTCTATTTCAGTTCCTTCGGGGTAGTCTCGTTGCCCAGGACTCTTGTCCAGCTCTGATCTCTGGTCTCTTCTCTCCAGAGGCCACTTGGTGTCATAGGTAGGCTGGGGAGAGGCAAAATGAAATGAAAGCATGAAGTGGACAATTTATCATAATCCACCGCCTGTTTTCGTCGTAGGAATTACAGTAATACTTCTATTTGTAATTACAGCTACGATTATTTTAGCTTTTAAGTGGCACAAAAATCACCGTACAAGAGATTTGCAACGAAACTTTTGTGTATTCTTATTCCGGAATACGATCAATCAAACTAAGCTTTCTCGTACGGAATCGTTCGCTACGCGGGATTCTTTGGCTCCTGACTATTATTTTTTGTAACATGGATGCTTTATTCGAGCTACTTATTGTCATTTCAGATGGCGGTCATATTTAACAAAGAAGGGCTGAAGGATTTAATGCCGCCATGCGTTATTCAACAGTTTGTCAACCACGACGCAAGACTGTTCAAGGTTGGCCAGTTTTAAATATATCTGACCTACTTATAATTTTGTCATTTCTTATATAAGAGTGTTAACTCTTCCAAGGACGATGATATCATGCCTTCGGTAATATTTAAGTTGAACATTAGACTGGTTTACACTGAGTATTTTCCGGTGGGGATAGGATCCTTTGTATCGCGAAAATTGGGTAAAAATGAGTGTGTGACCGCTTCTTCCCGAGATACCTTAACTCGCGTTTCTAAGTCACACTATAAAACATCCAATCAGTAGAGTGGTTATAAAATTATCCCGCGTAAAAGATGTACCGCCGCTGCGTGGCCCACGGAAAACGACAATCTTGAGTGCGATCGCCTCTATTTCGGGATCTAAAATACTACAAATAATGCCGATAATGTAACGCGAGAAAAGTACCATGGAACATTGCTTTTCTCACGGTGTGTACAACCACGATTGTAAAGTAAATTAGTTTGTTAAAAAATCATCTAATATTTGAAATTTTCGTCCACCATACAGGTTTATGTGGCAGGCAATCATCGCTATATTGTTCAACGGCCATCAATAAAAAACTTCTACAACACTGGTGGTACGTGTGAAACATTTTAATTAGGAATTAAGATTAAAATCATAATTCATAATATTGAGAAAATTAGGAATTAAATAAATTTATTTCGAAATTAATGTATAATTCCGATTCTGAGTAGTTCACTTCTGGCGGGAGAAGTTTGGAAAATACTAATTGCAGAGGAATGATGGTTTGACTTGTATTCCTTATTCTCGTGAGCTTTGACTGATTTTGAATCGATTGAAAAAAGACCATAAGTTTTATGTTTCTCATAATTACAAATCCTGCTCTATTATTGGTCAGAGCAAGTATATTTCCTATTTCTATAGCACGCGCCTGACGTCATCATGCACTTTCTTTTTCAAAACCATGACGTCACCAGCAAGAGTAGTATGTGCGCAAGTCATGAGAGAAGGAACGAAGAACTTGTTTTTCGTGAACTGTTGAGTTGTATAGTCCCTTGGCAATTTGCCTAGAACAAAAGTTGACTTCCGTCTTAATTTGATGTCTTTGTCTTGCGTAGTAATTTTTCCACACAGAATGCAACGGTTGTCGTAACGCTCAAATTACGTTAAAAGATGATTTGTTGTGTGACAGGACGCTGCAGTCTTTGCTGTTTTTGTTGAGCGACAAATCGCGCGATCGCCCTTATATACATCCCTTAATTTTGTCTAGTTAGTGCACTATATAAGTTCAACTCGTGGAGCTTGGGCTACCTGAGCTCAAATGACACCGTTTAAAAGTCTTTTTCTGTTTGTTTTTACAGCCAAGGATAGAGAAACAATATTCTTTTTATCGAACGAAATGTCGAAATCTTATTCAGCCTCCTATCTTCACAAGGTAAGTCTAGTGCAATTGAAATGTTTTGTTAACTCTGTTAGAAAAAGGTAGTGATCAGCGCTTGGTATGCATACCTTCTCTATGCCGTCATCCTCGTCTTCATCAATGTTTTTTTTTGCGTTTAGATTTTCTTCTTTTCTTTCTCTTTTGCAGACTTTTACTCTATTATTTTGTTGTCGAGGCTTATCTGTCTTTCTTCTCTTTGTTCTTTGTTCACTTGTTTTTTTTCATCTTCTCTTCTCGTCTGTTCTCTTCCTCTTTTTCCTACTGTAACATCTTTTCCCAAATCGTTCTTTCTTCTCTTGTCCTTACTTAGTCAGATCGAGTTTGGCTAGTAGTACATCGGCCGACAATGCGTCCTTCCAGTAGGTAGCAACCAACCTCGTTCCCATGCAGGATTCTCTCCTATTCCCAATTACGAGTAGAAGAGAACCCTGGGAACGATGTTACATGGGTAGCAACAAGTGTACTGGCAGTAGGCTACAGCTCCTGCTGAATTGCGACCTTTTAACTGGGGGTTAGTAATTTGCAATATAATCTTTGTACAGATTGTTGGTTGAGGAAATATGAGTAAAACACGGCTCGTGCTTGGGAATTAGCTCACCCACACGTGGGTTCGGAAATCTTTTTCTAGCTGATGGTAGAATGGAAAAACAACGTGCAATTGTCTATCGCCATTATTTTCTCATTGAATAAACCTTTTAAGTTAAACCTAAATGCTGTTTATGTTAGTAATTGTTAGTTTTTTTTTCCGAAGCGTAACTTTTCAACTTGGTTTGTTTAATAGTTAGATGAAGATGACGATGAAGACGGCTCTGTATATCCTGATGACAAACTTGTGTCGGACCTTTTAGATAAACTAGAACGAAAACTGGTAAGGTCACTGAATTACTTGTGAGCATACACGTCTTCTTGAAAAAAATCCAATGTCTTAAAAAGGTGCGCGAGATGGTGAAGGTTACAGTGATACCAGCTTTTCACTATAACGGAGAAAACGTTTCTACGAGCAAATGACAAATTAACGTGCCGTATTCATTTTTAGGCCCAGTTTATAAATCGCGCTTCTGTCGTACGAACTTAATTGTTGAATTAAGTTCGACAAAAGTACGGCAGAGGCACGATGTCTGAAGAAACGTTTTGACTTTGGTTTGGCAGAGCAAAGTTCGCGGACAAGCTCTGCTGCACGACTGATGCTACACGACTCTGGCACGGCCGTGCTTGTTAAGTGTGTCGAACTAAATTCATAAATTTTGGAAACTGTATTTTCTCGGGATTTGTGATCATGATTTTGTTTCAGTTACCACTGACTTGATACTACTTACACGGAAATGGAGTTCGACTCTGGCTCGAAGTCTGAATTCGTGCGTTTGTCACTCTTCTGTACGTATAACCCAGTTTCCGTGCGAGTTCGTCGAGATAGTTGGGACATGAGCAAAAAAAAAATGAATGACCCCCACTCTAACGTTCGCACAATAACTCGATTGGAAACGCTTGCAACGCAGGCTATTCGGCACGGTATGCAGAAGCAGGATTTATGGAACTGTATTTAGTGTCTAAGAGTGCAAATGTGATGGCATCCAGATCTGAGAGCATTTAGTGTCTGGAAATTAGAGCGTAACATTTTTTATTTTTCTTTTTTCTTTTTGAATCAGAATTTGACATTGTTTGGTATCGACTTGATCGTTGAAAAAGGAACGGGGCATCATCTTGTAGTCGACATCAATTATTTCCCTGGTAAGAGAAATTTTGGTGTATTAAATGCACGGAAATAAAAGATAATAAGGATCATCAATAATCAAAGATTTAGATGATAATGGAAATTTTCTTTATGTTTTTGAATGTACAGTTGTAAATTTCGCTACGTATAGGCAATTTACAAATGCTGCCTGAGACTGTATTATTCAAAAAAAAAAAAGGAGAAGAAGAAGAAGAAAAAATCAAAATTGCATTAAGTCTGGGCTATCCCTATTCCTATTTCTACAACAAAAGATGTAATATGTTGCTCTAATGGCTATATTTATCATTTTCTTGATTATATAAAGTTGCTGCTTTTTGTTAATGCCAATGTCATTCATCATGGCTAAGAACGTGAAGTATTCGTGGGAGAAAACGCCAAGGGAGCTCAAGGAGAGATTTACAAATTTCACACATCTGTAATTTCTACTCATTTCTTTGATCAACTTCAGATATTTTTCTTTTTTAGGCACTGCATTGTTATTAAGGTTAGACTTGAAAGCAACTGTTAATTCTAGAACATATAGGCACTTGGACTGGATAATAATAATAATAATAATAATAATAATAATATCATTATCATCATCATCACCACCACCCACACCACCACCACCACTACCATCATCATCATCATCATCATCACCAATATCATCATCGTTATCACCATCATCATTATCATCATTAGCAGCGCTTCGATGTGAAAACTGACTGTTATTAATCATTTATCTTTGGTTCGATCTTTAGGTTACGATGGTGTGCCCTCCGCTCCAGAAAAAATCACAAAGTATGTACACGAGTTGCTCGACGAATCCTTCAAAAGAGAACAACTGGAAGTTCAAAGAGCCTTTTGACCTCTTAGAGGAGGCATTATTAAAGCTAAATCTCGAAAAATGTCTTCACCAAGCAAATGAACGAAACAATAGCCATGCACCTACATTGCATCCATGTGTGGCTACAACAGGGAGTGTGCAGCAATAAAACTCCACATTAGGTTCTTAAGCAGTCATCTTCTTCCACAGCTTAGCGGCGGAGGTGAAGATTGCGTCTAAACGTTGTTTGAGGTCAAGAATTCGCTCACATGGAAACTCTCGCCTATTCCACAGTTCCATACATTTGGGCGCTTTAAAGTGTATCAATCGTCTTTGCTAGGACAAGCTATACCCTATTATTTCTTTATCGAGTGATCTTTACCCTTCACTTTTGAGACCTCCAACAGCTAGCAAGAGACAAAACTTTCTAAATCAACGGTGAATCTTGTGTTTTCTCTTGAGAGTGACTGAGTTATCTATCAGCTTTCTCTCATAACAGGGCAGTCACCTGGATTTGCCGCTACCACAACTTTTGAGAAGGCGGATAATTTAACAGCGAGGAAGTTCTTTTCTTTATAATTTTCCTTTCGTTTCCTATCAAAGACGCTTGGAGTCATGCTAATACATATGGAAGCCGAGGGAAACCCCGGCCCGCGGCACTTAGTCAGACTTAGTGGCAGCGCTGTTAAATTCTTCTCCCTCTTTTTCAATTTCTAACTTACGTTAGTGTAAATGTTAATTATTTAATACAAAATTTATATTTGATATAAATATGGGCGGTTTATTAAATATACAATTTTGGAGTCATGAGACATAATTTACATTGTTGGAGAGCAATGATCACCTCGTTTCTATCTTTAATAAAAGTTAAAAATTTGTTTTCGTATTTTTTGCTATATAACATGTTTTTACCTATTAAAACTAGTTTTTCCTGTGATGTGTGATCATGAGTTTTTTGCGAAGGTTAATAAAATTTATATCAACCCCAAATATATTTAAGAGTTACTGTTAAGGGGAAAAAGCCCTTGAGTAAGTCGCTGTCATCTTGGATTTTGTGGCTTCTCGTTTTTTGAAAAAGCAAGGCAACCGTTTTGTGACTTTTTTTCCAAGGATTTATATTATCGTGGTTTATTTATGGATAAGCTAGCTTCACAGGGAGAGAATACGACAAAAGTACGAGCAAGATACTCCTTACGCAATAGTAAGTTTAAAAGAGCTAGTCTAAATAATGAGAGTTTATTTAATTTTTAAGTATGTTTTAAATAATAAAAACCAACTTGAATCTTGGAGTCAGACAGTCCTTCTTTAAGAACAACGTAACTGTACGTAGTCATGCTAAACTACTCACTAGTTAAAAAATATCTTTGTGAACTGAAAGTCCCGACAGTGGACACTCTCTAAAATTGCCTACACGGGGAGGCTCCGCCTGAAAGGGGTACGTTTTTCGGGCTTCAGGAATATCAAAGGGTTAGATAGGGAAATCATGAGTTGAAGTAGATGAAAAGGTAGAAAAATATATCACCCTTGATTGAAATGTTGAAAAAAGACGAGCCTTATAATGGCTATGTCCTTTGAATTTACTAACTACAAATCGAAAATGACAACAAAACTTCCTGCTTCAACGGATTTATTCTTATTAAGTAGGTATGTTAAAGGGTAAAATTTTTCAATGGAAGGTATACGAAAGCGGTACCTTTTTGATCAAAAATAGTATATAAAAAAGGGGTTGGTCGTCGGGCGGAGCCTTTCCGTATAAAGATGATGTTACACGAGGACGATTCGCAACCACGATTTTTAGCGCAACACAGCGTTGCAACATCGTTTCGAATGATTGCAACATTGTTCCAACATTGCAGCGCTGTGTTGTGCTAAAAATCGTCGTTGCGAATCGTCCCGTGTAACACCACGTTTCGAATCATCTCTTGTCACATCACCTTAAAACTTTGACCTCGACCACAGGAATCCGGACACTTTTGAAACCGCATATTTTTCAATCTGGATTAGTGTGGATGCGGCCATAAACCACTCTGAAGCGGTTTCAAAAAGATGTGGTTTCCGTGTCAGACTCACTGACTTGGTGTGCACGGAAGGCCGTATTCGTGTAAAAATATAGGCCGTTTACATGTAAAAGATACTCGGATTTGTGTGAACTGGGCCTTTGTTGAGTAGCCTCCAAGGCTGCGAGAAAAATTCGCCACAGGTAACGCAGGCTCTGTGATAGTACCACAGTACGATTCCAGTAAAATTACACAGTTTGTATGGGGTAAAAATACGATCCTAAAATTTGTAGGAAATACTGGATAAAAGTCAATGGAAGTTACAGGGGCACCCAACGGCAATTTTCGGAAAAAAAGATCTAGCATTTTCGGAACATTTGTTGTAAAATTTCTTGCTTGCCTGCCTCTCCTAGGATTTTCGAACATCTAAAAAATGGTATAATTGGCCATTTTTAACGGATTTTTACGCTAAAAAGGTCACCTCGAATTTTCGGGAGCCTTTTTTCTGGCTGAAATTTTCGAAAAGGTAAGTTTTGATCCCTATAATTTTCGGATCACTAAACTTTCAGCTAGGAAATCCGAACAGATGAAAAATTTTTAGGAGATAAAAATATGCTTATATCTACCGTTTAAATACTAAAATACGTTTAACAATGCTATGTTTAAGTGTTTTTGAACTATATTCTCGTTGGGTGCCCCTAAAGTTACTCTGCAGTTCTTAATGCTCAAACGAAGTTTCATGATAATTTGTTCAAAATTCACGCCCCATAAAATATGACCCCGTCTTTGTTTCTACCACTGGATTGGGTTAACTTTTGATTTGTTGGCTAGACTGGGAACAGTCTCTCGTTTTCTTCAGATTTAGTGAAGGGGAGTGCGGCGTCAACGCGAGAGACGAGACGGCAGCAAAGCAAACTCTAAGGTCACGTTTCAGTTGCTTGTCCTTTCAACACTTAAGTTTTTACGCCAAAAAATCACTAGACCGTGAAAGAGCATTTTTTCTGGCTTTGCGAGTAGTCTCTCTTTTTTCGTGCCTTACCCGTTTCGCGCCTTCAGCAACGCGTGTGGTCATTGGCGTGTCGCGCACGTTTTGCTCGACGGACCAAGAAGAAAGAGAGACTAATCGTAGTCTATTAGTTGGCTGATTCAATAAACGAACGGGTTATCAGCAAGTACAGCCAGAAGCGGGATTGTTTTGGAGTAACGACACACTGTAAAGATCAACACGATAGAACTGAGGCGCAGCAACGCGGAAGATTAGGGAGCTTAAGGTGATGTTACACGAGACGGTTCGCAACGACGACTTTAAGCGCAACACAGCGTTGCAACATTGTTTCGAATAGGCACAACATTGTTCCAACATTGCAACGCTGTGTTGCGCTAAAAATCGTCTTTGCGAATCGTCCTGTATAACAACTCCTTTAAGGAACCACGGCGGTAAAGGGAGTGAAAACATCACTTAAAAAGCGAATTCGTACTGTTTCAAACTTTCTCGCGCTTGTACCATCTCGTTCAATTCGTCAATTGTGGCAAATGTTTCTGGAGTTGAATTAAAAAGACTGTATAGACTACGTTGAGAAAAAGAAAAAAGAAAATTGTCCCAATTAGCAAGTGTAACCAAGATTATTGGCTGGAGGCGGAAGATCAAGCACTCCAGGAAACTGTTCAGCATCAATGTCACTGTCAACAGACGCAGAAGCACCCGATGCTTGGCTGTTCTCAAGTTCAGAGCCAGCAGAGTGAAAGTCATCAGTGTAGTTCCCATTACTATCTTCTCTTTGATCTTTGCTTTCACCTGATGAGGATCGTCTTTCTAACGGTCGCGCTTGATCCACCGCTATGTCCAACTCTTCTTCTGACTGAATGGTAATCTTTCGTTCCAGCCTCTCGGATACCTCAATCCTCGTTTTCCGTCTCCTTGATTTAGTTTTGACAGGAGATTTGGAAGATTTCACAGGCTTTTCTGATGAAAAAGAGCTACTCTGCGAGTGCACGCTTCCGGATGAATCATGATGATCAGAACTCCGTTTCAAGTTTTCGTGATCTGCGCTACTACTTCTTGTGAAATCTAAATGAAGTGACCTTTGTGATCCCGGCTCCTGGTCTGATTCCTTAAAGTCCTCAGTATACATAGTCATAGCAGACCCCCCTCCTCTGTTGTCATACTCTGAGCTTACTATGCCTGTATGGCCGTACAATCCTCTAACAGGGGGCTGATCTGTACTCCATTCGCCTTCCTTATCACTCTTCTCTTCAGGCTCTGCTACTACAAGATCATGAAACAGGGTTCATATAAAAAATTGCAACTATTTTTCAAGGACCTTTCAAGGACCACCAACTGGGAATTTATTTTCACAGATTGTACATAAATGCACATTCCCAGTCTATTCTAATAAGGCTCTAAGGCTTGATTTAGCCGGGGAATTAAACAACTATGTAGTTCTTTGGGTTTTACATTTCTTTTCTTTTCCATAGCTGAGGCTTATACTCTTAGCAGCTGGGGAAAATCCCTGACCCTCAACCATAAGTGAGAGCCCTGCTATTGTCCCCAAAACATTCTGATAGCAGGGCTGTCACTAGGATTTCAAGTTTTCAGGTATAAAGGTCCTCCTATGTGATTAAATCCGCAAAGTCAATTGGACAATATGCCTACTGAATATTAATGAGTTTTTGAAGGTTTGTTTCTATGAAATAGCAAGCCAAAGCTTAAAATTCAAAATCTGATGCATCTAACCTCACACATGCCAATAAAGTTAGTCTTTCTAATATATAAACACAATCTCCTGGTCAACCTTCACAAAGTGATAAGTAGAAATGACAAACCTAACTAAGGAAAAATTGGCAACAATCTACCCATGTGGATAGGAATAGCCAGTAATAAGCCAGAGAGAAAAACAGTTAAAAACGAGCTAAAGACCTTCATGAGCAATATACTTCAACCGGAAGAGGACTTCTTGCATTCTAAGGCAATGCTTTTGCCTAAATTTCTTGGGCAAATCATCTGTTAGAGTAAAGACACTTACAAGACAATTTGGTAGCTGCAAGGCATAATAAAAGAGAAAGGCCTCACTTCCAGTTGATACGCATGCCTCAAAAACGCTGTTGCTTAAGCTATCTCCTATCAGCTTGAGGCCTACTGGTCTTTATAAAAGCCTGCTAAAGTAAAAAAAAATACAAAAATGGTACACATACCTTCAACTTGTGGAATAAAAACCTCCACACTGTTTGGAGTCTTAATTCTCTCCTCACTCTCAACTAACTCAACAGCTGGCTTTTCTCTGTTCTCTCTCACGTCTTCTGAACTGGGTGGAGCAATTTCTACCTCGTGCAGTCCTTGCTCAGAAGAATATTCCTGAGTTTGAATTTGTGCATCTGCCATCTGTTTTGGCCTTCCTCCTAACAGCTTCCTTCCTGAGCCTATTTTGTAAGTCATCCCTAAAGCACCTTCACCAAAAGTTTCTTGCAATGAAGTTCTCTTATTTTCCTTTTGAGCTAAAGCTGCTGCATGAGCCTCACAGGGTCTCCTTCTGTTTGTTAACTTGTCCTTCTGATTCATTTCAAGCCTCATCTGTTGTGTTTTTGTCATTCCATAAGTAAGACTTGTTTGCTTGAAGCGTACTCTTTGCTTGGGCAAACCGATCACTGAGGTTTGATTACTCTTCGGGTGAGAGACATGCTGTGATGACTTCATATGCACAGCATTTTTTTCTGAAGTGACTGGTTTTCTTACACCCTTAGCTTTTTCTTTGCTGCTGTATTTCTGTGGATGCCTAGGTGTAGTTTGAATTTTAGAAGAATTGGGTTGGGTAGTAGTATCAGTTTGATGTCCCCCAGTCAAGCTCGACAACTCTTGTATCAGGGCATTTAAAACTGGTAAATGACCATCAGATATTAATCCTCTCAAGTTATATAATCCACTGACCAATTCCAGCTGACTGCCATTGCTTTGTGGTTCCATGGTAGGCTTTGGCAATTTCTCGTCAGTCTGTACTGAAACTGACGTCACACCCACTGTTCCATCTCTTTGAACAACACTGGGTTCAAAATACATGAAATCCACATCACAACTTTCTGAATCTCTGCCAGCAGCTTGTCTATTACCAGCAACACTACTGCTGCCAGATTTCAGTATTCTGGGCTCTGTTTTCCTCACAGTGTCTGAGTCACTATCAACTGTGGATTTAGAGAAACAGTTATAGTAAAGTGGAGGAGGGCAAAACGTGTTTGTTATTACCAAATCTTCCACACTTCTTCTTCTGTTGTGAGAGCGGATATGGGAGGTTATGTCCCTGGCATGGAGATAAGTTTGAACTTCGGCAGTTTGTTTTACATCTTGTGTCTGACTTGGTTTGACTGTTTGACCATCAGTTTCACTGTCAGCAATGTCTTCTGGAATATCTTCCTCTAAGAATGTTCCTGATTCAATTTCTGGCAATACTTTTTCTAAGGCGCCCTTTACAGCTTGCTCAATCTGTCCTCCTGTTTCAATCCTTTCAGTGCTTCTTTTTGCTAAAGCTTCTGTGGGAATATGGGGGATGAGCGACCCACCTAAACTCAATAACCGGAAGCCAAGCTTTACCTTCGCTATGCACGACCCCATAAGATTATAAACACTAAAATCACCCTCATCTCTGTAAAAAGAGGGAACCGCAATACCTTTCTGATACACATCTTTGCTAATCTTGTCTATTGCTCTCTTTAGAGAAATCAAAGTGCTGCCAACAAGAACAGGCTTCCTTGGCCATAAATCCATTAACATGGCGTAGAGAGGCACCGTTTGAAGTTGCAACAACAAAGTGTCAATGCTTGCTTTGAATAAGCAGGATTTTCCTTTACGGAACTGGAAATTTCCGAAGCGATCTTTAAGATCTTGAAGCACTGATTCGTTTCCTTCTAAACGAAGTTTTTGCCGCATTTTTTCAGCGTCCAAAGGAGAAACATGGTGAATTATCATGGTAGGAAAATCCAGCAGTCGAAAGCACAATGCAGGCAGCTTGCAAGCCACTCGAAGATTTTCTACGCTTTCTACGTGAACTTCTAACGAAAACAATGTCTCGGCCATGGTCATGAGACTAGAAGAACCCCGGTAATTCCATAAAATAAATTAATTCCTTTTATAACAGAAATATTGGAAGAAAAATAACAAAACCTTGCCTTGTTTTACCTTAATAACTTTTCGCGCCAAATATTCGTCCCCAGTCCGCCCCTCGTTTCTACTTGTAAATGATTGTTATGTATGCAATGACAAAATTTCCCACAACAATTGCATTTCTGTTTCTGATCGTTCTATTGGTTATTAAAGAAAATGCATAAAGTATAAGAGAAGCATAAGAAAATCTGTGAAAATAATTTCAAAATGTTAGTCTTACCATGAGTCTTATTACTCGTTAAAACACTGAGAGGACTTTTTGCGCCTCTTTACATGACAGCGTCATTCTGACCTCAAAACAAAAATGGCGATTGTTTGGAGAAATATGTAAATTTCGATCAAAGATTTCGGTCGAAATTACTGCTTTGGAGTAAAGGAATAAGTCAGATTCCCAACCAGAAGAAAGAATGGTGATCATAACTTCGTAAGAAACATGTCTCTGTTGGCAAGAGGGGCATATCTGTGTGATCAGGGTTGAGTTTCTTCTACATTGGCGGCGTTCTAATGAAGACCTGAAACAGCTGTTTTGTCGCTTTATTACTTCTTGATCATTGTGACCGCTGAAAGGAGAAAGAAGGAGAATGTCGAGGCATCTCAAGTCGACACGGGCCGATCAATGTAAGTTCTAAGGATCTGCGCTCTTCAGCAGTCATGAGACTAAGACATTGTGGGGTATGAAAATATAATAATTATTTGAATGCTCATTTGGCTTTTTAATACAGTAAACAACCGCATATAAGCACATATAGATTAGGAACATGAGGCTGAAAGTTGGCCATTAAGGCACCATGTATACAGTGCATATATAAGAGCCAATTCAGCTTGATAAGTAAAACATGTTCATATATAAACGAAATTGGATGCCAGAATAAGGAACCAATGCGATACAGCAGGAGAGGGGCTACTAGTCTGGAGAGCCAAGGATGGAGAGGTGACCGGCTATTTCGCTTACACATCATTTTGCCAATGTCCCATTTTCGCAAACGTTTCAAGTCATTTTGCTCACAAAACAAAACCAGGGCAAAGCAAGTTTATATCACATGTTTTGGTTATGACATGAAAAGGTACAATTCAGATGTGTACACCTTCAATTGGTGATAAAATTAGTTGATATGCTTTGCCCTAAAGGGCCTTTCCAACATTTTACAGACTTAAAAAGTGTTAAATAAAGCTTTCTCTCCCCAATCTCCTTCGTGTAAATGTAGTGCTGCTGTTCAAGCTACCTGTAGAAAACAACCAACACCCCAACTTTAAATGGAGGGGTACAGTAGGGGGAGGGGTGTGGATTGTTTTGTTCTCTAAAGTTACCCTATCTGAGTACGATTTCTCAACAATTTTGGTGCTGATTGTTGCTAATTAGCCATTATCAGGCAGGAGAAGTTAGGGTGTAAAATATTTAAGGTATTGCTCAAGAGCTAATGTAAGCTTGAGCATTCACTCATCACATACTTCATTAAGCTTTAGTCTAATATTATTAAAATCCCCTTTGCTCAACCATTCAGCCAGTCCAGGGGCTTTATAATAATCATAGACCTAGTAAATATTTCTCAGTTTCAACGTGCTACATGTACTTGAGAAAATTGATTGTTCTTTAAGTAGTGATTAAGATTTTCTAATTTTTGTGACATATCAATAATATTATTGACACTGCTTGCTAACTGATTTTTAAATCTGTGATAGTTAATGCCAAAGTACATGGTCTGAAGGAGATATTTAACCGACTGGACAGACGAACATATCCATTACCAACAGGAAACGATGTTGCCAACTACTTAAAATGGTTTCAGCATACATTGCAAAGGTATTTCAGTCTTCAGTTGTTAATATTGGGCGGAAATATTTATTTCTTGATGGGAGTGATCTATATGTTAAATATCATTACTCAAGAATTGTTTGGATTTAGTTCTTTTGTGGTTGGAGGGAAACATTTTCTTTAAATGTATTATTAGCTCTTATAATACAGGTACATCTTAACAGGAAAGAGTCCATACCAAAAAAAAATGTTTTTTCAAAAAAATATACAGTCAACCATGCTTTAGGGACATCAGCTTAATATGGACACCTCTTTATTACCCACAGTTTGCTTTGTCCCTTAGGAAAAAAGCCCTCACATTTTTTCTAAATTTAACCTGCATAATATGGACATTCTGCTAATACAGACAGACACTTCCTATGATGCCAAAATCACTTTTCATTTGATATCATATTAATTCAAACAAACAGGGGTTTGACTGTACCTTTTGATAAATTTCAGTTTTTTTTCAAAATATGAGAACATTGATTGCCCTCAGTTTCCATATTAATGGGGTTTGACTGTACCTTTTGATAAATCCTTTCAAAATATAGCAGATTCTAGCAAATTTACCGTCATATACATCGTCAGTAAATTTATCTGATGCTTAACACTCGTTGGACAACCCCATGAGTCAGGAGTGGTCAGAAAGTTTAAAGTAGGCAGATTTTTGTTGAAATAGGTGGTTGACTTTGTTATCTTTTGCTAAAAAATCAGATGAGTAGCTCAGCAAAGTAGGTGCTGCTTTTCATCTTTTTCTGGCAGTGTTTGACAACCTTGAAAACAAGGTTGTACCTTTTGTTACCTGATAATTATTTTATGCTGTATATATTGGGCAGGGGGGGGGGATAAGTACTCTCTATAATGGCCTATACAGGGAGTCTCCACCCTCCAATGGAGTACCATTTCCAGGCTTCAGGTATATGAAAGGGTAGGGATTTCACTAGTTGATGTGTATAAAAGGGTTGGGAAATGTTTTTTATTGGTCTGTAAAAAGGCCCAAAAGGGCTTAAAGAAGCATTTTATGGCTCTGAAAAAGTTGTGATTTTATTCATACATAAAAGACAGTGCATTTACAGCAGTTAAAATGGATGCAATATTCTAGGTATGTGGAAGGGGTATCATTTGTTAATAAAAGGTAAGAAAGGAGTACCTTTTTTTCAAATATGACAGCTGCTAATATCATTTTAATAATATTATTGTACTTCAGTTTTTATCAATGACTGTTATTTCCGAATCTATAGTTTAGTGTTAGGAAATAAAAACCATTAGTCAACTCGGCATTTTGTTATAAACTTTATTGTTTTGTAGATCCATTGTGTTGCATGTAAAATAATAAATGGTATTTGTTTTTGATATTAGTTTGGTAAAAGAAACACGCCCAGTGTTAACAGAAGACAGACAGTCATTTGATCGGCAGCAATATCCTATCATGGATTACACTGGATTGTATAAAGCTCTTGGAAAAATTGTTAATGTTGTTCCTGTTGTGGAAATTGGAATTGAAGGTACTTAATAGAAAAGCAAAATGTACTGGCAGGCATATCTGTGTTGGTTGTTAATTTTAAACTTGTAGGAAGTAACAGCTAGGCCTTGTTCATAATGCCTTTGTTTCTCCACTAACATGCTTCACCTTAATGGCCCATTTTTTCCACTGAAATGCTTGGTCACCCCTGAAAAAGTCACTGAAATGCTTGATGATGCCCATCATAGAGAGACCTTTAAAATCTATTAATTCTGAATGTTTTAAGGGGATTTAAGGCTAACAAAAATATATAAGGGGTATGACAACAAGGTACTGTAAAATTCGGAAAAGGAGCCGCTCCATGTATAAGCCCCTCCAAATATAAGCCCTTCAAACTCGTAAGGCAAAAAATCCTCCGTTAAATCGCTCCTCCAAATATAAGCCCACTGGGGGCTTGTACTTGGAAATTGTCCTCAAACGCAAAGTAAAACAAACCAAAAACGGTAAATTTCCTTCCAACTATAAGGTTAGCCCAATCGATTTTGAAACGCACATTTCCCTCTGTAGATAAGCCCCTCCGAGTATAAGCCTCTCAAAAAGGGCCTTTGAAAAATATAAGCCTCGGGGCTTATTTTCGGAATTTTACGGTATGCAAGTAAATAGGTTTAATACAGCAAAAAATGCTCATCTACATGGCTATATTAAGGTGAAATTTAAATATAATATATACATATGTAATTTTAATTTAGAGTTAAATTGTCATTTCTCTTAAAAAAATGTTACAATTTTCATTTTCCTTTAGAAGAAAAACTAATTTTTTGGAAAAATGCCACTAAAATGCTCGAATAATGCTTAATGCATTTGCCTCACTAAAATGCTGAAAGAAATTAATGCTAACATAATGTACAAAGGCCTTAAAGCAACAGCTTACTATTTTTTTTCTTTTTTGTCAGCGTTTGCCGATAGTGTTTTGTCAATCATGGCTTCATTGGTCCCATTCTTGAAAAAGGAAGACCTCAATTCCATGCCTCTTGGCTTAGCAATGACATTATCCATATGGCCACTGTCAACACATAATAACATCATAAAACTGCTTGCTGGTTACATCCTTCCAGTTTTGCTAGGTAAGGCCATTGCTCGTATAATATTGAGCAACAAATAGATATACAGTGTATGAAACATGCTCTTATGCTCTTAGTGTGGTCTTTTGGGTATTACAGCACCAGCAACTTGAAACGCCACAAAAGCTCCCTCTTATATTATGTTGAGGCCTTCTTAGAGAGGGGTATAGGTGTGAATGTAGTTGAAAGAGCCATTATAGTTCATTATATTTACATTGAATATAATTATGGGATTAGTTGAAGCGTGCATGACATCCTGCTGCCTCCGCTGGTGATTAACCTTTGTCATTGCCTTAGTGTTTGGACTAAATTATCAATCCTTAGTTTACTTATTTGGTGTATGGTCCACTTGCTTTGGATGAACCCCTGCAGATGCTCATGGGGAAGAAATGACTGACAAAGCCCCAAGAACATCTACATGGGAGGCTACTTTGGATGCCATAGGGTCATAAATTGAGAAAGAAAATTTAGCTTGTCTGTAAATGAATGTATGGACCTTGAGCTTGCTTGACAAGACATATTTTGTACACTGATAATTGCTTTAATTTGTTATCATCAATCATGGAAGGTGTCTTAAAGCCAGATGAGAATGGACTGTCCTATGCGTCTCTCTCCTGCCCCTCCCTCATCATGTCCATATTGCAGTACTGCCCTGACTGTAAACAGCATGCCCAGTTTGTGGAGACATTGATGCGCTACAAAAGTAATGTTTGCCTTGATATTCTTGCCGTGTTGGCTTATGGTCCTCAGCCAGTAATCAATTCTGCTGGACAGGTTCTACTCCATTACTATCCACTCAAGGATGTTGGTATGTTTGGTCATTATGAGACACCTTTTACAAATTATGCATGTAGATTCCAAGACAAGGATAGACTACAAGTAGTCCCACATTTTTCCTCAGGGATAGTAGAATGAAAATGTGTAATGCGAAAATCACCCCCATGCGAGAAGGCATGAATCGTGTGGGGTGATTTTGTCATTTTGTTTCGCTCTATCCCTGGAAAAACCTCTTAGTCTAAGACAAGGACGATTACGAGGACAAAATTTTTTTCATCACTAGTAATGCGCATGCATGAATCAGTGTCATTTCAGTGTCGCAGTGGCGGAAACAAGCTTAATACCAAACGTTAGAAGTTTCATCATTTTGCTTTTGGGGGAGGGTTTAACATCCTTCAATAAAAATAACTGTGCTAACTCGTCTGGTGAAAAAGTACAAAAAAGCTTTCCGGGGTACATGTATAGTTTTTGAGAATACGCGTTCTCATAGTCATCCTCGAATCTAAAGGTCTTAATTATCTCTTTTTTAAATTTCCATTTGTCTTAAGGTTTTAGCTGATATTACAGTAATTGTGTTTTAAAAAGAATGGTGATGGATCTGCCTAAAGTTAGGCTTAAACTGTTTTGAAGTCAAATATAGGACAAGAAAAAAACTTGAAACGTAGGTTTTAGTAACCCCCTATTAATTTATACCAAACCCAATTTCTTTTCACACTCATATTCTCTAATTTTACGCCTGATTTTTTGAACCAGTAATTTTCCTTTCACTGTAGTCGGCTAAATCAACAATTCACAATGTTTTCATTTTGGTCATCAGCATCATTCAATATATCCATTGCTAATAAATTTCAGTTCTTGGAAATGGCCGCAGAAAGTGACGAACATTTTATTCATACCACGATCACTGACTATGTCAGTTCAGTGTTTTAGCAATTTTTAGAATCAATTTACCAATCTCTTATTGGACGGTTTAGTGTGTAGTATAGTGGGATATTTTTACTCGTGTTCTATGTTTTGACTGCCCTACGGTCTCGCCAAAAAACAGCGTGACCCGTAAAAATGTCCCACGATACTACACACTAAACGGTCAAGTAAGATATATTTATCTGACCTACAAGTATGGAGGTCTTCTGAAATCTAAGTCTAAGTTCAAACCAGCACTGAGAAATGACCTTCCTATAAAAAAAAAAATACTGTATTCATATCAGTTTTTGGTCTTGGATCCATGGCGAACGTTTTTTTGCCAGTTGAACTCCATACTCGCTCAGGTCTACATGCGGCAGTAGATTAGATTATTGAAGCTAGCATTCCTTTGTAGCTCTGCAGTTAGACCTTTCTATTTGCACTTTAAGGTGGAGCTGATGATTGGCAGTTTGTGTACGAGCCATGGCACCCCGCTAATTGTCAAAACGTTGAGTGCGCAGTTCCTCACAAAAACACGCCCACAAGTATCTGCTTAGATGCCTCATATGCCGCAGGACAGTGTTCCTCATCACCGCCTGTGTTTATTTGTGAGAAATGCGCTGCCTTAGCTGCTCAAGATATTCCTGACAAATCACTGATCATGAGAATCATTCAGCCAATGGGAAAGATGCGCACAACATGTGAAACGAAGGAGTGCAAAGGTCAAGGGAAACCTTGCAGTGTGATGTGCTTTTCTTATGAATGCGTCAAAGATAACAGGTATTAATTTGTAAGTTTCCCCCCGTTGCCAGTTCGCCCTCACCCCCCTGCCTCCTCCCCTCTTCCCCGGTTTTCCTGCTGGTCCACCAACTTTGACCCGTGAACTAAGAGTTGAATAATTTGTGCTGACTTTAAATAAATCAAGTGGAGAGGACACGTACTGTTGTCCCCCTACCCATCATGCAATGTGTATGGGAGAAGAGGGTGGGGAGTGAACTTGCTGAAAGAAAGCGACGAAGAACTTTGGCTTGTCAGTGTTTACTGTTAGGTAGAAAATGATTTTCATGCGGAATTATATTTGCAACAAAATCGTAAACATGCTCTTGACAAAATCCCCGAAATGTTTTTAAATTGTGAACAAAATTCCTACCGATTGACGTTTTTATTTTACAAAAAGTTACTTTTTTCAATTTATCCAACTGATTTGGTAAATAGCAAAACAACTATCCCCCTCAGAGTCTGTTAACAGCGCTAGATATATACCTCGACGTCTCGGTATATACCACTATCCACCTCTCTTTTGGGGGATAGTTGTATACTATTCTAACTAAATTATGTCAGGGGCACCCAACGAGGATATAGTTCAAAACCACTAAACATAGCATTGTTGAACGTATTTTAGTACTCAAACGGTAGATATAGGCATATTTTTATCACCTAAAAACTTTTCATCTGTTCGGATTTCCTAGCTGAAAGTCTAGTGATCCGAAAATTATAGGGATCAAAACTTACCTTTTCGAAAATTTCATGGCCTTTTTTAGGGTAAATATCCGTTTAAAATGGGTAATTATACCATTTTGTAGATGTTCGAAAATCCTAGGAGAGGCAGGCAAGCAAGAAATTTTACAACAAATGTTCCGAAAATTCTAGATCTCAAATCGTCTTCCGAACAGATATTTTCCCGAAAATTGCCGTTGGGTGCCCCTGTTCTGTACAAAATTAAACGTTCAAACTGGTAATGACAAGGAATCCTATATAGAAGTCGGGAGCTTATACACGATAGGCTTCCTGGAACTCTAGGGTAAACCACGTGAGTTAAGGGTACTGACACCATTTTTACTTTTTTTAAAATTTGTGTTGCGAATGACCTATCGGTTGCTTATCTCGATCGATATAAGTTTTTCTGGTAATATTTTTCAGGCTGAGAGCTTTGACCATGTGTCAGGAATGCCATATACGCTATCACACCGGTGAAGGTGGATATAACCACGTGACACAGAATTTGTTCCCAGACCCCTGGACTCTGGATGGGCCTGACCAAGCCTACCCTACAGAGGCGGTGATTCGTCTGTTAGGAGAAGCACAGCCAAATCAGAAGGCGAGGAATGATGCTATGGGGTAGGTTGCACTTTGACATACGTGTAAATGTATGCAGTTTGTTCGAAAAACTGTGAAAGGTTTGATTGAACCCAGGGGTCATTTGATAAGTAGGTTGAACATGATCGTCCGGGTGAACGTAGTCCTTATTAGGACTTTTGTTGGTAGTGACGTAGAAGGTCCCAATGTAAATAGATTCTTACACTTGCGATTCCTTGACCCTACAGCGAAGATCTTTTAAGAGCCTTCCACCTTTATGGTGTCTCTTTCAATGGCGCTGAAGTACTCAGTCAAGCAAGAGCCAAAAGACCATTGCACTTTCTTCATAGTCGCATACGCTTTAAGTCTTTCTAATGACAACCCGAATCAGCCGCATAGAAGTACCGTGTACCGTTTTTATAAAGTTGAGAAGCAAGTTTTTAATGAGAGGTTGAAAGTAACAACCCAGAAAAAAAAATAAACAAAAAGTAGATTCACCTCAAAACGAACTTGAGTACGCGGTGAACAATGACGAAGGGAAGTAGATTATGTGTTAAACACATATTAATTTTCTGAATAATAGCGTTACACGTTCGTGTGGAAGGAACGGGTGACATACAAGGTCTGCCTAACGGACCCTAAGATGACCTTTTTAAAACCGGGCCCATTACAAATCCCTCAGAAGATCTGAGGGGTGGTTCTTTTGCGGCTCTGTTTTATGTATTGCGTTTCCTACTAACCAATGTTCTTTGAAATTTCGAAACCAGCTTATTGTCATTGTATCCCCCCGACAGAAATGAGCTCGTGAAGCAGATAATATTTATCCTTTTATAATTAGCCTTGTCACATCAGGTTCTGTTTGTCTTTGTTTTACCAGGCTAGTTCAAGGAAAACTTGAAGACGATGAGTATGAAGACGACGTCGACAACGACATTAACAATCGTCGCATGCTTAGCAGATTTGGAGTCTGGCTTCTGGTTGGTGTTTGCAGTGAGCCCGCGAGATGTGAATCGGCGGAGCGGTTGGGTCGATTAGTATCTATGGTGCTGTCGTGGATCGAGACAACCTCGACACTGAGACGAGACTATGTGGGAGAGTTGCTGAAACGGCTCACAAGTCAGTATGTTTGCCGCTGGCTCTTGCAGGTTCGAGACAGTAAGTCAGAGTTGCTCTGCGCATGCCTAGCACCTGATCCTCCGGCATATGTGAAGGTTGGAGGATGCTGGGATACCATGTCGAGCAAAGCCCGTCAGCACATGGAAGGACTTCACCGCCTGTGTTGTTTGATTCCCCATAATCTCATCACACCTGAGGTAAGGAGAGAACTTCTGTAAACTGCATTCTTTTGGACACTGCGTACAAGTAAGTTGTATCGCGTGAGTTGATGGTATTTAAGTCCGGCTATTGACCTGACTGGTCAATTAAGTCGCGATGATATTGGTCGTCTGTCAGTTAGGCCGTGATGTTATTGGCTATGACGAAGATGTGTCGTAACCACAGACAATCCAATGAGCCAATCCGTTTTCGAGGAGGAAAGCGCAAGGGGACTACGTGGTTTTGATTTGAAATCCGATTGGTGCAGCAAGAAAGTTGAACATGACCTGTAGCCAATCACAGAACAATACTATTTGAAATTTGAAGCAAATTCGAATTAGTTTTGGCGCGAGCTCTTATAGGATCCTGGTTTTGGTTTTTAAGATGAAAGTCAAATCACAGTCCTCGATTTTGTTGTTATTTTACGTTATGCAGGTTTGGGATACAATTATGCCTCAGTGGATGGAAGCGATCAAAGCAGACGTTCCTCCGGATGACTTGGGAAGGTTTAAAGTCTTGTTAACGTAAGTTTGTTGAGTTTTTGAACCATAGGCTGTTCACAGTCCCAGTCTCAGTCCCAGTCCCTTTCAATCTTCCTCAAGATTGTTAATCTGTGCCCCATTTTGCATTTGCTGTTTTACTTATACCTTCTTTTACGTCACCACCGCCCGCACACCGCCCACACAGCGCCCGCACACCTCCTGCACACCACCGCTCGGTTAGCTCTGTTGTGAGAGCGCCGGTCTGCTGAGTGAGAGGTCGCGGGTTCAAACCCCGGCCGGACCAACACTCAAGGTCTTTAAATGACTGAGGAGAGAGTGCTGCCTTTGTAATATCATCTGCAAACGGTTAGACTTTCCGTAGTCTTCTCGGATAAGGACGATAAACCGTAGGCCTCGTCTCACAAGCCCTTGCACATGTATTAAATCTGTGGCACGTAATGCCCGGTGTCGTGGTCTATCTCACTTTCACACTCATGTATGGGGGCATCATTACTCATTCCTTCATTACCTGTAAACTGCACCTTAAGCAGTCTGGCAAAGTCCCCCAACCAGTGTTGTAAATTATCCCTGAAAAGCCCTGAGGGGAGTGGATAATAAGATATTTACAATTTACTGTTTTGAGCGGTTATTTTTATGTTCCACTCATACTCAATTCATTGTCTGAATTTTGATAAATTTCGTGAAACAGCTCCTTTAGATACAACTGTGTTTGCTTCATATGGTAAGGTGATGAAACTTTATGACATTTATAGACATCTTTTCTCTTTAAACCTTTTTCGATTAATTTTATACAGGAACCTTTTCGATCCTCTACTTTCTCCGCTCAAGATGCCCTCCGACACAACTTTAAGCTTCATACGAAGATCACTAGAGTCTTCTGTGCCTCGTCACCAAGTTGAGGCTCTCACTTGGCTTCAGGTAAGTAATCTATTCTTATTGATGTGAGTCGGGACAAAACAAAGCTCTTAATCTCTTCCCTGAAAGACAGTATTCCATGTTAAGGCGATTTTAATGTACAACAAGTTAGAGTCTAGACATCCAACTATCTAAATCAACTTTCTCTTTACCACTGCGTAAGTTGCGTCTTTACCTGGGATGATCTTCTTTGCAATATTTCTTCATTCCGCGGTTCCAATGTATGAAATTAATCTATTTTTATCATTTCAACGTCTAGGACTAATAGAACGAGGAAAACAAATTTTATAGGTGTCTTGTTTCAATTTTTTGTTTTTCGCAGATTTTATCTCAGCTTGATATCATTATCCGGCTAGATGTTCTTCTCGGCATGTTTATCAAAGTTGTGCAGAACTCGTCTGAATTCTCTGAAGGAGTCGCCACCATGTTTCCTTTTCCCATGTCTTCTGTGCCGTCACCGCTGTCCACAGCTGCAGAAGGTTCGGTGATCGCAACGCCGGTCAGCGGTGCAATGTCTGCAGACCTTGGGGAGCTGAGTTCCAATCTGTCGTGCTTTATCATGGAACTTGATTTACTTGTAAAACAGGTAATTGCTCCAGCTTTAATCGCAAAATTTTGATATTGTCAACCGAGTTAAAGTAAGTGATCGCTTAAAGGTGATTAAAAACAGTAGAAAATATTATTATAAAACTGTCACCCCGAAACGTGGTCGCGTTCGTTTACGAGAAGTTCCAACTGAAAAGCGTTGACTGGCAAAATTCAGGTGTTTTGCAGAGGTGGTCGCTTATAGTATGTTTTCGCACATGGATGATAGATTGTGTATCGAATGGGTTATTCTACTTTCGCCTTGCTATTACGAAAGGGCAGGCAATCTCTTTTGGTAGTCTCTGCGCCGCTTTCCATCGGTGTGTTTTTCTGTTGATTTACCTCTTTTGGATCCAAGTATGGCAATGGCAAAGTTTCAACGTTTGATCCTGTGAACGAAATCTTGGCTTACGTTTTGTGTGGTGCTGTTTGTTTTTTTAATATTTTCATAATGAATTTTGGGCCCTTTCCTCAGCATTGCGGCTGTAAAAGTTTTTTAAAATCTGAGGGTTTGTTTAGTGTCCATGTCAAAGCGTTCCCATTTTGTATCAGAAATCGCACGTTTTCCTTCCTCTTCAAAATCCAATTTTCAAATTTAATTCGTCCTAGAAAAAGTGTACGTAAGAGCCATCATTTGGTTACGTTTTTATTAATTCATCATGTTCTTAATGACAGATAAAAATTCAGTTTATGCGCGAAAGACACGTCCCAACCAGCTCCGAAAAAGAGGACATCAAGAAGCTTCTGAAGTGCATGTTGGATATCTCTTGGGCCGGTAAACATGGCGACCACTCTACGATATGTGAGATGTGTAACATGACAAGTATTTGGTTTAAATTGGCTCACATGTTACTGGATCATGTGTTCCCGGATGGTGTCACGTTAGCGGCCGATGATGCGCTTGGTTCTGTGGTATCTGGAGGAGGCCTTGTCAGAACCAGTTCCAGCGGTAAAGCTGTTTCCAGTAGGAGTCTGTGTAAGTCTCTCCAAGGTGCTTTTCTGACGCACCGACACAGTGCATAAACTTGCATAATTTAGTCTTCAAATGTGCGCATTTATATCGTCACGCGCAGACTTTTAACAATTTTCGCACAAAGGTCAGACTTCAGGGCTTAACGGCCGGTCAAAAGACAAGTTCCGGTCAGAAAAAACCTTTGTCCGATTGAATCCTTGGGTGACCGGACATTTTGTCCTGTCGTTAAAGCCTCAATTGGAAAATTCAATTCAAATTTTAACAAAGGTTGGACATTATTAGCTTTCGTGAATAAAAAATAGGTAGGTGGAGGAAAAAACAATAAACAAACTGTTTCCGAGGGAAAAATAGGTTTTATAGGACAACATGACTGGCGCTAGCCTGGTAATTATTTCAAGCTCTGACGCTGGTTTCAACACGACACAGCAATCAGTAGTAAACTGTTGTTTGTGTGTTTTGGATTCTCCTAGAACCGACAGATAGAAAAATGTCAAGCTCAATGCTACGTCTCCTGTTTGCAAGTTGATTAACATTCTTGTTTAATCTCGAACCCGGGTTGTTGTTCGTTTTTAGCCTCAAACAAAAGCCAAGTCGAAACAATCGATGAAGAAGTGTTTAGAGAAAATCAGCCAGAAGACTTTTCAGATGTTACTGACAGTTGCCATGGCGACAATGACCCAGAACCCGAGAATGGCCCCAGTGAGGGGGATGCCCCGTCTGAGCTAAACGAAAATATCATGTCATTTGCTGCCATGCGCACAATGACGGGAGGTATCGGCTCGTGGAGGAGTGGGACGGGTAGCGTTAGCTGGAGCGTGGTCTGTGACAATTTCCCACAACTGCATCTGTTGCTCGGGTTTCTGAAGGTACGAACCTGTGTGAATGAATCACAGGAAGCCCACGCGTAGTTAACTAGTTTCACTGCCATTATCACATATAGAGAAGACACAAGTCTGAGGTGTGACCAATCAAATAAATTCATGAACCTTTGCAGTGCTGGTTTCTCGTGGTTTTAAGTACAATGCTGTACCAGCGGGTTTTAACTTTTGAAATGTATTACGTGGAAAACTAAAAGAAACTAAAGCCTCTTCAGCAGTACTTCGCTATGGCACTACAGCTGGGTACTATCCTGTGTACAGTCGCCTTCCTCCCCTCAATAAAAGAACTCAGCTGTAGTACCATAGTGGAGTGCTGCTGAAGAGGTTAAAGTTTCATGGCCACGCAATACATTTCAAATGTTAAAACCCATTGGTACTGCATGATAAAGAAAAGCATGAGAAAGCACCGCGGCAAAGGCTCAATTTATATGATTCGTCAAACCACAGACTTATATCTTTACTATGCTGTATAAAGAGGTTCTATTTTTGTTATTCTAAATTCAAACAAAATTCAATAGTGCGACACTTCAAACGAATTCTTTTAAGCGGCACTGTATATATACATGCTGCTATTTATGCTGTATCCGCAATTTTTGAGTCTGTGAATGAAATCCTACGATGTGACCATTCAAATGAAACCTTTATTGCAGTTTTTTTTAACAGGATGCCATTTAATTCTAAATATTTCACACGTTGAGTTTTAGGGTTAACATGCTTTTGTTTTTGTTTTATCTGTAGGAGCTGCCTCGTCAAGAGGATCATAATGTACAGCTGAGTATCCTGAGTTGTTTAAAGGTTCTGGTCCTTCAAGGTGACTACCTGCGAATCGCCATGGATGCTGACGGAGACTTCTTGGCTTATCTGCAAGAAATCTTCTTCATTCCTAAGTAAGATATTATAAGAACTTCAACCAGACTTTTTTTACTTAGGCTGAATCAGAAAACCAAATTTTCTGATCGTTGACTTTCGCTCGTCATTTAAACTTCAGTATAACCTAAGGGTGAAGTTCATCTAGAGTGCTAACTTTCTCACTTCGGGGCTTGTCTTGCATTCTCTTTTTCTCTTCCATGAAGCTCTGTTTTTTTCTTGTTTATGTGTTAATGCACTTCCCGCTACGTGACGTTCATGTTCTTTCCGATCCAATACATTTTTCTCGTACACAGTACTTTTCAAAGAGTTCTAATAACTCCTCTAGAGGGGCTAATTTAACTCCGTACAGTGGAGTTATTTTTTGGGGAGTTATTTTAACTCCAAAAAGAACTCTTTTTTAGGAGTAAAAGTGACCCCAGATATTGAGGAGTTAAAATAACCCCAAAAAAGGAGTTATTCTGTACGTAAAATTTTTACTCCACTTTCAGAGCTAAATTAACTCCAAAAGAGTAAAAACAATCCATGTAAGAGGTAAAAATAACCCCATTTCGGAGTTATTTTAACTCCAGACTGGGAGTAAAAAGAACTCTTTTTCAGGAGTAAAAATGACCCCAAATTCGGAGTTAAATTAGAAGTTAAAGTAGCCCCCAGAAATGGGTTATCCTGTACCTAAAATTTTTACTCCATTTTTGGAGTTATAATAACTCCCTAAAAATTACGGTGTACTTAAAGTAAATTACGTTATTGTCTTAGACTACGCAGTGTCGCACTCAGCACACAAGCATGACCACGGAAGATGTGGGAACGAAATTAAAGTCGGATGATTTCGTTATTGTGTACGTAAAAGAGCACGTACAAGTTTTTGTTACTTGTAACTTGGAATTGGATGCAGTGTAAGGCAATGCAATATGAAGAAATGCAATTACACTATGCTCCATTGTCTTTTATGCAGTGCAATTCATTGCAATGCAGCGGTATGCAAGACAGTGAAAGAAAATACTACCTAGCTACAAAGCAGGGCCATTACGGTTTATGAATCTCTCCCTCTATTGCTGATTTGTAGTTGATGTCACCTCCGCCATGTTGGTTGACAAGAAAAAAAACGTTTCCCTCCGTTGGATCTTTTTTCATGGAAATTCATTAAAAAAATTGTATTGTTTCGTCAACTAAGATGGTTGCCTTGTCACGTGGTTGCAAACCAAGAATATCATGACAGACAAAGTGATTACACCGATTACTATAGCTCTATTCGCCACTTTAGGAACGACGAAGAGTAAACTTTCGCAAAGACGTCCGCGGAACTGTTACTGGGGACTGGGAAAAAATTGGCCAATAGGGACCTTACGATCCGACAACGGCGATGCCAATGAAAACGTCGCTGGAAAATAGACGTTTCGTCCTCCGAAACTTTTTGGCCCTTATACCAAGTCACCCAGTTCCTTGAAAAAAGCGAAGTTGGCTTGGAACTGAAGATAGGGGACCGCGTCCGAATTCACAGAGAGATGGTAAAGTTCATCGCCTTGCCGTTCCCGTTCTCAAGTCAACTCAAAATTTGTTCATTTCACGTCGTAGTTGTGCAGGGACGGCAAAGAAATGTACAAAAAAGCGTGATTCACGTGCAGAATTGTTGTTTAGCTCATAAAACCTGTTGTGTTTTAGACGTTCCCGTTGCCGTCCCCGTCGCAGAGCTGACCGTTGTCCCTGTTCACGTTCTCAGAAATCTTTGCGAAAGTCAACTCGATCCAGTTTCCCCCGCGTTTTGGCTCTCTGAAAAAATGGGTCCATCATTTTTTCTTTTAGCATCTGGGACCTTGTACAAGCCGAGCACTCGGAGATGTCACAGCTTTGTGTCCAGATATTACTTCACTGCATCTGTCTCCCTTATGGTGCCGAGAAACTCTGCGATGAAGTAGAAAATGCTTTCTCGGATGATGACTGGCAAGAACGCTCATCCGCTGTGGAAAAAGTCACGGTTATTGCACGCTGTCTGGAAAAAGAAAACATCAAGTCCAATAGCCTTGTTATGTCGGCCCTGGCACACTGCTTTACGTATTTAGTTGGAGCAGTGGAAGATGTTTGCACGCCGGTACATCTTAGGTAAATTCCAGTGAATAACATAGCTGATGCTTTAAAAAATTTTACTGTTTAGCTTTCCTATCCCTTTTTGTGCGTACTGGCTTTATAGTCGGTACGCCATTATGTCAACGTCTGTGTAAGTCCGTCCGTCCGTAATGGTATTTCTATTGTCCTCGTAGCGTCCTATTCAGAGCCGAAAGTACCTCGTTCGTAACCCGTATCGCCCTTTTTGTTCCCCGCGAATTTAATAGATTTGCTTCTTTTTCCTTTTTTTAAGCCCAACAATTTAATATCATGAAAGTACGTTAATCATTTCGAAGGTAATTAGATTAAAAGAAATAAATTTGTAAGAAGTTATTACGTTACAGTCGAGATCCCCGTTCGATCGATACTCGATAGCGCCTTTTCTTTTCGAACACTTTGCCAACGTTGTTGTTGTTTTTTTTCGCTTAAAAAAGCAAGGTATACTGAGTGAAACAACTATTAAATAATTTCAATTTGCTCGTTAGTCTTTTTTATGGTTACTAGAGTACAGACTATTTATAGCCAGTAAGAACATACCTTCTCAGGGGATTATTATTTTTCGATGTAAATGACATGACTTATATTTTGATGGATCGGCGATTGAAGTGAAATTTTCGGTTTATGCATGGAGGGTCTCGATCGGGTTAACTAAAGAACAATTTAAGGTGTAGGGGTAAAAAATGAAAACTTTTAATCGCTAGTCCTAAACACGTGAGGTAATTCCCTTGAGAAGGGTGTACTGTTCTTTTTTTTTTTCAAACTTGGCACAATTGATTGACGGCCATACATAGGAATTCATTGAAAAACTGCAATAAAAAGATGGGGTCAACGCGCTTGTTTTCGCGCTGCGTGCCCGTAAATTTTCCTAGTTGCGCACATGGTGTTCGAAACTTCAACAAAGGTCAAAAATTCTTATCGTGTAGTAATGAAGATGAATCTTACTTAAACAATACATACATTTCTAAATAATACAACTTCTAGTATCTAGGTTTTTTCTCCTTAAAATATATTTTTCTTTTGCCATAACGAGCGAAAAACAAGGATAGTTTGATGTGTCAAGGTAAGTGATGCGAAGTGCAAAACAAGGGAATTACCTTGATGCAGGTGTGTCTGTAACAATTCATTTTCTAACTGGTTATACTTATTTCAGAGCGGTCTCCATGTTAGACACTATCAAAGCATCCTCTCTCAAGGTCCTTTACAAGTGCATCGAGCATCAGTACGATGCAGTTCCTAAAGATCGTCTCCTGTTGATTCACACCTGCCGGATATTGCACCGAATACTGCCTCACCATACGCCCCTTTGTGGCAAGTTTTTCATCAGACGCTTCAAGCATTTGCTGATTGAAAACGCAGATTTCGTGTCTCTCGGAAGTCCGAGCAAAGGACGCACTTCCTCTGGTTTAGCTGCCAATGAGACGGATACCGGAAGTGAATCTGCAAGGAAAATTGGTTTGTAACCACGTGTCTTATTAACAGTTTAGTTAGCAGTTTGCTTTATTGTATTAAATAAGATATAACAAAATAATCATTTTGTCGTCGTTAAAATCACTTCAGGAATAATGTTATGTGAACTAAACCATTTATGAGCCCATCCAGCGCCCACATTGTTTTCAGCACATTTTTGCTCGAGATTTGTAAAGCCTAACAGCAGTCCTCACATGGTATAGAATTCTAGCTCTATCATGCAGATTTTTTCTTCGATATGATATACATTTTAGAAATTAAACTAAAACTGTTGAATCGTCTTTTTTGTCACTGGTACTTTCTAAATAAGCCACTTCCGAGTTCTAAAAACCCTCACCTTCAAAATGAGGCCAAGTGCACAACCTTTCATGTGAAAATGAGTTTTATTTGCATGTGATTTCCATATCAAAGGCTGAGCCCTTAACCTCGTTTTGATACAGAGGCGCGGGGGAACTCGCAAATGACCTATTATTTGTAGTTACGTGTTTTCTTTTGTTATTTAGCCCCAATGCTCCAATCGCAACCTAGCACCAGGTCCCTGACAGCTCGTTCCAGCCTTGCGCAGCAGCCTCGTAAGACATCTTCTTCGTTCCGTTGTGGTTATTCATTCCGTTTTCCTGGAGAAAGGGTCACGTACAATCGACAAGTGTCATCTAATTCCGAAGGTAATCTTTAATACTTAAATCGCTGTCTTCTAAACAAAGAGATCTCTTTTGATCATAATAGAAATGAATCTGAGAAATGTAACCATATTCTTGCTACAATATAAGAAAAACCAACTAGATATTCCCATACAAAAATGTTTTCAGGTAGTTGCTGTTTTTTACTCTTGCCTGCAATCTTATCATGTGCCCATTTTATTTCCTGACTTTGCAAAATGGAAGGAACAGAACACAAAAAATACGCAGAAAGGACCTATTAAGGATTGTTATTGTTATTGCAATTTGTTTTCCCACGGAGCTCTTATTGAAACGTGTCCGTGCGTTCCAGATCAAAATGGAGTTTGGAAATATTGGTTTTTAGGGAGAGGGGAACACCGGACTGCCAGGAGAAAAACCTCTTGAGACAAGCGAGAGAACCAACAAAAAATAGACGTTATTGAAATACCTGCTGTCTTTGCACTCGCCTTAGGATTGTTGGGATTAAAGCAATGTCACGTGGTATTTCAGGGGGCAAACAAGTGTTAAAATTTGCCAACACGAGTAATCATGTTCGAGTTTGTTGATTCACTCAAAACGAGACGACGACTTAATAGTCTTTCCAAATGTGCAATTCGACTTTCGACAATTTTTACGTCATTATTACTTGCTGTCACTATCACTTGCCATATTGGTGGGAGGCCGGTACTAGTACCACCGCTCCACCTTGCTCCCCAGGATACTCGCAAAGGATAGGAACACTTGTATGAAACCTCACCTACCTGCTAAATTCCAATTCCAATCGAAACTTGAAACGACTGATCATTTCAGGTAAAAAGTCATCAACCGGTGGACGTCTACGGCGTACAGGGGGATTCACGAACCAGGCGAGCTCCGTCGACATCTCAGACCGTATGTTCCTAGGTGGCCGCATCCAGTCTAACCTACCTACGGTCCAGGAGGAAGAGCACGAAAATAGTCGGCAGTCTGTTGCCTCCACCGACTCTTCCTTTAGCCAGCTGCTGGGTGGAGTGCAGCCGGAGGGAGGCAGCCTAGAGGCAGAAGCCACTCATCAGCTAGTGACGCTGGTCATGGACTTCCTCAGCTACCCGGGAGCGGAGAAGGGAGCGGAAAATTCGAGTTTTGTGAAGACGGAGAGTTATGAAGTGGTGCAAATGAGTCATTACCTTGGTGTTCTCATGGGGTATGACATCAAGGTCGGAGAATTTACTGGAAATCCTCGTAGATTAAGGTAAAAAATCTTGAATGTCATGCTGTCATGCTTACCAACTTTGTTTAGGGACTTAAGCTAGATTTGTTGATCATATGTACAAAGATTTATATCTGCGATTATTGCGAGGTTTTATGTGTGCATTGCACATTTTCTTGAAACTTAGAAGCTAAGAATGTATCAAAGTAATTTAGAACCTCCCACGCAGACTTTCTCAGGGCTTGCGTCATGAACGTACATGCGGGTAGAACGCGTTACCGTACTAACTATGGCGTGACGAAGCGTGATGCGTGACAAAGGCCTTAGACGGTCAGGAAAGTAGGCCAAACAATTTTTTTTTTCGTTTGCAAAAAGCTGTGCGCACGTATCGAAACAATTAAAGAAATAAGAGAAAAGATTTCCAGTTCATGTTATTTAACGAAATGCAGACAAGTCTCTCAAGCTCTCTTCCAACCTTTCTTCACTCACAGGTTGTTCCCAGTCTTCCATGCGTACATGGCCGGGATTGTACAAGTCCTGGATCAGAATCAGGAGTGGGGCAATGAACTGCTTAATCTCACTCTTCAACTGCTCCTGTTCTGCGCGGCTCCCAAGCCACACAAACGAACGCAGACGCCCGAGTTCTCTTTGATTTGTATACCACCATTTATGAGGCAGACCTGGCTCATGGCTCTACTTATTATACTTTACAAGGTAATGAGGATAAGTTTCATCTTCGCTTTAAAAAACCTTTCGGTACTGTTGTAGATCCGAAAGTTGCAAAAGGACCATCAATCTAAACGGTCGTAGCCATGCTAGCGCTATATAGGTACCTGCCTTGTAATAGAACTAGACCCAGTCGTTCGAAGGCCGATTAGCGCTAACCCAGGGTTAAATTTAACTCGGGTTTCTCTTTTGTTCAGAAGCATTTTCCCGAATAATTTTCTTCTTCGTTTTAGAGCATTCAGTCATGAAATTGTAGGCAAAAAGAGTATAACTGAGTTTGCTTCAGTTTAAGCTTTAATATCTGAAATCAAATTTCGCACTAAACCTGGGTTAACTTAACCCTGCTTTGAACAATCCGGCCCTGACGTTTTTCTCAGCAGTCGTTCTCGCAAAAGTCGTTGAAGAGTTGTGTCCATCAAATCGCTGCCGTCGCTAAACCTGTTTTCACAAGGTAGCCAGGCGAAATGATTTTAGTCTCGAAGCACCTATTCATTGAAGTCGTTGGTTGACTTGTAGAGGGGGTGGGGATGCAGACCTCTTAAACCTTCCCCTTTGACCTCGACTGCCTCTTCTGCCTCCTTTTATCGTTTTTAAAATCACTTCAGACCCTAGTCGTATTTTACTCTACTTTATTTGGTTTTTTAAGACCATACGCTGAATATTCATTATTGTTGAAATAGTTTACATTTATTTAAGCAGTGTTCGCCGAGTTCAGTATTGGCAAAGCTTTTAAACAGTTCTTTGATTCTTTGATTATTGTTCCAAATATATTTCCTTCCAGTATCCTTTCCACGCGGATACTCATAAACGAAACACAAAGAACCTAATACTCGTGGTGCTGAACACGCTGGAGGCCCAGGATCACGCCTGCAAGGGGCCCAAAGAGAACTTTCCAAAGCGGGCCAGCGTGGCATCTATTTTTGGGGAATCTTTTGCTGTTGGAACAGGAGATACTGCAGTGGGTCCAGGTATCAGATCAACTTTTCAAAGCTTTTTTTTCTAGGGTTTACACGTCTCGAAGAGATCATCTGACCCCATGAGGTCTTTGTTAAGTCTAGTGACAGAGTCTAAGTTCATGCAGCACCTAGCCTATTGCTGGAAATGGGTATGTTGTGAAAACATCCTGTCTTGTAAGGGTGTTACCGTCCTTATTTGCCAAGGGATGAGTGGCCAGTTTCCTTCTTGGCAGTGGAACTTGGAAAACGGGAGGGAAGGTGACACGACAAGTTCCTAAAAAATGATGGACTGGAGATGGGCGACCAAGATAATCAGTTTTAAGTCAAATCGTTAGTGTTTGCTCACTGAACGTTCAATTAATTTGTCATTTCTTCGAATGCGCAGATCTATAAGCACTTTCATGGCCTGATGGTAATTTTCCATTTTCTTGAAGTTCAATTTACTGTGAAAAGCCCAGGACCTTCTCTCTGTCAATGTAGTGACGAAAATTCAAAATGATTGAGTTAAGCCACTTTTAACTCAATCAGCGGTAATTTTTATGATTAGCTCAATTGGTAGAGCAATTAAGTGATAAGCGGGCGGTCGTGTGTGTTCGATTCCCGGGGCCGGACCAATACTCAGGGTCTTAAAATAACTAAGAAATGAAGGTACCTCCTTTGCCCTGCAAGCGGCTAAACCTTCGCATGGCTCGGATGACCACGTAAAATGGCGGACCCATCTCAATTAGTACTTTCATGCTAAATACATTGACATTTTTTTTATTTTGATAACGCTTTCGTTGGGCTACTAATTATCTGGTTGGCTGATAGATCAATCAATCATTTTCTTCGCCTTATTTAGAAACGCCAGGCAGTCCTACTCTTCGCCGTTCTACCACAGACAGACAGTTGTCTTTAACAACCGCTAACAAATTACGTGAAGAAGACGACAAAACCAGACGATTGCCAGAGCGACAAATTTCGTCTCCTTCTTCGTTTGGTAGCATTAGCAAAGCGAAAGAGAGAATAGAAGATGAGAAAGAAAAAGACGAAAAACTGTTGGAGGGGAACCAAGATGTGAGGTTGCTCTCCGAGACTCCTTTTGCTAATGCCGGTGGCGTCAACTCATCAGAAAGACTCCTGCCTTCCAGCACCCCGATCCAGGACCTCCCGGCCTTTGCGCGAAGAGTGCTTCCTAGTACTAGCAGTGAGGAAGAAAAGGGCTTGGAGTCTAAGATCGGCTTCGACGGACAGCCTGGAACCGAGGACAAAGGACGAAAAGGTACGGGGAACTTGAGACCATGCTGTAGTATGAAATTAATGGTCTCGGAGTCATTGTCATGTCCGTATAAAAGAAACTTTTGGCTTCAGAATCTTGCATTGACAAATCTTGAGCGATTAAATGACTTTTAAGTTGATGAAATTTCTTCGATGAACGCAATAAAAGAATGGCAGATTTTTAAATTTAAAAGTTTGAATATGGCCTTTTTGTTCGTAGTTAACGGATTAGTTTTCACTTGTAATAATTGAAGATGACCATCTTAATTTGAGATAATTTTTAACAATTTCAGATACACTAATATATTACACCTTATACATAACGTCCATTAAAATACTATTTGACGCATCCTTTAAAGGTTTTACGGTGCTGAAAGTTCTAATGTTTTAAATGTTGTTTCAGCTCGTCCTTTGTCATGGAGAATACGAAGGACTCGCAATGAACGTCCCTTTCTCGGCGGCTTTTCATTGCGTTTAAAGAGACCGCCGCTGTTAACTGGTTAGTAAACAATGCTTCGTTTCCAGGCGGCCATAAAGAGAGGGACGCCATGGGAACGACGCGAAGCGCGCCCAGTTTCACCGCGGGCAAACGTCTGAGGTGTTTCTCCTTTTATTCAATTTGATTCCTTTACTATTTAGCGGAAACTTGCCTTGGTCAGGATTTAGAAAAGAGTTAGTTCATTTACCTGTCTTTACATTGTTCCAATAGTAATGAGCTTCTTTTCGTTGAAAATGCTTCGCGCACGAGTAGAATTATGATCTTTGCAATTCAATTATGGCGCCGATATTAATCCCAGTCAATCAGTTTTCAGACGCTTAGAACATTTTTTGTCAACTTCCAAATATATTAAGCTTTGACAAGCGACAGAAAGAAAAACGCTAAGCAGAGCTGACGTCGCCGAACCCGAATTGTAGCGCGTAATAAAATCTGCGACAATCGTAAGTCAGTAGTAGGTTTGATTCACAGGATGCAACGGGTGTCGTAGGCCTATAGTAAGTCCATAGCGTGCGACAAAGTTGTAAGGTATAAATGGGCCTTTCAACTCTGCTGGAATAATAACGGTCGCCTGGAGACGAAGCTGATGAAAACCCCTTAACTTTGTAATCTACGTTTGAACATATAAACTTAAAGATTTAAAATTCTGCGGGAATGATTAACAATAAAGTCACCTTAAACTTTTTAAATCTTAAGGTGCAATTTTTTTCACCTTTTTAAACCATAAACGAGCCATTGTTAAGAGATCTAACCCTGTGTTAAAACATAACGGTGAGCTTGTGATTAGTTCAATTAAAAAAAAAGATTCTGTCTTTGGTATTCCTTGGTGGTACCTTCTATTATTTTTTTCTCCTTTGTTATCTAGTCTCAGTAGACTCGACCACCAGCCACGACACACGAGAAGTAGACATCAGTAGATCGGGAAGCATAGAAGGTTCACTTTCCGTCAATGAATTCAGAAGGGGTTCCAGGCCTCGACTGGCACCGGGGCTCTCCACACGGTCTTTTGACAAGACCCTTGACAGTAACGCGGAAAAGGAGCCTTTTGATAAGGACCTTGATCTTGATTGGTGCCCAGAGTGTGGTATCTCGCTCGAGCAGTTTGATGAGGAGACTCTTAATTTGTGCATCGTGGTTCTATCTACATTTGTCCATCAAAGTCCTTCCATGGCCATGCCATTTCTACTTCGAATGCTGGAAAGCGTCGCCAGGTACGTCTGGGGGTAATTTCTTTGCAAAACTGGGCAGTTTAAAGCTGAAACTTCCCAAATTATATACACTTTTTTTAACACAAGTTTCTCAGATGGCTTAGAAGATAGTAACAGTATCGGAACCACACCAAACAAAGCTAGAAGTCGAGGAATTTCCGCCCCAAACATGTATGACTTACATGACAAAATTGAAGCTTTGAAAGGACTTATAAACTTTTAAAATTGCAATGAGATAGCAATAACCTTTCGAATATTAGTTACTGGGGTGAGTAATAAAGGACTGGATAAAGGCGGGCCTAAGTCATTTTCTGTTGTCAAGAACAGCTAGATTTTCCTGCTTGGAAAGGATCCTTGCAAGTTGTCTTTACTAAGAAAAGCCCTGAAACCTTCGTTGGGGATGTTGGGAGTTGTCTTGTAGAATGTAACTGATGACAGCAGGGCTGTCTTTAAGAGGCGGGGACCGGGTTTTTTCCCGGCTACTATAAATGTGTTCCCCGGCTACTTTCATTGGAAAATAGAAGACAAATAGAACCAAAAGAAATCCCTAGCTGTCTGATTTACCTCCTACTTGTTGTATTTACCTGGCAACTTGAAATCTTGGTGACATCCCCGACTGATGTAACGGTAAATTAACCTCGAGAATTTTACCTTACATTCACCTGTTAGCCGCAGGCAAGAAAACAATGTAATTGGCTGATGAAACGTCTGGAATAATCTGTATTTATAAATGTGAAACTTAAAAAATTAACAACAAATTAATTTCCTGGAAAAAAGATGATATTTAGGAAGGTCCAAACCAAGTGGTCATCACTAGTAATACACTTAAGTTATATTTACTATGGGGTAAAAACAAGCCCAGCCCTTTGGGCATCAATATTTTAACCTTACATTACTTTATTCAATATCGTAGGAAATGTGTACGTCCGCTGTTTTCCTGGCAGGAGAAGAGGTAAGCAGTGGCTACAGATTGAGATTGTATTCAATTTTTCTGATGTTGGGTATTCCAATCCACCTGAAGAGCCGAAGGAAAAAAATTCTTAGCTCGGAAGCGCATGCCTCTGTAGTTTATGGCTGACCTAGAAATTTGCCCGAGGTACGCACAGTTTTCCAAATCCAAATCCATCCCGTCTTCCCGATCGTTTTCTCCTGGGCCACTTGATTTCCACCTACAAGTTCTCCAGACTGACTTCCTTGAATTCTGGTTGTATTTGGTTGAAAAACTGCGTTGCAAAGTGTAGGCGTGTGCCTGGAATGTCCAGAGGCTTCCACTTTTGGCAAAGACAGACAGAGTTACGCCTTTATGGCTGGTAAACCCGCCCCTTCTAGCCATGAGTCCCCAGGCAAATGGTACCAGGAACCTGTTACACTGATATTAGGGGGAGGGGTGGGAAAAAGCCCAATTTGATGCATCCAAGGCTGACCGCGCTTGCGCCACTACACTGACCGCTGACCGACAACGAGATGGCGCGCCTTGTTGTTAACTGCCTTAAATTTCATTCAATTTCATGTAAAATACATCTTCTAGAGTTGGTTTTAAATTCAAAGTTAATTTTGTTTTCGTTTATAGCAATGTTCTGATGCCTGGCTCAACCAGAGAAGTATCAAAACAGTTTCTTCGATGTGTTCTTATTAAGCTCGCACCAAACGGCATATTCTCCGAGCTGTTCCGAAGCAGATTAAAAGGTAATGATCTCCTTCCTCTCAATTTTTTTTCTTTCAAAACAGCCGTAAGTTCTTTAGTTCCTTTGCGGCCTTTTTCTGGTCATCACGCAGCCCCTCCTCTTACAACTAAGGGCCTGTTTACATGGAGGTGGGGGAGCCCAGGTAGCCTATCTGGGGTCCCCCACCTACATGTAAACAGTCCCTAAGAGTCGTATGGGACTACATGAAGGGTCGATTTTTGAAGTGAGGGGCACTATAATGTTTACCATTGAGTCATATATTTTTGCTCCTTTTTGAAGATCACACGCTTCTAAAAGCTGTGGCTATAGCTTTGAACGATTTTTCATCCTTTGATCAGATGTCTCCAGTAGCATACTTATTGGAGGTAGGTGATCATAATGTCTGTTCAGTTATCAGTATTTGCTTGATTCAGTATATCATTTGTTTGGTCAGTAATGGGGAAGAAGTATTTTTGTCTCGATTACCTATTCCTTCAGCGGTAGACTTATCCGGTGAAGTTTTTTAAAGGCGAACTATAATACGTTCTCGGCGTTATTTTGTGTAAATTTTATATGTTAAACATCACTTTTTGTAAACAAGAAAATCTTATATAAACCTGCTATTTCTTTGAGAAAGTTGTCACCAACATCACAACTTTTCGGCGACTACGAGTCCTGTCGTCACAGTGTTTACTTTTCATGTTATGTTTTATTTTCCTGTGTGAAATCGAAAAAATGTCTTTTCCAGGATATCCTTGGATCCAGGACTCTTAGTGACCGTGTGCTTGTGTTGCTTAGCAACATGGAGACGTATCTTCGGTTTGCGTCACGTGAGCCCACAAGCGCTTGGGAGAGTCAGCTGTCTCATTTTGAAGCGTTCTTCAGGAAGCTACCGTCCGTTCTACCAGAAAATGTGAGTTTCTCACGAAAAATCTATAGCTAGTTAAGCAAGTCTATCTTTTGCTTAAATTTCATCTTTTCAAAAAATACGTTTTATAACGTACATATAGTACAATTGTCTGGAGGGTCCGATCGGTATCCGGATTTTGGCGAAAGTTTTCACAAAGTTGAACCAGTTTCATACATGACCGCAGTCAACTATGAAACCATGTAAAAACTGAATGGTTACGTGGCGATGAAGGTCGCGATTCTTCAAAAAATGGGTTTTTTGTCTGTGCGCTAGCCGCTAGTATATCTTTCTTTTTTTCGGAAATTTCTGCAATGGTCATATTTTAACAGGTTAATGTAGCTTGCAGTTTCTAAAATGGACAATTCTTGTGTGCCGGTGTGCCAACATTGTCTTTTGTTTCTATCAATTTTTTTGTCTAAATTCTTGATCACTTTGTTAGTGTCTAGTCAAACTACCCTTTGATCATTAGAAATTATTATTAATACGTAATTAACACTAAATGCTTCCTCCTCTGTTGTGTCAAAGCGCGAAAATGATTCAGACGCGCCATGCTTGCGGTCCGCCCTGCTGAAACTTGAGTGATGTATCCTGCGGATGTCTGGATGAATTTATTCATGTTTTTAGCCACCCTGAGTTAATGAAATCTAACCGTAACTCCTGGGGTAATAGAATGGAGGGAATATGAGATGCCGATTGTGCGCCTTTAAAGTTTGAACAGAAAGGGAGTAGTCTCAGCCTTTAAATAACTTGCGTTAGTCGCAATAAGCTCGGTATGGAATAGTTTTAAATTGCACGTGAAATGATTACTGTATATGATATTCTAAAAACCCATAGCCCATATAAACCCATATCGATAGTAGGCCAAGTGAATAAGGGAACAGTCAACTTAACTGTTTTTATTTTAATTTCATTTACAATGTTTGTTTTGATGTCATTTTGATGTACCATTAATATACCACCAGTGCCAAGATTAGTTATACTAAATGAAGTACTAAAGAAACTGAAACTGAAACAGAAGCAGATCTTAAGATGCCCGGATAGCGAATCCTGGTTTGGATATGATCACTAGTTTCGCTGAGAGAAAGGTTCGGTTATTTTCATCCATTGCGTAGCGATTGCTTCCATCTTTACGGCAACGACTTGTGAGGAAGACGTCATTTATAGCGATGGTAGCGATCGAAGAAGTCATGGAATATCAGGCTCTAGTGGTTTGAAAAAGTCGATCGACTACTGGTAATTTAGACACTTGGTCTCACGACTGAGCGGAGACCGTTCACTTGGTTTTTCACCTAAAAGAATTATTATTGAAGGACCAGAAATGAAGTTTAAGCGTGTTTACATTTTTGGCTTCTTGAGATGTGTTGTCTTGTACCCGTTTTTGAAATCAAGAATGCTCTTTTATTGACTTTGGTGTTGTTATTGTTTGTTAAAACAAAAGCTGCTACAATAGTATTGTTTCCTTTGACAATACTCTATTAGAACTTCATATTCAAATGAATTAAGTAAAGCCTGTTCTTGATTGGCTTAAACAATGACGTTAGTTTTCCGTGATTGGCTGACAATTTTTCAATTGTTCTTTTGCCTATAAATTTGTGGCACTATCCGGATGGTTGGGCGGAACCGTAACACCATCATGCCATACACTTCTCCGCCCCGCCGCCATTGTTGTTCTATCTACCCACAGATGTACGTCTCCAATCTATGAATGGACGCTTTAGAATTGAAGAAAACGAATCCAAGTTTGTTGCTTTTAATGTCATTTTTGTCAGCCCATTTCCATCCAAGCACTTCTTTAAGCTAAGCTCCCCAGTAATGATGTACCGATTTTGAGTCCACCCAAATTTTCTGTCCGAGTTATTTCATTTCAGGGCCTGTAGCTGCATTTTTCAAATCTTACATTGATTTATGATATAATTTGCTTCCACAGTGCGACGTGACGCCTACCATTCGAATCATGTCTGCGATCCTAAATGCTGCTAATTCTTCTTTCAAGGTAACAGTGATAGTTATAAATAAATATTTAAATGAATGAGAGAATTAAAAAAATAAATAAGGTGAGTGAAACCCCAGAAAGCGAGCATCCTTAACATGCTGTCTTTTTTTCACAGTTGTACGCCTCTCTAAAGATGATGTTGCAGGGGGTGATTCGCAACGGTTTCTTAATTTTTAGCACAAAACATACTTATTAAAGTGGAATGGTTATGAAACCCGTTAGACTCCTTTGTTATATGTTTCTGTTAGCGGTTTTGGACTTGACCTTGCACAATGTTCAATTGGTTTTCCTATGATTCTGAGCTTATTGACCAACAGAAACATGGCATTAATTTAGTCAATCTCATTTGTGAACAAAAAACAAAGGATTGTGCAGGGTCAGGGAGCTTCCAACATAAACTACACCACCGTTGTTTTCAACTTTGATGTTTGCCGGCTTTCCTAACCAATCGCCTCTACTAACTGTGCGCAAAACACACTGTAATTTTCAGGGAGTTATAATAACTCTCTAGTGGGGCTAATTTAACTCCTGACAGTGGAGTTATTTTTCGTGGAGTTATTTTAACTCCAAAAAGGAGTTTAAAGAACTCTTTTTCAGGAGTAAAAGTGACCCCAGATATTGAGGAGTTAAAATAACCCCAAAAAAGGAGTTATCCTGTACCTAAAATTTTTACTCCACTTTCAGAGTTAAATTAACTCCAAAAAGAGTAAAAACAACCCCTGTAAGGAGTACAAGTAACCCCATTTCGGAGTAGTTTTAACTCCAAGACTGGGAGTAAAAAGAACTCTTTTTCAGGAGTAAAAATGACCCCAAATTCGGAGTTAAATTAGGAGTTAAAATAACTCCCAAAAAGGGGTTATCCTGTACCTAAAATTTTTACTCCATTTTTGGAGTTATAATAACTCCCTAAAAGTTACGGTGCAAATGTGCACGCGAGATTCGTAGGAAACAGACGTGTTACACGGGACGATTATTAACGCAACAAAGGGAAGGGAAGAGGGTTCTTAAAAGGCGTTGTGAGGTGGGAAAAATGACGACACGTTTGTTAGCACGAAACAACTTAAATGCCGGAATTTCTGATTTGGTGAGGCACGCTTTTGAAACCTGTTCAGAACTTTCTACGCAAAAATTTTACAGAAATTCGTCTGCGCGTCCATGTAATACGGCATCAATTTTTAACGCAACGTAGTTGCGCTAAAAATCGTCGTTGGGAATTGTCTTGTGTAACGTCACCTTAAAGGCCCGTCTACGCAGGCCTTTTTCGAGCGATTTTCATTTGATTTTCCAACCTTAATGCAGTTGTTACCACAGGGCTCATCAGATGTAAACAATAATCCGCCAAGGTTTTTTCCCGTTTGTGTTTTGGCAAAGTCACTACATACATCTTGTTTTTAGTGATCATTTCATTTATTCTCCTGACTTTCTGCTTGGTTAAGCAGAGAAAGCGATAAAGAGAAATTAGGCTCGTCAATTTACGCCGAGACGAAGAGAAAAATTTGGTTCCATCGGTGTTCTGTTCATGGGAAATTCCACTTAGATGATTATCAGATCTTTTGATAGTCTGCTACACAGCCGTTTTTAGTGTCGTGACGCAACGCTCCTCCCTGGTGGGGAGGAGCGTTGCGTCACGACACTAAAAACGGCTGTGTAGCAGACTAATCTTTTGACTGATTGTAGGGAATTTCCTGGTGTACTTCAAAGTTAATTTCAAAGTTTTCTTTTCATTTCAGATGTTATTGCCTTCTTTTGCCCAAGTGATCAGCTATGCCATCAATAAGTGCTCTTTTCAGCTACAGGAATTGTTAGAACTGTGCGTGAAATGTACAGAGACATTTCCAAAGGTTTGTTAGATTCTGATTTTCTGATGTTTTAATTTGTTTGTTTGAACTCTGATAATTAAAGAAGGAAGGTAAATGGCGTTAGATCTAGAATTTGAAACATCTGATCGCTTTTTGAGTTTATCTGTGTTGAATGTTGCCAAACAATGTTGAACTGATAAAAACAGTATCGTTCCTATTCCGTTTGACCAGTCGCCTCTTTGTGATTGGCGGGTCTAAAGTACAAATCACTGCTCCATCGATAAATTACCAAACCACACAGATTACCCTCGATCTAATAAAGCACTGATTTTATTAAGAGATTAGGGCTAGGAGACCCTTCTAATGCTGTTCATTTATCTGTATCAAGGTGGCATGTACTCTGACCTGTGGAAAGGTGACCTGTGTTTTAGTTCCGCCGTCTCTTAAGGGTAAAACGGCCAACAAAAACGTGCAACTTGTTAGCTGCAAAACGAGTTGAATAGCGCGGATGTTGTGCGTTTTTGAGCCAAGTGTGAAAGCGAAATCACCTAAGTTTGAAACATCAGTAAGACGGGGTGCAAAGAAAGTCGGTTTTACTACCCGCCATTCGGGCAAGCTGTAGGTACAACCAGTTGCAAAAATGTTGAAAGACTCCCACGAAAAAACGGCCTTTCCTGCTTCAAATCGCTCCTGGTCACAGATCTGTGGGATATAATACTGACCTCCCTCCTCCCTCCCATTCAAAGTTGTTCCTCCAAGTTTTGAGCATGGTCTTGTATTGCTAGCAACTTTGATAAGGGGTGGAGGGGGGATCACAAGCACAAGATCACGGACAAGCCATTTATGCCAAAATACGGTACAGTCTCTCAAGTACTTTTGCACACCCTAACCCTCACCCCTAACCCTAACCCTAACGTCAAACCCTTTTTGATTAGCAAGATTGATTACAATCCTTTTGTAATTTGAATTTCCCCCTAAAAAGCAGCACTTGCCCGTCATAACTTAAGAACAAGAATCACTAGCCCGATAGCAAAATCCACTAGCCCCAGGCTATCAAACACTACTTTCGTTGCACGCTGGTAATACCATATTTTGCGCAAAAGACATGGTCAGACTACTGTGCCCTTCCTGAACATCGTCCAGAACGTTCTCAGGGGACCCATATTCAAGCCTGCTGAAGTAATCCAAACGCTTTTTGCGTGCTTCAATCTTGTAGGAACGTAATAAACTGTTTCTTACTCGAGCGGTCGTGTTGGAGCTTGTTCATGCGGTCAAGTTTCGTTCTTCCCTTCCTGACGCAAATCTTCAGTCCGTTTTACAGGTAAGTGGTTAGACATGTGATCTCTTAAAGTATTTATTCAATTATTATTATTGTTTTTGTTTGTGTTCAGTTTAAACAGGGTGCATGTCTAACTCAGTAAACTTTATATATAAAAAATGCACAAAATGATGAATAAATTACACAAATAAGCTACGAAATTCACTCAGTATAGATCAAGGTATGATGCCGCGAGCAAGAGTGTGCGAGCTGCGAGGGCTCTAAACTTCACTCCCTGTCATTGGTATCGCGGCTCCGTTTTCCGCCCTATAGTCACACTCTCAAAACAGAGGCCTGTTTGTTGATCATCCTCTTAAGTCCATCATCAGTACTAGATGGTCTTGGGTGGGGCTGGGGCCTAGTCATTCTTTCGTTACGTTATCAGTTACCTTAAGCAACAACGACGGCGACTGCTACAAAAACGTCACTTAAAAAGAGAACTCGCGCTACTTCAAACTTTGTCGCTTTTTTCCCATCTCGTTCAATTCCACAAATAATGGCGAATTTTTCTACAGTTGATTTCGTAAGGACTGTATCGAAGTTCAGGGAAAAAAAAAGAAAATTGTTGTTTTGTATTCACGTCCTCGACAAAACGTTAAAACCAGAGGAGGTTTCACGTTGAGCGCGTGCAACGACGGCAAAGAAATGTACAAAAATGCGCACGTGCAAAGTTGTCGTTTTGCTGATCTAAACCTATTGCTTTTTTCCCGTTCTCGTTTTTTGTTCTCGCCTTTTTCTTCGCCGTCGTCGTTTCTTAAGCTGCGTATTGAAAGTCTGTTGACAGCCTACAACTCAGCAGTCGATTTCGAAAGTACAAGCGGACTGTGAAAAGCTTGTGGTGTTGCGTCTGTAGGGGAGTGAAAGACAGATTTGATTGTCAACTGAGTTGATAAGGTAGATTTGCCACCATAAGGTGATAGAGGAGCTGACGTTTCGCGCGATATCTCTTCCTCTGGCGAAGTGCTATAGCTCGAAAAGTCAACTTCTTTATCTCCGTACAGTGGCCAATATACTTTGTCAACTCAATAGTCAATCAAATCTTTGGGAATGGCCTACAAGCTGTTCTGTTCAGGAATATTTTCGTACTTTTGGCTAGGTAGCTGGGAATGTAGCGAGCGTTCTCTAAAACCACAATCCTTACAGTTTAATGTTAGAACGTTAACACTAGCATCACTATGCCCCCCTTAGAGAGAGTCGCCCTTACAAGGGTACATGCTTTGAGTAAGTTGATATTTCAGTGACTAACAAAGCCGGGAAATGCTCTTCATGGTGTAAAGGGGCCTATTTATGGCCTAAGAAGGTTAATTCCCCCTTTGTTTTAGTTTGTAGCTGTTGACGCAGGCAGTAGAATCAGTTTTGGAAGTGAATCAGACAAGGCGCCTTACGATCTTCCATTTGGGGTAAGAACTATGTGATTTCAGTTTCCCCTAGTAATGTGTTACTTCTGTCACATCCAGCTAACACCACGCTTTGTATCTTTTATTTTCTTTTAGTCACGCACTCGAGCGCTCGATTGCAACCGTCAGTACATTGTGGAAGCGGTGGAATTCATCAAGGATTGGAATTTTAGAGCAAAGTCAAATAAGGTACGGTGAAGGCTCAAATAAGGTAATGGCTCATTATGCAGGACCGGCAAACGAATTACCTGGCTTTATTTCTGAGTTATTTGAAGACCCTGAGTATTGGTCCGGACCCGGGGATTGAACTGATCTCTTGATCTATTCCCTGCATTCAAGCTCTCTACCGACTAAGGTCGACTAAGGTAGTCCTGCCGCGGTCGCGCTGTCCTGTCACGCTTCTGAGGGTGACCAACATACAGTCAGTGTATGCTTTAGCAAGATTATCAAGTAGAGCTGTCAGAGGTAATCAGATTCCAATTTTCCTCAACAGGAAAACCGACAGTTAAGTGAGCCAAATCTTCACCAAACGACACTTCCGATTGACCTGAAAGCGAGCGTGGCACAGCTAGTGGCCTTAGAGCTTACCAAACATTCAGAGGGTAGTAAGATACATCATAAAGCTCTAGCCTGGCTCAGAAGTCCTCCTACTGCAACACAATTGGGGTACGTACATACTTACCCTCCCTACCCTTGATAATTTGCGGCACAAAGCACTGTCTCTCCATCTGCAGTTATACCCAAGGCCCAAGAAGGTGGGTGGGTGGGTGAGTGCGGGATGGGGTGTTGGGTGGGGAGTTTTTTCCTTGTACAGTGGAACCCCTTTAATACGATCACCAACGGGCCTAAAACATTTGGCCGTATTAATGGATGACCGCATTAACGAGGGTGTTTTTACAAGAAAATGTATGGCCGTGTTGCCATGCGGCTAAAAAAGTGGCCATCATAACAAGGTGCCCGTATTACCGAGGTGGCCGTAAGGCGAGGTTCCACTGTATATATGAGCTAAATAAAACGGCGGTGGCATATTCCTTACTGCCGCGGTAAAAGTGCCTGTCTGTCCACAGCCCTGTACTATCGCGCAGATAAATACATTTTATATATTATATGTTATATATATAGTGATTGGCTGACGGCAAGAAGTTTTTTTTCTTTATTACGAGTGCTTTTTTTGGAATCAATTGGGGAATTTACTCGTCGTACTTATGATCTGTTCATTTTCCTGTCTTAATTTGTTGAGCAATGCAAGTTGCTCACGATGTAAACTAGCCGGCACGGGATTAAGATAAACTTAGTCTACAAAGTGCCAGTACTTTTAGCAACATGATCTGAACTGAACAGAAAGTGGCTCTTTGTGGTCAAGCGTTTGTTTTATGGCTAAAGAATTTCATTTGAGAAGCGTTGCGGCAGTTTGGGAGAAGCTGCCAGGTCATGATCATGCATCAGTAACTTGTCGCTGCGAAGTTTTGCTTCAGTATTCTAGGTCACGTAGCAGGGACATGTCTCTTTGTCATTTCCCCTCACGAACTGTTTCCAGTTGTTACACACGAAGCTTCATCACACCAACACGCCCTAGCGAAAAATTTTTTTCCTAATATCTCGAGATGAATTTCGGCCGACATGACGACAAATTTGTCCCAAAAATTGTGTTGTATGATTTGAATAGTATAAGCGCACACGAGACTAGGGCTTCTTTGATTCTTTTTAGGCCTATTTTCGTGATTGAGATTTTGCTGTTGGTCGAAGTAAAAATTTGGAACGCACGGACACGTTTCAACGAGTTCTTAAGAACTCCTAAGTGCTTCCGGCCATGGGTAAACAAATTACAATTTACAATTTTTTTTACAAAAACAATGTTTCTTGATTCGATTGAAAATCGCAAGAGATTAGATACCGCAGCATGACGTCATAATCACTTGAACATCAGCAGCTGGTCACAACTAAAAGAACCAATCACAGCTCACAATGTCTCTTAGTTGTTTTATAAAATAAAACAAAAACTGCTGATCCTCGTGTTACTCGGTTTCTACCGGTTTGAACCTTTCAACGATAAAAGCTAGCGGAAAATCTCCGGTTGAAGTTAATTTGTAAGCACAAGTCAAATCAAGTTTGTTTAAACCATGTCTGTAAGTGAAGCAAGCTGTTTCGAAAGTACTCCTTGGAAAGCAAAGACATCTTTAGAACGCAACGAATGTATGTGGAACAATCCATTGCTCTCCGATGTGGAATTTTTGTTTCGATCTTCCGACAGTGAAACCGTCGTTGTTCCGGCTCATAGCTTCATTCTAGCCACGAACAGTCCTGTTTTCTTCGAGGTGATGAAAAACACAAGACGTGAAAAAATGGTTATTGAAATTACCGATTGCGAGCCAGAAATTTTCAGATTATTTCTCCATCACCTCTACAACGACGAACTGGAACTCTCAACAGACTGTTTACGAGACTTGACACGCTTAGCGATCAAATATTCTGTTTCAAGCTTGATTGGAAAATGTACAGACTTCGCTAAAAATGTTTTGAACTCTTGCAATGTTTTCACCATCTTGCAATGTGCCGAAACTTTAAAAGACACGAACTTACAGCAAAGTTGTTGGGACCTTGTAGATTTGCATACTGTTAAAGTCATAAAATCTGGAGATTTTTTGAAAAGCAGCCAAGATTTAATGTTGAAACTTCTGCAAAGAGACTCTCTACGAGTACGGGAAGTAGAACTATTTAATGCGTTTTGTAGATGGATAACATTTCGGAATGAAACGCAAAATAAAAATTCCCGTCAAAGTTATGAACAAGAACTGAATTTGCCACTTGTGGATCAAATTCGCTTTCCTCTGATGTCGCAAAGAGAATTTGCTGAAAATGTTCCGCAAAAGGGCTTTCTCATTAAAGAGGACATCATAAACATGTTTTCGTATTTCTGTTCTACGTCCAACGTCGATGTCAGATTTTCAAGGAAACCAAGAGCGGGCACACTAACTCGCTGTCGCTTGTTTCCCGAATCCCGTAAATGGTTCATGTATTCGGGAGCATGCCCGGAACATTTGACACTTTCAGTAAATTCGCCCATAATGTTCTGTGGCGTGCGAATGTTTGGTTCCGAAAGAGGAAGATATTCAGTTTCTTTAGAAATCTACGCTCAAAATAAACCTTTGGATATTTTAGCAGTGAAGAAAGGCGTTTATGAATCAGAAAGTGAAGTACAAAAGGATTATTTCGGATTCGATGTGTTTTTGGATAAACCCGTCTTGTTGAAAAAATCCTTGCCGTATTCTTTGAAAGTATTATTGGAAGGACCGCCGTCATTTTATGGTTGCCATGGCTTCTCTGTGGTCAAATGTGGTGAAAAAACATTTACTTTTTTTCGGGATAATTGCCCAATATTTTCCCGATTTCAGGCGGGACAATTTGCTGAAGTTATTTTTATGTAAATGCGCTCTATGTTCAAGTGTTGTATTTCATTAGAGCACGTTAAAAAGCAACAATACCGGAATGCTCATTCCTGACCTTGGTGTCTTCGCATTATTGGATGAATAACTCTTGTCACAAGATCTCTCACATTTAACAACAGTTGACCCTATATAAGGCAGCCACCCTTAGGCGAACAGCAAGTGACCGTTAATGGAGGTTCATCAGAAATTAGCGTGATAATCTTTAGCAAAAAACGCTCGAGGGGAGAAGCATTACTGGTCCACAATCGGTCGTCACCTTCTATCTCAATCAGTATTATTCCTTCATAATATTCTTAAAATGCAACCAAACTAAGTACTCTCGTTGAGACGGCCAAACGGTGGCCGTGGCTGCTTAAAAGGGGTTTAATTTCCCATTTTTTTTCTCTAATTTTTTCGGGACTTTGATAAGTAAAGATAGAGGCACTATAAGAGACTTCTCTCCGTGACAAGAGGTATTCATTCAACGCTAAGGTGGCTACGTATTTCTTTGTTTGTTTGTCCATAAGTTATATGCTTCTGGTTTGTCTATTTATTTTTTAAAATTTTAGGACTCACAGGTCAGAACACATATCCACCATCACGAAAGTTGCACGACCATCACGTGAGGTATAGACTCACGTGTAATGTTTATTTATACTTCGTTTAATTTCCCATTTTTTCTCTAATTTTTTCGGGACAGAGGAGATAGAGGCACTATAAGAGACTTCTCTCCGTGACAAGAGGTATTCATTCAACGCGAAAGTGGCTGCGTATTTCTTTGTTTGTTTATTTATTTGTTTGTCCAGAAGCATATAACCCTATATGTTTCTGGTTTGTCTATTTATTTTTTAAAATTTTAGGACGTTCAGGCATAAAAGAAATATAAATAAACATTACACGTGGGTCTATACCTCGCGTGATGGTTGTGCAACTTTCGTGATGGTGGATATGTGTTCTGACCTGTGCTTTGTTGTTTTTTCGGTGTTCTAAAGTGAAATATACGATGAACAATATTCTCGGGTCAGTGGCGGATTCAGGGGGATCAAGGCCGGGGATCAGGGGAATCGGAAAGGGGGATCCGGCCTCCCCTTGTAGGACTTCCCTGTACTCTGAATGACCAATGCTTTCAAACTGAAGGTATTTCTTCTGAAGGATCCCATACAAGAATCTAATCAGCTGACGTTCACCAAGATTGAACTCAAGTGTCAAGAAAGGCGGAAATTGATCATTTTCATTAAAATAGTTTCAACAATAGCACCTTGGAAGCATCCAGTAAAAAAAATTCCTGCCTCCGCCCTTGTCTGCTTCTGTCCACACGAGCCCGTCTTTTTCTTGATTGTCCTCAGGAGAAGGATACTGATTTATCTGTCAACAAACTTTTTCACCCTTGGGGCTGTTTACTAAAGTATCCGTTTTCCTTGCATCATTCACGTGTGAACGGTATCCGTAAACGCCCAAGATGGAATACTCTAACAAGTAACAAACGGTTAAGATTAGAGTGAAAATGAAAATCCATGAAAGTGTAATTTAAGCTGATAAATGAAAGAAGGAAGGAAACAGACCATGCGAGGCTGAACCCGTATCACTTAATCAAACAGAGGAAAGATTTTCGATCATTTCTCTCCTTATTGAATAGTTCTTAATCAACCTCCTTCCCAGGGCTCTCTCCTATGCCAGAGAGCACGAGTAGGAGAGGAGCATGGGAACGAAGTTGGTTCTTAGTTAGCGGCTTAAAAGGCAGATACCGTAAATCCTCTGTTAAGCCCCCCCTCTCATATTTCCCCCCTTTTCTGGGGAAGAAAGTAATGAGCCCTCACTTTCTTTTAACCCCCCATCCCTTCTCCGTTATTATTGTTCACTACTAAAGGATACTCTGAATTAATCACGATCTGGGATGGTTTATTCACCGACTGGAAGTTCGAATTTGTTTTGGATCCTCGTCTGCATGACCTCCAACCTTCTTGTTCTTGAGCTTTTACACTTTGTATTATAGTTCTTTATGGAGAACTGATACCATCGTCGTTTCTAAATTCAACAAGCCCCTCCCCCTGCCCCTCAAATGTGTTTGAAATAAATAACCCCTAAGCTTCTCCGTGTGTCAATTTTCTCGAAATTTCATAAAATCCCGTTTAATCTCCGGCTAAAAATATCCACCGTTGTGATTTAGGCTCGGAGCATTCCCACAACTATTTGTCAAGCTGCCGGAAGCGGAATACCGTTAGAACATAAAAAAAACTCTAAAAGCCGGTTGTAATTCGTTTATCTTTCAGAGGAAATTTACTCCCTTTCAAAGAAGAACATTTACAACAACTAGCTCGGGCGACCCACTTCTTTCAATCTTGTGGGTGGTCGCACTTTTATGTGAGCACTCAGTTGTAAATGCGTAAAAACGAAGTGTTATCCAAACGCGGCTGTTTGTGACGTCGCGATGGCCATATTGGTGTTTCAAACCAAATCTGTGGGAGTTTCAAATTCTAGTCTTATGTAAATGCTTTCTTTTATTCGAAATAAATTTGCATAGATGCTGGCCACGTGAGTGAATACTCTCTCTTGTCTTTCCTTTTCCTAGACGACAAGAGCTTCTCGATTGCGTGACTCACATCCGACTGTTAGCATGGCTACTACACGGCTCCTTGTCGCACTTTGTCCACTCTAGAAATCCCCATGTGAACTGCCACCCGATCAAGTTTGAGGAGAACACGCATATTGCTGACTACGTCCTCATAATTCTGTTTAGCTTTGCAGAGCAGCTTAAGGTGAGAGTTTTGCCTCAACCCCCCGTTTTGTTACGATAGGGCGTGGGCGCACCCCTCACCACAGGTCGTTTCAATTATATTGGGAACCTAAGATCCGACGATGGCGACACGGTGGAAGCGTCGCTTTAAAAAGTGAATTCGCAGTATTTCAATCTTCATCGTGATTATTCTGACTCATTTACTATGTCAAACGTAGTCGAACTCTCCTGAAGTTGAATTTCTAAGAACCATATCTAAGTTCAGAAAAAAATAGAAAATCTCGTTCTTGCTTGTTCACGACCTCTATAAAACGAGAAATTAGGCTTTTCACGTTGTAGTCGCGCAGTGACGGAAAAGAAATGTAAAAATTGGTGTGATTCACGTGCGAAGTTGTTGGTTTATTTATTAACCTTATTTTCTTTTTTGACTTTCTCATTGCCGTCGCCGTCGTCGGATTTGTAAGTCCCTATTATAGGTATTCGGGTTGGGCGTATACTCTGCAGCCACAAAGCGTATGTATGCTTTTGAACCACTTGTGGGATATCTCCCTCCGACCTGTTGCGTTGTACTTTGGAAGTGGGTACAGACATCCTAAGACCAGGCTGCGCAGTGAAGAAAAAGGCTAAAAAGAGCGAGCAAGAGTCTGGGGAGGAGAAAGGCCCTTTCCCCTCCCTTGTCCACAGCTCGGCTCCTGGTCCCAGGCCACGCCATAAGGCATGTTAGTAAGTGAAATTAAAATGTCTTCTTGTATGAAGAAAACAAACAACATATTGAATGAACTGAATGTGTTCTTTTCTTTGGCGAGGAGTATAGCGCGAGATTAAAGAAAAAGCAAACTATCGCAAACACGCATTACTTAGGAAACGTTATCTGTTAACTATGTGTCAAGCTGATGATTTGCCTGCATAAATGGCACAGGGTTTTTTGGCGACGCGCGGGCGAACGAGCGGCGAAGTCGTGAGAGAAACGGGAAAGAGGCCTCATCGCTGTTAACGCGCGCTCGTCACCAAGAAATTTCCTGCTACACGGGCTAGATTACATTTAACCTTTGTTATTATTATTTCTAGGAACCGTTGAGTAAATCTGCCCTGTACCATGCGTTTAATGTATGTGAGGTAAGCAGAAACGTTTTTTAGACTAAGAACTAAACTCTTCTTCATGAAGACGTCTCTTTTAGTATTCTTTACAACTTGATTCACGATCAAATGGGGGACGCTTTTTTTTTGATAGGGAGCTTAAGCGAGAACTTTTTAAGCGACCCACGTGAACCGAAAGTGAACTTTTTGCATCTTTTCTTTCTTTTGGCAGATGTTGTGGCCCAAATTGTTCGGTCAAATCGTCCCTTTAAGAGAAAAGACTTGACAACACAAATTTGGTGGTGTCAAGGCATATCACTAGGGAAAAATCCTTATTTCCGGTTGACGTGCATGCGCCGCTCAAAAACTAACGCCTTGGCTTAAATTCCCTCAGCGCTAATGATTCCTGTTGTATACGCTGAGGAAGAGATGTATCATGCAAATTTCTTATAACGTTTTTTCCGGTTGCATAGCTGTGGACTCTTTACTGTGATCATACGAAGAGTCCTGGTGAGCCCTCAACACAAGCGACCTCGATTGTGATGGAATTCTGGGGAAAGGTGACCCCTGGAATGCTACATTTGCTAACACAAGCGAAGGAGGTGGGTAATCACTTGACGTAGGTATTTCCACAAAGTCCATATGAATGCCGACAGTCAAAAAATATTGTTTATATAACCACCACTATGACTGGTTCAGCTTATGATCTCCTTGTTAGTTTGCTTCTTGCTTAGTCCCTGTACGGTGTCTTCCCAGGCCTTGTCGGTCAACGCATCGGTGACAACTTGCCTGGACAGGTGACTCGAAACGCATCGGCCGCGCGCAATAATGAGGACTACTGAGGAACGAGGCAATTTCACTTCGATCCTTAGCCATTTGAAGAGCAGTCGTTCTTTGTGTCGTCACGCAACGTGTGTGGGGGGCGGGGGGAGGGGGGGAGGGTTGGGTAACGACACAAATCAAAGGGTGCCTATGGCTAACTTGTGGATTTATTATTTTAGAAATGAAAGCTGATAATGAACTTGCAATTAGCCTACCGGTATATTTTAACCCTGTCAAAAAATGAAAGCATGTTTAAAAAAAAAAAAACGACTAAGAAAAAAGAAGAAAAGGTTTCCGCCAGCGGGAATCGCATCCCAAACCTTTGACATGTAAGGGCAACGCATTATCTATTGCGCCACGACAACCATTGTTAATCATAGGCGTTAAATTAATTATATTAAATATTTTTTGCCCATGAAATTCTGCCGGTGGACGCTGTTTGAGCTTTATTTATGAAGAACTGAAAGATATATTCGAGGAAAACAAGCATGGTTTTGACAGTTAAAGCCGTAGTTTAACTCATTTCGTCGCATTTGAAGAACATATGGCCGACAAGTGTCTCGCAAACCGTCGCGAAGTCTCATGTTGACGGCGTCGTACAGCTTGCAATTCTGGGCGTTTGCGTGAGGAGAATCAATTACGATTCAGCAACAGTTAACATTTCCGTTTTTACTGAACAAAGAAACATTTCATTTCAGAATGATGTTTCCCTAAAACCATGAGTTTGGGAGTCTTGTCGTGAGAAAAGTTAAAAAATCGTGAGACTCACGGCAGAATCGTGAGCTTGGGAATCGAAGAGCAAATTGCTGATCTTTTCGTCATTATTGCCTGGACGAGTAAAAAGGCTTCAAAAGTTCATAAACTTCTGTCTCAAAGTTGACCATAGTGCTAATTTGAAACATATAAAGTCCACATGAAGCGCAACTTATCGTCCTGAGAAAGGTACAAAATCATAACATCAAAAGCTCTGGGTACGATGCACGCATCGCGGAACGGAAACGATCGATCTACGACAGTTGTCGTTTTGATATCGTGCTGAGCCGACTAATTACGAAAACGTTCACACCTGAGTGACACATTTGTTTGCATATCGCCGTGCCCACAATAACTTGTTCCTTACGCTACGCGTAATAATCCACAAGTTAAAAATGGTTGCGAAGGGGACTAGGGTGCAGGTGCAAAGAGTCACCTATCCCGACGTGTGTGTTACGTTTTACAAAGAAACACTGAAGCCCTCTTTCCCCACAACTGGCGTACAAAGTGTTCCAAAATTCGCGTTATGATAATGTGCTGTACTTCAAAACAAAAGTTGCTTTGTCATTTTCAAAGATTTTTTTTTTCTCTCATTTCAGCTGACCCTCAGTGTGAGTCACCACTTTCTGAATTTAATTGAAGCTCTACAGGAGTGTAATTCTACTCCACTTCCGATGGTAAGCACCCACTCCCTCTCTCGCAGAGGTCTCTTTTGTGTCACGAGGAGGAGAAAAGTAAGCACGCTCCTTTTTAAGGATAGGAGCGCCCTGCCCTTTCTTCTTTCTCTAGGGAAATCGTAGAAAAGTTGTAACCAGTACTCTGGAAGACGGTTACTATTGACGGTCCATTTTCGAATGACTCTTTAATCAAAAAAGAAAGTTGGGCAGTCGGTGTTTAAGTTACATGTATACAGTCACATCTGTATAATGATACAAGGTTTTCCCTATTTTGCTGTCTTCCAGCTTGATTATTTTTCCCGATGCGGAGGGGTTCTGCTATTACCATACCTATCCTCATTCGGCAAATCACTTTTGATACAATCGAAACAAACTGAAGATCTCTTATATGCTGATGAAAATTAATTGGACGTAAAATAATGTGCAAGCACTTTCTATTTTTCCTCCACAGCTGTATCCGATGTGGTATCCAATTCTGACCTACTGTTTCTCCCAAGGGGTAAGAACAATTATGTAGCGTTGACTTTAATTAAACAGCTCACTATAGTTAATGTGTAGTTAAAAGGATATCACTCTTCCGCCGGGACCACTCCATAAAGTATCTAAGCTCACGGCAAAGTAGAGTTAACCATGAGATTCCAAATTAATCTTCTCCGAAAAGAAGCTCCCAAATTCTCGACGAAAAAGGACTCCTATTAAAAGACCGTCGTGGGTAAATCTCTCTCTCTCTCAGAGCAAAGTACACCACAGTCTATCGGAACTGTACGCAACCAGTCCGGACGTGAGATATCAAGGTAAGTATTTGGCAACCGTCTTACGGGCCTCAATTTTCCCTGAGAAAGAAGGCGGCCAACTCTCTGGGTTCCTTCCCGAAATCCAATTTGTGTTTGTTCTGTTTTTCTTTAATACTTTATCTTCTCGTTCCAGGTCTCGGAAGCTGCGCATGCGCGACTGCGCAAAGCCCAGTCTCGGCGACGGATCAACAAAGACACCAAGTCAGCATTGGCCAAGTGGCTCAAGCAACTTCAGTTCAAGATGGCGCTAGCTGAACAACAACCTGATGGCTCTTTGTTTATTTAAAGATGTATCCTTTACTAACTTCTCAAATAAGGAAACTAATAGGCGTTACGAGCGTGACTGTTTTCACAATTGAACACGTCTAGGTCGATTAAAAAAAATCAAATGTGTCTTGTTTTGTCAATTGTCTTCTTTGTGATTCGAAATCCCGATAAAACACTGAATCTCGCATTGGATAGATTTCATCCTCAATCGCAAGGATACTTTCTTGGAAGTGAGACAGGCATTTGCTGGTGTCATTAACAATGTATACGTTAAAAGTTGAAGAGCTTGCACTACAAGGTGTTTATAAATGTAAATAAAGTTATGTGATAGTATCGTGACCAAACAGCATTTTTGGACTACATTTTTAGGCTGATTACTTGGGTATTATATATCCAATAAATCACTTCACTTGCAACCACGAATGTTTGTAGATAATATCCTGATACTAATGAATGTCGCGACTTAAATCGTGCTGTGCGTTTTTGCCGTTTGAACTGTTTTATAATGCCATCATGACTTTAATTTAATAGTTTACACGCACTTTCCTGCGCTTCTCGCCGGTAACTTGTATATGATTCGAGATCTGATACTGATCTGCTTAAATTCAACTCTCGCCGTGCTTGGCCATAGAAATTATCTCAAAGTTTGGCTATGGTTAACCGCTTGTGTCTACTTGCAACCCCTTTTTATTACCATACCTCTTTCCCTGATGGAAAGCTCTTCGCAACTCTCCAAGGACCCGTCCCCCCCCCTCCTCCCCTGAGCAAGTTAAAGTAACATAAATATGTAATAAATGAATTTTAAGAACTCTCCTTTTAAATTATATTTTAAAAGTATTTACCACCTGTGAGCTCTGGTATGCGGACAAAGAAAAACAAATTTCACGACAACAAAGTTCAAATGACGTTTTTAATAGTGTAAAAGTTTGCATGTTTTCAAAGCTTTCAGTTGTTTTGTATCAGTGATATTCGGTTGATTTTACAGCTCTCTTAGCTCCTTTCTCTTAACTAAAAGACTCTAAAATGTCTAACGGCTCAGAAAAGCGTTATTTTCGAAATTCACAATCGCAAATTGTGTTCACGTTATTCTGATTTCAAAAGTAATATTCTAAAACTGATTTACATAGGACTCCGAACTAAGAATTAATTATAACGATAAAAAATATAGTACTTTACTTTTAGTTCACAGACCTTTCACCGCTTTTGTCGGACGACATGGACTGTTCCATTTTCTACCAATGTTTCCACAGCCTGGGTATGGGTATGAATAACGAGAGACAAATATCTTATTATCTACGAATTCACCTACGATGTTGATGGCCTTGTTTATCTTGAAACTGTTGTTTCAATTACGGTATAATGCAAAATGGAATTTCCATCAAACGTTATTGCCCGGTCAAGGCGACTATCGGAGGTTATAAAAATTGAACCACAAAGCTAAGGCTAGTGATCCTAGTACCGAATGATCGGTATAAATGAATGAACAGAGGGTGAAAATGTTGCCATCCAAGAAAACCCATCCTGCGTGGATAGCGAATCAGAACACAGGGCTTACACTCGGCTTCACATTTAAACTGCAATTGTTCTTCACTGGTGAAGCTAGCTACTGAGAGTGGCTTATGACACTGCTGCCAACTCATACCGCTAGAGGTCTCACCTACCACCTCAGCAAGAGACAACCATAGTAGCCGGACCGGCGTAAAGTTACGTCTTGAAACCTCGGGCCGCAGATAGTTATCGCTTTCCTCTTCTTACATATTGCCAGCTTTCATCGTACTCCTCGTGAAATGAAGAACGGGCTCCTGGTATCCTGATGATCAACCATATTGAATTTGAGGATTAGACCTTTCCAAAGTGCAAGGGGCCAGTCCTGCAAATCTACATTGTCACGCGACGTTTTCTTGGTAACACTGATTTCTTAATACTGATTTCAAAAACTTAATTGTTTTGAGCAGTCTACTAGACAACTCTTAACTTTATCTGAACTGCCGCGCACATGCCAAAAAAGAAAATTCCAAAACGTTAACAACAATCACGACGCACGCGTGCCTGAATATAAAAAGGAAAATAAACTTACGAATTTCTCATCGGTGGTCCCCTTGGCGGAGAAAGAGGAGCCGTAGGTCCCCTTAGCGGATTTGGCGGAGAGACGGGAGGGGGAAACGTTAACTGGCTGAACTGACCAAGATTGGCGTGAGCCCCTAAAAACATCTGGTGAGCTCTTCCGTAAATATGTGCCGGATCAATTGAAGTCGTAGTAGGTGGAAAGCCTCCCTGAGATAAAACATACCAAATTACTGTCATTATCAATCAACAGATCATTCATCAAAGGCACCAAGATTTTGCGTGCAAGGGAAATTTTCACTTTCTACTTTCCTGACCAGAAAAGAAGGCACTACGGATGAAGCCGGAAAACCTTAAGTTTTGGATGTTATCAGCAGGCCCCAATTTGTCGAGAAAATTATGTTTCTGACCGATCACAAGGTATCGTAAACAATATTTACGAAGGCGTGATCGATGCAAGCTCGAATACGTGTTGTAAGCCCAAGATTGTATTTTTGGGAAAGCGTCTTTAAAATACTCTTACATACGTTTCCATGTACTAGGCAGTATTTTGAAATGGACGGAGTTTATATCAAACTGAAAGTTTCCCGACTACGTGCATCTCTTTGGTGCTCGAGCTAGACAAGTATGGCGAGACAATAGCCGTCGCGGGCGAACACACGAAAAGAAACCAGGAGAGGCTGTTCGCCGATTGGCAAAGTAATACAAAGCATTTTTTTGTGACCAATTAGGAGCGAGCATTCGCTTGATTGATTGGAAATGGTCTGATGAGAGTCGTTACCCAGGGGTTCTTGATCCCGTGCTTGAAAACGTTCGTCGCGCCTTTTCTCTTGACCCGACTTACTGCCCCTGGGTCTCCAAGAATGAGATTCAGACTATTCTATTGTATTTTCAGTGATCTTTATGGAGTTCTCTTGTATTAGCAAAGTCGTCTAGGCTCTCCTTTCAAGTTGCGACATTAATTTTCCGCGAAATAGGGCTTACGAACTTTTGCGAATTTAAGTACTGGCGAAAATGAGTGAAAATAAGCAATGAGTGCTTTAAAGCAATCGTTTACCAAATCCCGAGCATTGCGAACTCCCATTTGACTAGAAGGCAAGTTTGCCCCGAAATGGTAGTTGTTTTTGCGACAGGGATATGCTCCATGATCAACCCGTTTTTGTTATGGCGTTTACTTCTCTAATTCCATTCGATGCCTCTCATTTTAAAACAACTGCAAACACGCTTTTATGGAAGACGTTGGAAAGACACAAAGTCATCAAAATTGCCTTTACCCTAAGTACATCAATCTGCTGCGCGACACATCCCTTGTCGTTCTGATTAACCACAAAATGTACTCTGTCGCCAATGTTTAACTGCGCGATTGAATAATCCTTAAGGTCTAACTCGTGAAAGTAAATTCCTTTAGGATTTGGTTCTCTCGGATATTCTTTGGTTATGAAACCAAATCGCCTTTTCAAAACACCAACGAAACCTTCTTTAATTCCCTTTCCAACTGCATCTTCCCATCCACAATGGCACTGCACTTGCTTCGTCTCGGGGGGCTATGGGAAAGTAAATTCCACGTTTTTAATAAATGAACACAAAACCAGGTCAGATTAAATACGTGTTACAAAGGCACGGGAAACCACTTTAGGGACTAATTTACAGTCAAAGCAGGTCAAGCGTTCCCGCTGTGTCACGAAATTCAGCTAAATTAGGAAATTACAAAATGCCCGTTTAATTAAGAGAAACATAAAAATAGCCGCTTAAAAATTTAAAGGAAGGTTAAAACAACAGATGCACGGATGGGCAAAACTGAAGACGATTGAAAGGACTGAAATTAGGGTTTTTGAAGACTGTTCAGACTAACAGTTTTTCAAAGTCGATCCCCGCTGCTTGCAACTTCAAAAATAATGCTCAGGAGACATATTTGTTTGTCTCGGATCTCTGATTTTGTCATTTACATGTAATTTCTTTGCTTACGTTAAGTTCCATAGCGATTGAGGGCGAGTAATTGGCAAAATTAAACAAAATGAACAGGACTGCCGTGACACAGCCCCTTTAACGAACTAATGAAGTCATTAATGGAAAATTGATTTCGTTTGTTGATGCCATAATCCATTCATAAAATGAACAATCAAATATTCATATTCAGCCTCGATTCAATGATCGAATGTTGATTCGATTACTGTTGTTTGAAAAACTACACTTTCCACAGCTCGACCTCAGAATTTTGTTTTTTTCTTCTTTTTTTCTAAGAGTCGAGTGCGGGCGAGTTCTGAAGTTCAAACCCAAACAAACTGTTACATGTACGCCATGTTGCTGCTAGTAATCAGTGCAACAGATCTGACCTCTTCTAGCAGTTACTTTTTGATTAAAGGCAATGAAAAACGCAATCGTAAACGGTAGGAAAAGGGAAGGTGTTGACCACAACAGACAAGGTAGATTTTGTTCATAAACCAAATCAACATTTGATTATTGAATCGAGGTCTAATTTGACTATTGGATTATTCAATTTGTGAACGGATTAACCGACTCATTTTTCCATTCATGAATTTGTATAAGTCCACTAGCGACAGGAACGCTTGACACGCTTTGACTGTAACAACAGAGCAAGAATCATAAGCATCTATGTAGGTCGTTGCCAGCTGTCAAGATCGTTTTGAAGTGGACAATGGTTTCTAAAGGTATTGCCTATCATCGTCATGCACTCATACCTTGACGTAAAGATCTTTCGCGTAGAAGCCTCTCTCCCGCTTATCTACGCTGAACTGAACTTTTGCTTCCAGATGGTAATTGATAAGTTCTCGCTTTGGTATGCCAGACACAAATTCGTGAAAAAACACTTTTTCCTTAATGGTGGGTATTTCAATAAATCCATGAACTTTTTTAGAGTTTGGAGGACCTCTCAATTCGCATATATGACCTTCTGGGCGAGATCTCATATCATAAAGATCCTGTAGTGTCTTTGGTAGTTCTACAGTTCTCCCTTTCCTATATTTTTAAAAAAATATGAGCCAGTTACAATATAATGTATATACAAAGTAATCATTTGTCGGACACGGCAGAGGCGTACGGTGATTATAATGTTGCGGAGAGGGAAAACATCACAGTGAATTCCTTCCCTCAACAAAAACAAAAAATGTGGGTTCGTCTTGTACCTACCTACCTTATTTGCTACCTGTCTGCGTACCTTACCTACCTACCTATCGCCATTCCTTCGTACTTATGTACGTACCTGCCTGCCTACCTACCTACCTATCTACCTACACTGTTATTATCCAGGTATGCTTTTGCAATGGTCATATTAAAATGATATAACTTACTTTTATTAGTTTACTATTCAAGAACTATTAGCGTATGTTTGCTATTAACTAAAATAGGTTTGCTTTTGCAATACGTACTAACTTACCTGCCTACTTGCCTGCCTACCTACCGATCTACCTACCTACCTGTATAACGTATCTCTCTACCTGCTTGCCTACCCACTACCTACCTGCTTGCCTACCCACTACCTACCTACGTAAGTCCTTTACTTGGGTACCTAACTTCACACCTACCTACCTACTTAACTACTTCAACCCTCGTCTTTCCTAGAAAGCAATAGTGTCCAATAACTCGTGGCTATTGGATTTTGCAATTGGGCTAATGAATTCTGTCCTTAACTTGCCCGACGGGCAAGTGAAGTTTTGGAAGGAATTAAAATTACAGAAGAACTGTAATTAATGCTCATCCAAATGCGCGCTAGTTGAAATGACGGTTTTCGGCTAACTCGCTTGCTTTAGCTTGCTTTGCACCTAATTGCTCCCTACCTACTTAACTCGCCGTAACTGCCCCCTACTTATACCTACAATCCCTTTCTACCTAATTACATAGACTTTATTTAGGTTCAGATTTTTTTCTGGTTAGGTGATATGATCTCCATTCCAGTATAATTCGACCTTTTCAGTGGCATTTTCTGTAGAATGGACTTTAAGATTTGCTCATAAAAGCAGCTTGAGCTTGAAGAGCATACCTGCTCCGACGAGCTTCAGATGTGGAAACAGTCTTTGCACTGTGTTCTTTGCGTAGTTCGTTTTGATATTCTACCAGTATTGCATCGACGTTTTTCTCCTCCTATATATAATTGCATCATACAAACAAGCAATTCAGTAACGTCGAATCACCAGCCCTCTGGCAAAATTTTGCCATTTTCGTCAATTTCGCCAAAATCGCCACTCTTCAAGGTCGTTTTGGCATACTATTTGAATTGTCAGCCCTCTGGCTATTTTTCGTCATTTTCGCCATTGCATGCATTTCTGGACATAAGTATACGACCCCGAGTAAAATTGGTTTAAAATGAGTCATCTTGGTTTTCTTTAGGTCCGTCACGTACCGTTACAAGTTGATAAAAAAAGAATAATTATCCTGAGGTGCAATCCGCGATTTACATGTTACAAACTTTTCAAAGCATACGATTTAACCATTTCATCCGCTACGCGTCAAGCATGAACATCCTTTTACGCCAGTTTGCAGTTCATAAAATGCACACTAAAGAAAACACTACAGAATAGTGTTCAATAAACATACCACTGTTTTGATGTTCATGGCTCTTGGTCCTCTGTCAGTTTTTCCAATTGTAAAGGACACCACCGTATACAGCTCTATGGAGTCAAGACTGTCAATCGGAGGAACAATTTGCTTGGCATGGAAGAACAAATTCTCTTGAAATTTCGGATGAAAAATTTTTCCGTAGCCGCTTTCAGAAAACCGTTTCAGGATAATGCCTTGCATTTCTTGATCTAATTTGTGGCTCCACTTGTAACTATCATCATTATCAGCCAGCACTTCCTGTCGGGGTCTCACTGTTTTAGTGTGCAGTGATGGTCCAACAAGCGGTGAAAGATCCTCTTCATCACCCCTGTCACTTGTTTCACTATCAGAATCATCTTCCCCTGGATGGGTACGAAAAGTAACTGTGGAACGTACAGCAGCTTTATGAGATTTGGCGAGTCCTGTTTGGCAAATAACACTCCAGGCGGTTGGACCAGTCCAGTGAAATGCCAGGCAAAAACGTACTTCGTCTCCTTGATTTGGCATAAAAGGCTGAGCATTGACGGGAACAAACGACACGTTGATTCGTTTCTTAAGGCTTATAGTTCCTTTCCAGTCAGAGGATATCTCACTGACCACTCCTTCCCACTTAGTGATGCTCTTTTGAAACAAAGCTTTTTCTATTATTTCCTTGCCAGATCTGTTTGGATTCCGAGGAGTTGCTCCTTTTAAGTAATCTCTTACTAAATCCTCATGATACAGTAATGTGTCCAGCGAGTTGATTTGACGACCTTCTTTTGGATGAAGCCATTCAAGAGGAAGAGAAGGGTCCTGTGAGATTCCTTTGGACCTTGGCAATCTTCTTTTATGCTGCAACTCTGTAACACATTCATTTGCTGTCTTCATTTTCTCTGTATCGTTGGGGTCGTTTAGCGCCTCTAAAATTGCCACAACGTAGCTTAAAAGTAAATATACAGTGAAAGAAATGTTAAGAGTTATGCAAGTGAAGTACATAATCACCGGTGATCCAAATGCTGAGTTCGAAACTGTAACTACCATTGATATATTGAGATTATTTCAACAATACTAGCATTAATGGGCAAAACGGTATGCCTGGTTTAAATAAAAAATAATCGTCTCGATTGTCTTAATTATTCCCAGAACTTTTACATTGATCGACACGACGCTGACAAGTCCATATATAATCGCCTCGATCTCTTGAATAGGTCACAGTTGCGCAATGTTACCACTTATTTGCTGTTTTGTCAAGGATCAAAAGGATGAAAAGGAAGAATATTTCCTAGAAAGCGCAAAGTTTATGCTCGTCAAATTATTTTAGAGAGGAAAGAGCTCTGCCGTTTCTCTCACTTCCCGCGTACTTGCAGCTTTATTTTTCCATGGCTTAGCAAGCAAAGGTCTCTTTCTTTTAGTGTACCGTCCTCCCTGTTAAAGGAGTTCCCAATTTTGTTTAGTCATGACTTTGATCGTCCAAATATACCTCTGGGTTTTATCAAGGCATTTACTACTGCGGCTCGGATCGTCCGCATCGTATCAGAGGTGTTTCCCTGTGAATTTCTCAATAGTTTGAACACATTGTGCGACGACTCGGGCAATTGACAAGATTGGGACGATTATATAGAAACCAGGCTTAAGGCTGTCAATTTCCTTAAATTTCTTTTGGTTTATAAAGAGGCGAAGTGCACACTTCTAGAAGCATTCCCAACTGAGCTTTGATAGCTTGCTTTAACAGTTATTGGACTACGCTGAGTATGATATGAAGAATTATGAACACCGAGGAGTGGGTATCCGCCAATGCTGAGACGGATACCCCTCTCCGAGACCTAATATCGTACGGAAGCCGAATAATTTAATAATAATAAATAACAATTATTCACCTCAGTGTCGGGGCACCGAGCCGTGAAGTATATACTAACACAGTGAGAGCTGGTGGTGAATCGGTGAATGGCACTGGATATCCTGACATTGAGTAGCCAATCAGAGCGTGCGATAAACACTATCCATTGTTTTAGTATATGCTACTAATTATAGTAATTATTATTATTATTATTATTATTATTATTATTATTATTATTGATGTTACTGTTGCTGATGCTACTACAGAGCTGACGTTACAAGTCTTGTCGTAGAAAATCAAATGTAAAATGTTGCCTGTTAATCAGCACTTACTTGTAAAACAGAGCACTTGGTGACTTTCTACTGGTCTTCTTTAACCACCTGTCGATATGTTTCCGGACCGCCTTTAGCTTAGGAACCGTCGATCCCAGCCTCACGTACCTTATCCACATTTTCATGGGCTCTTCGTCGAAACCTGTTTTATATAACAGTTCTTCCAGACTTTTTATTCTTTCATCGGCTTCGAGAGGCTCAAGTTGTTTCTTTTCAATTTCCAAAGAATATACCAAGGACATGGTTTGTAGAACAACTACATCAACCCAGTCTTCGTCACTGGTTCCTTTCATCGTTTCCTTCAGATCTTCACAGACATCTTTGAGGTCATCCAGCTTACCCAAATTTTCCAACACCTCATCTTTCAAATTAGCACTAAACTCGTTGATTGGCACTACTTGAACGTTTGCAAAAAACTCTGTTACCAAAGACAGAATATATTTGTCTTCTAGAGTCAAGCAAGAAGTCATTTTTTCATTTGCTTTAAGTCGATTGAGAAAGGTTTTCAGAAAATCAACAAAATATGAGCCGCCAACTGACTTGATGGCTGCTAGCATGACAATCTTCCTGATGAGGGCGTCGGAGGAATAACCATGCTCCATTAGCGGCCTCTTTTCTTTAACAGTAACAAAGCACTGGCTGCCTTGAATGGCGTAACGAAGGATTTCATTGAGAGAGAAATTCACTTGATCTTTTAAGTTTTGAACATGAAGGCGCGTTATATCTCCGTGGATGTGATGAAGAAGTACGTCATCCTTGTTCTCCTTTACCGCTTCCTGAATGAGAGGTATCGCTTTGGCAAAATTTTCGTACACAGCCATGTAGTACTTTGCTAAGTGAGCCAAAAGATGGGCCCAGACACTGGAACCTCTCTCAAAAATTTCACTTAGGTCATGCAACATGTCACGCGCTACATCAGGGTCAATTTCCCTCATGGACCGCACAAATGGAGAAAACTTCTCGTCGCCGTACTCACTTGTGACGTACAATCGTCTGGTAATGCGATCAATTCTTTTACTGGGCCGTGGATCTGAAAGGGCACATCTGGCAAGTCGAAGGGCTACATCTTTCAAATAAATTGTATGCACCATTTCACGCTTCTGTGCTTGCTGCTTAAGTACCTCTTCTGCCACCTCAACAAAAGACATTCTTCTGGTGTTCTTGCCAGCTGAGGAAGGGGGGCTCAAAAGCTCTCTAACGTCGTCGTTGTTGAATATTCTTTCCAGTAAAACAACTTCCCTTTTGGCCATTCGAGCAAAGGCATTCACTGGAAACCAAAAGTCCGTGTACACGTGAGTAAGAGCGAGAAACTCTAAAATCTGGAGCTGCAGCTCATCGGTTACTTGAGCCAAGCGATACGCCACGTAGTTTTTCAGACCAGTAAACTTTCTGCCAAAAGCCGTCAAGCTCACAATTGCAAATTTTCGCAAAGACCGCTCTCTTGATACTTTTTCTTTCAGCCCTGTTAGCTTGGCCTTTTTCTCCTCCGAAATGTCTTTGATTTTGAGAAAATGATCCACTAACTGGACAGCTTCTTCTGAAGTTAGTTCACGGTTCAATTCTACCGTTTTGAAAGCAGCTGTCCCCACAAAATGTGGGATGGATTGCTTCTTCTTGCTTGGCGATTGTTGAATATATAAAAGATCAGATTCCACTATAAGTAACTTTAAGTTTAAATTTCGTCTTTCTGCTTCATTCTTAAAATCATTGAACTCTGGTAAGTAAGCCATTTCACTGTCAACAAATAGGATGACGGGGAGTCGAGTATAGTGGTTTATTTTCTCGATGCTAGTGGGCAAGCTTTCATGAAATTCAAGGAGTCGAGCACACACGTACTGTTTATGAAACTCGTATAAAAGTTGCAAGCATAACGTTGTAGCACCAGCTCCTCTCTCGGCTTTTAATATCGTGAAGCAAACATGTGATCTCTTGTCATTAAGAAGCGATTTCATTTCTTTCTTGACTTCTTTCATTTTCTCTCTTTCAATTGCAATTCCACTGGCCAGGCCGGTTTCGTCAATTTCAGACCCTGAATAAAACTTCACTCGTACCTTGTCCTCATCTTCTGGCTTTGACTTGAAAGCAGCTCCAGTATTTTGATACATGATTTTTAGATGACCTTGGATTGCTTGGCGAATCGTCTGAGGTAAAGTGTCGGGAATTGTTCGGTCGCCATCTGGAAAATACGTTTTTTTTGGAATTTGAAATGCATCCTCTGAACGGTAAGGCGGAGGAAGTTCATTCCCTACATGGCGAGCCATTTCAAAAGGTAAGGCAACAAAGATGTTCTCTCGTTTTACTCCAAATTCGGCTCTCTCGAGCGGTTCAACAAGTAATGACAACACTGCAGCTTCGGCTGAAGTGTTGCTGCAAACAAAAATTGCCTTTGTTGGTGGCCAACTGGAGAACAAGTGCTGCAAAAGAGTATCAACAGATTGCAGTAGCTTTTCTTGGCCATCATCCCACAAGCATACTACAACCAACTCGTTAGGGTTGATATGACTAATCAGCTGATCGATAAGTGTCCTCATTTTATGACCATGAGTCATCAACCATGACGCATGGCCCTCTTTGGAAAGAGTTTTGTCTACGTCTTCGTAGCCTCGAACCGCGCACCAACATACGCCATTTCTTGGATTCACATCTAGTCTTCGATCAAGAGGAGTGTTTACAAACAGATTTCGTTCAACTTGATGCAGATCATGCAAAGGTTTGAAGACATTAAAAAGATGTCCTTCCTGTTTTGGAGTCTGATCAAAATCAAGCACCAGCGCCCATTCGGGAACCACCAAACCATACAAATCACGTTCATGTTTTGGAAAGAAAAATGGAGAGCAAATCAAAACGTACGACGTATTTTCTTTCTCAAATCTGTTTGCAGCATTTAAAAGCTTGCTAGGATCATACTGATAATGTCTTTTAGCGAAACGGTCGAGAAGTTGAGTGGGCTTCATCTCAATCACAACCCCTTGTTGATCCAAGCAAAACGTACGAAAAGGACTTGTGAGATGAATAGGGTAAGGAGAGCGTCTCACGTGGAGGTGCACCACACATAAATCCTTTACTATGGCCTCGATTTCCTTCAGAGAAGAAACATGAATTTGGAAATAATTTGAAATTTTTCTTTCATTCTCCAACTCAGAGATAAAGTTCTCCACGTTCACTTTAGAAGCATCCTTCATCAAGAGACCAAAACCATTGTTTTCAAGACGCAGAACAGAAGAAAACTGGCCAATTTTTGATTTGGCGAAGTTGACGAACTTCTGAACATTTGAATTACTTTGAAAATTTATCTTGATAAACTGTTCCTCCTTTCCAACGTGTGTTTTTGGATATCTTAACAAATTCTTTCGCACGTCACATTTTACCTCCACAAACTTCATGAAAAACTGAGAGCTTTCAACCGGAGGCCAGAAATTGCAGATTATCTCACTGCTTCCACGCAAAACTTCTTCTCTGTCATTCTTTGGCATGACTATTCCCACTACATAACCGCACCTTGTCTGTCGATCCTCCTCTACTCCGAAAAGAATGTCACCCCATCCAGTGTCTGTGTTGATAAATGACGCCGAGTATTTTTTAACGTAATCTTTTAGGATAATTTTCGTTGGGTCGCCAAAAATTACTTTAAATTCTCTTTTTTCTGTTTCAAACTTTACTCTTTTAAACAAGTTGTAACTCTCTTCAGTTGCCTCATACGTAGACGCTTTGTTAACCTCTTTATTTATATCTGTGGGGGTTTTAATAGGGATGTTGCGACTTGCAAGTGACTCGAGGCGGCCGAATAAGTCGTCGCATGTCATCAATTTTGTTTCTGTGCCTTCGCGAATATAAGCATGCGTATGTTCTGGCTTTACATAGCTCAATATTGAAGTCCCCTTTGCCACATGGATACGAAATAAAACAGATATTTTATCCGTATCTTCAAAGACATCCGCGAAAGAAGGATCTTTACCTTGCAGATACATGGCAGCCACAAAATTTTTCTCCTTTTGGACAAACTCATGTGCTTCTTCGGCGGACTTACAAAAGCAAGTGCCTTCATTCACACTTGGCAATATTCCGCTCAAAACTCTGGCTAAGTTATCTCTCTTCTGTACTATTGTATCTCGTGACACTCGTGAGCCAACAACAGTTCCATCACTGTTCACACCAATAAAAATATCTCCACCCAGACTATTTTTAAGCGCCACGACATACTCTTTAATATTTTCTACCGGTACATCTGTAGGACAGAACAAAATTCCATAAGTGCTTTCCAAGGTATCCCCCTCAAAAATGGCCTCTTGAGTGGATCCTTCTGCTGGGAAAATGCCATATTCCACTGGCCATGGAATCGATAGCTGACGTAGATATGAGGGTTTCACTTTAACATCCTTTCTAAAAGCGGCATGGTGATTAGAATACACGACAATTTTAAATGGAAGTATTTGGAATCCTTTTTTCATCGACTTGAGACCTTTTTCAACTCGTTGTATTTCCCCCTTCACAAATAATTCCTCGCCAAGTTTCACATTCAGTATTGAAGAGATTACGTGTTTGGTCAGTGTCGTGGAATCAGGACAAGCTCTTATATCCACCTTTAGTTCAATGAAAGCTGATCCTTTAACAGGATCATTTCTTAGCAAACATGTACCCGCTCCTCCAGAGTTTTGCGGTCTAGATGAACAAATTCCTTTCACGGATATCACCTCACCATCATTTGGAAGCCGCAAAGAAAGTTCGTCGACAGTTAAGAAATCGTCATGTTTGCCCAGATTTTCAACCGTTCCAAACGGGCCTTCGGAAGCCTGGTCACTGAAAAAAAAGCAAACAAGAATGCAATCACGGCCACACCAATAATGGTCATCAGATGTTTCACTAGATGAGTGACGCTTATGACTTTTAAAACTCTCTGGTACACGTATAGGGAATTCCGCATTAAAGGTCATAGAAAAACTCAGATATCAAATGACATTGTTAGCAAACTTGAGTTCTCAGGAGCGCCTGTAGCCGACAGCAGGAGGGGTCTGGGGAGGTTGGCAAATATGATGTTACGGACTCCTTTTAAATAATGTTACATGGTCGACCGCGCGAGAGAGATGAGTGCAAAGCACCAAAAGGAAAACAACGATAGCGCGGCTGAGCAGTTTGCTATTTTACCTCTTTTAGCCAGTGGCTTGCCCGTGGTGATACCATACACCTCTAGCGCTAGCTCCCCGAAAAAGCTAAAAATTACTTTGCAGAAATTATACCTCTTCTGAGAATCGCTTGGGATGGACACTTCCTGACGCTGCTCGTCATTTGGAGACATACTCCTTGGGGAATCTTTCGGCGATGGGCCCGATTTTTCGGGCAGAGCGTCTACGACAGTCTTTGGCGCACATTCCGCATCTCCTAAACAAAACACTTTGTGGAATCAGTATGCTAAAGGGCCATGTTATCCTTGTAAATTAAACTTATCGGCAAATAATCCTAAAGATCCCAATGCAGTGTGCACGGATTAGCAGGACATGTATGATGTTAGATTCGCCCCGAAGATTTGCCCCTCATCCAACGATGGTGGATGAAATGGTCATGTCTCAGCGGAGGCCAAGCGTAACTTGGGTGGGAAAACACCTGCCATTCGTTTCTAGAAGTATGGTTTGTTTCCCCTTGCAACTGTGACCGTGCTTTCCGTCTGCAGTGACGTCTGCACGACTGTTGCTTGTGCTGACTTTTAAACTGCACCCTGCTTTTTGCATTGATTTTAGGATTGGGTGACCTTCCAACCCAAAGAATTGAAGATCTACCAATTATTAACAGCTTTTTGAAGCTTCGTGCAAGCGGACACAAAATTCCTGGCCAACAGGTGCCAAAACTGATGCTGTTACATGTTGCTTCCGTTTGCGCACCCGATTGCATGTTGTTGCGTGTTGTTGCACAAATTTGAAACCGCGGTTAAACCTTTGAGTCAACAATTCCCAGAATTTCTTTTGTTCCGTGATCGACAAAGCGTAGCTCAACAATGTTACTCTTCCAACATTGTAGGGCCACGCATTGGCATTTAACGCATGGTCCCCTTGAGTCACGTATATCACAGGATTACAACGTGTTATGGTTTCGTGTCCTTTCCATATATATTGCACTGCAAGTCTTAACATTGTTGGGAGTTGTTATGTAACACTATCCAACAACTCCCAAACGTCTCGGGTCTCCAATGTCAGCAGTTGTTTCGCCTGTTGGCAGGTTCCATTTTGTGCGCAAGCAAATCTAGTAGTACCTTTTCTGGGTGAGTTGGGAGGGCTTTTCTTAGCATCACTTCCACGTTCCCATGCCGATTGCTCAAGCATTTCTGTCCAAAGGTTGAAAAACAAATCGCCTTGTGCCGGACACCTTTCCAACCAGTCCTGTCGTTTCAGTTTCATGAGTCCAGCGCCTGAGAGTGTCGTCAGCTTCGAAACGTCCTCCTTTTCAATCTCAAACTGTTCACAAACGTTATATACCCACTTCACCACTTGTGCCTTTTTCCACTTTTTCGGAGCTACGTGCAAAATATAAGTGTAAAGAACATTAAAACATAAAAATTTTTTGGAGTTCCCAGATTATGCGTAGTTAAGCTTCGTGCTGCTAGACGATGCTTGCCGCACTAATTAAGACGACGCTGATTCGGGCCTGACTGATTTCGTTTAATTACGTTCGCTAACAAAGCGTTTGCTTACAATACGAACAGAAAAAAACCTAAAAGAAATCTTAGTACAAACACGATTGAAATATATCTGCTCCGTCAAAGTACGGATACTATAATCTACATTCGAATTGCACATTAGGTCCGGCAAAGCAGACTGCTTCCGGTTAATCAGCCGAGTTGTCCATGTAACCACCAGGCGCATTCAAAGGCAATTACACGTTTTTCCGGACCCTTAATACGAGGAAGTAGACAATTTGAAATAAACAAAACAAGGGGCATTTCAACCAAGATTTGGTGCTTCAAGTCCAGTTGAAGTCTTTTTGTCTACCAATCCAAATTCCCAAGGTTTACCTGGACAACGGGAGGGAAGAAGTTGGCTAAAACGTCCAAACGTCACCGTTTATTATGAAATACTGACGACATTTTAATGAGAGAATTTATGTCTTTTTCTTATTGGTTGTTCAACGGCAGAGTGTGCATCAGCGAGTTAAATCACGGAGTAGTTCTCCCTCTGAGAATCCCAGCTTGCAGGAGGCAAATCATCTAGCGGTTTTAAAACTGTAGCCTTGTATAGATGGTGACTTTGGCCCTATCTAGAAACGGTTTCAGCTAGATATTGACCGGTGATCATAGCGGCGCCATTTTAGTTGTATATCAGACTTAAAACTGCAAAAAATCAAACGGTTCAGTGTACCCATTTAACCTTTAATAAAGAAACCTCTACATTACGATTACGATAGCGTAAAAATACCTTCACCTTTTCTGTTTCTTTCTCCACTTTGATCTGCCGCATTTTTTTCTTTCTCCATTCCTTAAAGAGTAGGGATAAAATACAACTATAAAATTCTGGCCAAAACGTAGACTAAAAACAAATCCAAATTCAAACATAGATGCTATGAGAAAGCAAAATGCGTGAAGATTTACCTCCATACAAACTAAAATGGACATGGATGTTGCAATCTTGGGTTAACCCTTGTTCTTTGAGTGCACGTTCGTCCGAAATCTGTAAGTAAATAAATCAATAAATGAATAATGATTTAGAGGTAGCACATCCACGCAGTGGTTCTTCGTCTACCTGATTCCTGGTCGAACTGGAATTTGAAAATGATCGGTCTGAGGAGAGGGGAAACCCGGACTACTCAGAGAAAAACATCTCGGAGCTGAGAAGGATAAACCAACAACAAACTCAACCCACTTATGGCAAATAAACAAGTAGTATATCCATCATTTTCACATACGCCACAATCTTGTTTACCCCCTTAAATGTTGAGTAACCATTGTCTTTGTAATAGCCAAGAGAAATTGGAAACAATGGTTATGGAAAATACAGTTTTGAGAACTAAACAAGATGCATTATGGTCTATGTGAAAATAGTGAATACCAGGGAAAATTCCAATTCGACCAGGAATCAGGTAGACGAAGAACAACTTTGTGGATGTGCTACCTCCAATAAATCCCTATTTATTATTTATTTATTTACAAAAAGTGCTGCCTAATAATTAACCTTTAAACACTTCTAAAGCCGTGATCTTTCCAAAAAAACTAAAATGTCAAACTGATTCGCTCAGTTATTTGCGATCTCTGTTTTATATGCGTGCGTACCTTTCGCCCTCGATGCAGGAGCGTGAAGAAGGAAGGAAACGTTGGACACTTCTTCCGGATAGCTTCTTTTAAAATGCGACCTGGTTCATCCTGCCTAACCATCAAAACTAGTGGCATGTCTTCTTTAATGCCATACACAAACATCTGAAGAAAACCGTCCCTGTTGAATGAGTAAATGAATAGACGAATATGTTAAGCAAACGCAATTGAATCGGCGGATCGGGCCGATCAAGGAAGGTTAAAACCTTACCACTCTCACGATTTCGTTGATAGATTAACCCTTGTTTGGGCACTTGCGACTGAAAACATTTTTTAATTCGGGACTGATTAAGGGAAGGTGAGGAGAATTTCTAGGTACCCGGGAGGCTCCAGGACATTCCTGTTTATCTGTTACAAAATAAGACAATCAGTGCAGTCTGAATAGGTGTTCGGACCGGAGCGTAAGGGGATGAGTAGGAGCGAGGACTCGAATCCACTGAGACGGAAGGGGTTGATGACTGATGGGATGGGCCCCGAAGTCCAACCCCTCACCCTTTTATATACCATTTATGACGAAAAAGGTGCCCCTTTCGTATACCGGCCGATTATTGTTTTCAAGTCCGTACTGGTTACAATACCAGTGCTAAGCCAACAGGTCGCTTAAATAAATGTATTTTCATATTAAGCGGATAGATAAAGTTAACTTAACTAACATTTTACATATTAAACAAATTAGTTAGATCTAAAGTACCTATATATTTTCAGAAAGAGGACCCACCATTGGTAAGTTATACTTACAAAAAAAATATTTTTTGGAGTATATTTAATTATAATCAAACCTTCCGTAACATTAATTTCGATGATTAGTGAGACACAATGTACTTCTTCATAGTGTGACTGCGAATCTTCTACCTTTCGTTATGAGCCTCATGGCCATGTCATCACTGGTGACCTTTGCATCGTTCAGAACAGAAAAGTTAGACGTTTATTAGAGAAACGTCCAAAATATGGAGAACAGAATGCTATCGACAGGGACCTTAACAGAAAAATATTAACAAAAACAGTATAAGATGATTACACCAAAAATGGAGTTAACGAGAAGGCCACCGCGCGTCAACGTTAGAGAAATGGTCTGAAACGGTAAAACTGATCATCAAGAACAGAATCAACAGTTTGCAGCGTCATACCCTTCGGCTGTGCCATAAAATCGTAGAAGCAGACATGTCGTGGCGTACTTGAACTGGAGCTACAGAGTAAGTACGTATCAGTTCCTGCCGATAAGGCTGGCAACAACTTCATTTTCGTTTGCACGTATTTTTACATACGGACTCTAATGGAAGAACTTGGAATTACTTCTGGAAGTACCATTAATTCTACATATGAAGTTCAGGATGTCAGAGTTGATGAAATTATGTAGAACGATGCCACAGGCCTAAAGAACTCATTTAACATTACATTACAAGAGAAAGAACGAACTCCACAAATCTACTCAATCTACTGGATACCAAAACTTCACAAAACACCATATAAAGCAAGGTTTATCGCGGGCTCTAGCTCATGTACTACCACTAAGCTCTCTAAATTAATTACAGAGTGCCTTAAGCTAGTGAAACGCCACTGCACTGCTTACTGTAAAACAGTTCTGAAGAGGACTGGTGCTAACAACATTTGGATCATCAACAATTCGTTGGATGTCATTCGTGCGCTTGAAGAGAAACGACTTTCGATGAGGAAGGTAAGTACTTGGGATTTTTTTACTCTTTATACGAGCTTACCGCATGCTAAGTTAAAAATCAACTGCATGATCTACTAGAAAGAGTTTTTAACGCCAGCGGAAACAGCTTCATCGCCACCAGTAACTTTCACACTTTCTGGACGGATGATAGGAAGCCTACGAAGTACACTTTCTTCCCTTGCAAGGAACTTTGCTTTGCCATCGACTTTCTAATAGACAATATCTACGTCCGTTTCGGAAACTCAGTTCTCCGACAAGTGGTTGGTATACCGATGGGCACCAACAGCGCATCGTTATTGGCTGATATGTTCCTCCCCACTTACGAGTATGATTTCATGCTTACAACAAAACAGGATATGACGAAAGCCGTCTCGTTTGGTAATACCTTTCCTTATATAGACGATCTATTCAGCGTGAACAACGAAGGTTTTGGAGATTACATCAGTTATCTACCCGTCGGAACTGGGATTGAAGGAAACCATCATAAATAATAATAACTTGTTAACTGAATCACAATCTGAATCATAACTTTTTAACTGAATCACAATCTGGCTTCAGACCTATGTTTTCCACTGAAACAGCTTTACTTGAGGCTACGAATGAATGGCTATGGAATATTGACAACAGTCTTTTAAATGGTGTGATATTCCTGGACTTGAAAAAAGCTTTTGATACCATGGATCATGCTATCCTTCTGGGAAAGCTTAAACTCTATGGGGTCAGTTCTCAATCTCTTAACTGGTTCCAGTCCTATCTATCTGACCGAAAGCAACAAACATTCATTGACGGAGTACAATCTGATTTCTGTACTATAACATGTGGTATTCCACAGGGGTCTATTTTAGGCCCTCTCTTATTCACTATTTATATTAATGATCTCCCTTCATGTAATTTGTTTTCAAAACCCAGAATGTATGCAGATGATACTACCCTTACCACATCTGCAGAAGACCCATGTGTCCTTGAACATAAAATGAATTATGATATGAATTTAATCCAGTCATGGCTGTCAGCAAACAAATTAACTTTAAATGTTAAGAAGACTAAATACATGCTTATAGGGAGCCAATTCAAGTTATCCCAAATAAATAGTGACTTCACAGTCAAAGTCAATAATACACCCTTAGAAAGAGTAATTAAACATAAATCCCTTGTAGTTCAAATTGATGAATCTTTGAATTGGCGCCCACACATTCATACCATTTCAAAGAAAATATCCGCTGGTATTGCTATCTTAAGGCGTGTAAGTCATTTTATACCATTTGATACTAGAGTGAATATGTACAATGCACTGGTAATGCCATATTTTAATTACTGTGCTGCCGTATGGGGTAATATCAATAAGGGACTAGCAGACAAACTTCAAAAGCTGCAGAATAGGGCTGCTAGAATTCTCACCTTTTCTAACTATGACGTTCGCTCAAGTGTTTTGTTGGATGAGCTTGGCTGGGAAAGGCTAGAATATGTCAGACTTAAACAGTTGGCTGTGACAATGTATAAAATCCATAATAATCTTTCCCCATCGTATCTGAGGCGGATCTTTACCAACACCTCAAATATACATTCACACAATCTTAGAAATTCTGAGTTAAATTATTATGTCCCCAGACCCAGAACTGAGTCTGCAAAAGGGAGCCTACACTACAGAGGATCTGTTCTGTGGAACAAGATTCCCTCAGAGATCAGAAAACTGCCTAGTTTAAATGTTTTTAAAACTTCAATTCATTCGAAAGATTTTTCTAATACTCCATGACCCATTGTAACTCTTATTATTCATAATGTAAGTTTTTGTATTTTTAACATTATAGTCAATAGTTCCTTAGAGTATTTTAGTCTAGTTTTAAACACGATTCCTAGGAAGACCATGTAAAATGATACGATTTCGTGTATAAATAAAGATTGATGATGATGACCATGGCATCGAATTTTTTACATACATTTTAGGGCACTTTTTAGCGCCTGCTACGCAGGCTACACTTTTTCCCGAAAAAATAGAATCTCCACCATGTCCTCTATAAGCGCATTTGAAGTATAAGATATCAAAGAGGAAAACTTAACGTTATTAAAAGGCAAAAAATGTAATTCTTAAGTCTAAAAATAAACTGGTCCATGAAAACGCCGAAACACGAGCGCATGTAAGTTGCTCGCCCCGGGTTATGGGCTCCTGTTTTAGTAAAATCCAACTAGATGGTAAAAAATATCGAGACAAAACAACTTTAGCTAGCAAAATGCGATTCAGCCGCTATTGTTCTGGCTTTCAAAGCTGGCGCTTTTCGCTACTAGTGGGCTATAACATATAGCCTAGTAGTGGCCTAGTAGCCTAGTACACTGCTAGTAGCTCAACCAATCAGAACGCAGCATTAATAATAGACCACTAGTTGGATTTTACTAAATAGGGTTATCCCTCTCGCTGACGCTTACATCCAATTTCTTAAGTCTTTTTCTTAGACCCTGTTTACATGGAGCGGGGGACCCCGGTCTAGTGGGGTAAGTTTCTTTTGTTTTGTGTCCCCCAGAGCGTGAAAACAAAAGAAACCAACCCCACTAGACCGGGGTCCCCCACTCCATGTAAACAGGCCCTAGGATTTTCAAATTTTTGCCCAAGAAATTTCATGAAAGCCTAAGTGTCTTCAATTTTAAACTAAAAAGAGGCAGTAAGAAATATGTCAAGCGGGATCGAACCCGGCACGCTGGGTCCCCAATCCATCGCCCTATCCACTAGACCACGAAGGAACTGCCGCCTAGTAGAAGTTGATTTGATTATAGGGAGAACCCTAACAACAAATGAAAGCTAACCAAATCCGAATAAGTGATTAACCCTAATCAGTGCTTATAGCCTTAATCGGCACCATTTTCAGTGTTTAACCCTAATCACTACAGTCATTGCTTAGGTGCTTATAAACCCTAATCTACAGGGAACCCACGCTCTTATTTGTAAACTGCAACTGGAAATTAAATAAGAGATAAAACCTTGAATCTGCTACGGTGTGAAGTAAAATGGAAGTTGTTCTACGATGCGAAAACCACGTTCAAGTCGACGCTTTGACCGTTGCTGATTTCATAATACTTTAACGATGGTTTGTCTCGCGATTTCACTGTTGGTGTCACGCGGATGTTATTATCGTCTCGCGTTTCATTGTTGGTTATTAATTTATTGTTAGTAAATTAATAACCAACAATGAATAACAACCGCGTAACACCAACAGAAAAACGCGAGACAAACCACATGAAGCATTATGAAATCAACAACGGTCAAAGCGTCGACTTGAACATCGCCTTCACATCGTAAAACAACTCCCATTTCACTTCGCACCGCAGCAGATTCAAGAATAGAACAAAACAGGTAAGATTTCTTATCTCTTATTTAATTTCCATTTGCAGCTTACAAATAAGAGCTTGGGTTCCCTATGCCTAATCACAACAGTCATCACAGGGTGCAGAGGAGTTATTTGTGACCTTGATTGTTGATTGTAGTTAAAGTTTACGGTTGATACCACGCATTGCCTTTGCTTTTATACTGTGAATTAAACTAATCGAGCAAACCGTCATTCGATCAACTTTTAAACCTGGTATATGCTAGTAATAGTTGACACTACAGCTGCCCCCGCTCAGTATATTGTCGGTCAATAGTATTCTTGGTCGTTGTGTAGCTCTTTGAAATATACCGCTTCATAACAGACGAAGATTTTCACACATATTCCATACAATAGGTGAGATAAATACAGGAAACGCAAGGTTCCATGCACAGTTTCAGTTCGATTTACACAGCTTGATCAAAACATTCCAGGTTCCAGAATAGTTTATTCTAAACCATAAGAAAAGACTTAATTGGAAGTTGAATTTTTCGCTATTTCTCTTTCAGTTTTTACATTCAGTTCATTTTATTTGCCGGAAAGTAAGCCTTAGAAATTAAAAAGAGGTTTGATCAATTCACGCTCGCCCATTCTAGTCTTATTTTAAACTTTATAGCGGATGGACATCCGTGAGAAGGGAATAAGTCAGCACAGAATTTGATTGTCGGCGAATTTCTGTAATCGTCCATCGTTCTGCTAGTGATAAGCTAGCCGTTGTTCACTCGTCTTGCTTGTTTAGGGCTGAGTCTTTTTCCGGTCAAAGAGGGAGAAAGAGTGTCAGGCAAGGTTTCCAATCAAAGATTTGTAAACTCGTGTCTGTCAAACTCTCCAATTGTTTATATATACACAGTTATACACACATTATAACTTCATCTGCGCTTAACGGGTGTCTTTTGGTCCATAACTTTCAAAACAACTGCTCCACAGAATATCACTGATAACACGTAACGCAAAAGAGTATCGAAGTATGACTGCACAATAAATATCACAAAATCTACCTATTGTAAGCGGTCCCTTCGGGATTTTCTGTCTTTACGTCATCCTAACCATTTCGTACTTGCGAGCGCAAACAATAGAAAAAGCCGGGGGGGGGGGGCGGCAGGGCATGGGGTGGGGATTTGATTGTCTTTGTTGGCCCTGGGGTAGGGCATTTGACTGATCCTGTTCTCCCAGGGGAGGGGATATTTGAATCTTTCTTCGCCCGACGTCGAGATATTTGACTGCCGACTCGGACAAAAAAGACTGAGACCGAACATATGTTTCCCGCTTTCACGCTTCACGCATGCGCCGTACGGTTTGAAAAGATCAGGAAGTCATGGAGGCCAATGAGAACAAGCGAAGGCTGAGTGGATTTCACTGTTTTGTCTTTAAATTTCGTTTGTTTTAGCGTGTTAGTGATCAATTGAACCTCTTAAAATACTGTGGTATCAAAGTAAACGGAAGTAAAGAGAAACCAAGTCGATTTTTGCAAGTACAATTGATTAGTGTATGGCTTATTCGCTACATTCACTGTAAACTGATAAAACTGACTTTCTTTGTACCTTTTACTGTATATTTAAACTTACAAAAAGTGAACTTTCTCCTAAAGGTTTATGTATTCTACGCAGTGTAACACGGATTATGGTTAAAACGTATAATTGCAGCTGTAACATGAACGTGTATCTTTGGTGATGCAGCAACGTTTTTTTAAAAGATTGCAGAGTTTTATTTAGAGATATTTTTATTGTGCCCTTCTTAGGTTCTGCCTTTGGATTGACAGCAATGTGCAGCCCGGGGTGGGGAAATTTGGTTGCATTTGACTGGAATGATTTGCCCGTGGGCTGAGAATTTGATTGAAAATTTTTGAAAAAAGTCAAATCCCCACGGCCACCCTATGCCCTGCCTCCGCCCCCGCCGGAATTACATTGATAGGTGCATTACCTACCGATTCCTAGCGGCCCCTGTTCAAGCAAATCGAGATTTTTTTCTGGCATACTTACTGTATATTTCAACTGTAAGTACTTTCCTTAATATACGCGCGAGTTACTGGAGTACCTCCTCGGGATTTCGCCTTCTGGGCGAAATCCCCAAAATTCAGTTATACTCGTTCTACTCACCCTTTGTTGGCGAGAACGCGATCTCCCAAATATAATCAAAGCAAAAGAAAGACGAATCCCCGGGAGGCGAATACACCAAAACATCGTAAGCGTCTTTCGATGGTATAACATGTCACAAGGTGTCCAAAATTCAATCTCAGTCCCTCTCGATCGATGTGGTTATAATGCCGACCCTCTCGGAAATCTTCGCTTTCCAAATTCGTTGCCCTTCGGGCAACGTTCGTTTCCACCGAGCGCCAGGAAATATTTTATCAGGTTTGTAACACCAGTCGATTCTACAGTAAAGAGAGGCGTTGGATCGGCTGTAAAGTTTTCGCTTCGCTTGCCATCACATATAACCCCTCTGCTCCCTGCGGACCAACCACATACTCCCCCCTTGTCCCCCCAGAAGTTAATTTTTTCCAGGAAAGCAAACTCCACGGTTAACGTAGCCTGCAGTGCAGGCGTTTACTTTGAGCGCGCAATTTGCTCGCGAAAGCGCCATGTTGAAACTTCCCGAAGAGAGGAACGATTTCTACTCTCCCCAATCTTCCACTGTCATAAAATCAAAGATGGCGGCTACTACAATATTACGAATTGCAACAGGAACAAGGTTTCGCCCACCCAAAATACGCCTGAACTGCAGGCTACGGCACAGGCGGCCCAGACGTAGTATGTGTCACTGAATGAATATATTAATATCCACATGGACAAATTAATGCGATGAGTCGTCGAAACTCCCATGGACTAAAATAGTCTAAAAGTCAAAATATAACAAAACAAAGCTGAGATACCTTCAACTGAACGTATCCTTGTCTTTCCTGGCCGGTTTAAGTGGCATTTTGTTGAGTTTTGAAATTGTAGGTACTATCCACTAAAGAAGAATTAAAGGCTGGCTACAAAACAAACAGACCATCTCCAGGCGCCTTCACACGAAGCGCTATAAATTCGAGAATAATCGACGAATCCGCTCCAAATAACCATCGGCTAATCTGCAGGTAACGTGTGCTCCTGCTTCTGGCTCGCTTGCTCCACAAAACCCATCGCAACTGCACAATAATTGCTCGCTCATCAAAAACCACTGTTGACCTTTACGCTGCGATATGACCGCAAACGACCAGGTATAATACGCGACGTGAATATTCAAGCTTAGCGACCGCGTTCGCGCAACAATGCAGCACTTGCTATGGGAGGGATGGTACTATTGCTTCTAGGTCAATCGACTGACCGAAGGTTCGCTGCGTTAGCTTTGACCAGAAAACAAAAGGCGATCGCGGGATCGTCCGTAAGTTTTCAGCAGGGCAGCCCTGGTTTTCAAGTTCGAATTCTTCTAACGTTCCCTGTCTCAGCTGCTGCCACATTGTTCGTCCAGCCGCTTGCATAGGTTCTTGACTCTACCAGACTTATTTGCTTAGATTAACAACGTCTTACTCCATAATATGTTGTCCAAACTGGTGAAGGAGGACGAGAATTTTCCGCCCAGGAAAAAGGCAAAATCTGGCCCCCGCTAGGCAGCTGAATAGAAGATACAGCTGAAGATATCGTAAAGTAAAATTTATGTGCGCGATATCTTTTTTTATTATTTTTCTTATTCTCAAAATTCAGGGGCACTCAACGATGATTTCCCCCTAAATGAATTGAAAACACATTTAAGGCTGTCCAGAGTACTTTTGATCGAAAAATGCATTCTAAACAGCGCGTACATAAATTTAGTCAGGAGGGCTAAAAGCGAAGCTAATGATTTATAGTTTGCTCATACTAAATATAAAATATATCGTGTAATGCTAAGCGGAGAAGGCAACGAGACAGGGCCACGCAACGACTGTTTCCTCAAATACTTTCAATTGAAAACACTTTTGTAGCTATTCATAAAGTACTTTTAGCTCTATAGAAATGCATTCTAAGTGCGCTATAAAATTTGCATCTCAGTGTTCGGCCATTCTAGAGGAACTTGAGTCTTTTCGAAATTACGAGGAATTCAGAATTATTTTCCCGAAAATTTTAGATGCAATTTAACGTATTACGAAGGAGACGATTTTTCAGATACCTTCTTTCATCACATTTTTGAATCCGAAACTTTGTGAGTGAAATATGAAAAATTAAAAGTTGGATGCCCTTGACCAGAACTGTGAAAAACAACAATAGGTCTAATTGCAGCACACTTTCTTGTACATTTCCTTGCCGTTGATTTGCATGACTGCAACGTGAAACGTCGGGAAAACTTCCTGGTTTTCACTTTTTATGGAGAAAATCTGGTACATGTTCTTGTTCACTTTTTACACTGCCGCTCAATTTTTTTAGCTCCGCTATAAGATTCGTATCTTTTCGGTGCTCCTAGGGCAAATTGGATCTTTTTAAAAATTACAAGGGCTTCAATATTATTTTCCCGATTGATTGACCTAGAAGTAGCCTGTGTACAGCCGCCCCTTACCTCCGATTTTTTTGAGGTGAGGGGCGGCTGTACACAGGCTACCTAGAAGCAATAGTACCATCCCTCCCATAGCAAGTGCTGCATTGTTACGCGAACGCGGTCGCTAAGCTTGAATATTCACGTCGCGTATTATACCTGGTCGTTTGCGGTCATATCGAAGCGTAAAGGTCAACAGTGGTTATTGATGAGCGAGCAATTATTGTGCAGTTGCGATGGGTTTTGTGGAGCAAGCGAGCCAGAAGCAGGAGCACACGTTACCTGCAGATTAGCCGATGGTTATTTGGAGCGGATTCGTCGATTATTCTCGAATTTATAGCGCTTCGTGTGAAGGCGCCTGGAGATGGTCTGTTTGTTTTGTAGCCAGCCTTTAATTCTTCTTTAGTGGATAGTACCTACAATTTCAAAACTCAACAAAATGCCACTTAAACCGGCCAGGAAAGACAAGGATACGTTCAGTTGAAGGTATCTCAGCTTTGTTTTGTTATATTTTGACTTTTAGACTATTTTAGTCCATGGGAGTTTCGACGACTCATCGCATTAATTTGTCCATGTGGATATTAATATATTCATTCAGTGACACATACTACGTCTGGGCCGCCTGTGGCTACGGTTAACGTAACGGTACGTATTATTTTAATGGAGGGAGAAATTAAGGATGCAAAAATGAGCAGTTTCTCATCTGATTTCCAAACACTCATTAAACAATAATTTTCTTTGTATTTTCTTTATAAATTATGAATGAGGTTACATAGATAACAGGTCATGACTGGAAGAAAAGACTATACTATGTTGAAGACAGCTTTCAACTTACTTAAACATCTTTTGTGCAGGGCAATTAGCATAGGTCAATATAAACAGTATAAAGTTCTCCATCAGAGATCCAAAAAAGCCTTAACCAAGCATGGTCTCTTTTATTTAGAGGTTTACTTTCAGTGAGCACTCCCTCTCATATGGGAGTCACTCGACCCCCCCCCGCTTCGTTTCTTTAGGGCCTTAGTAACATAAGATGGCAGGGTTTTACTTACACCAATGGGGTCTTTTTTCTTGACACAAATGCACCAGTACCTGGATTTAAATTGTAGGCCTTTCCCTTCAAAACAATAAAAGTGCTGTTAGCATTGTTATTTCACTGTATTTAATTTCTTTATAGCCCCCAAAACTGTTGGAGGTATCAGCTAGGATGTATGGAACAATTTTAAAAAGGTCAAATTTGGGTTAGTTCATTTAAATAGACCAGAGAATACTCATGATAAGAATATCATTGAGTTTGCCCCTTAAAGTCAATCAGCCCCTTACAAGTTCGCCCCTGTATAATGGCTATTTTTCTGAGTTCACTAATGCTGACCATGCTGTGGTATAACTTCAACTTCCTGTTAATTTAGGCATTTACTCAAAACATACCTGTGAATTGGCTTGAATTATTGAAGGAAATCTCCCTTAGTTGTCGGTTTGGAAATTTTTATGGCAGGTTGGTGGAAATTCAGTGTTTTCTCAAAATCTAAGACCTTAAAGACCTTCAGGGAAGAAAACTGCTTGAATTACAGCATCTTGATCCTTACATTACTTGCTTAAGTTGCTTTTTTTGATCAAAGAGTGAAGTATAGAGACAAACTGGGTCAATTTAAGCCTTTTTTGAAAAACTGAATTCTACCATATACACCAAGCACTCAAAACGTTGGCTTAATAGTGTGTGAAGTAGTCATCAAAGCAACTGGTACAATGTGAGTATGGTGCTTAAAATCATAATGGTTGGTGGATTGGAGTGTTATTCTGAACATTTTAAGCTGGGCTAGAACTATTTACGAGGCTAATTCACTGTGAGCTACTAGCTAGATTCTTGATTTCTCATGGGGCGAATTTAAGTTAGGGGTTCTCACTATAGGGCGAAACCAGTCAAGTTATACAATGATAATAGCTATAAGGCATACATATAAAAAAGGTGTTTTTAGGCAAGTGTATACTATTGAAATCTGAATGTGAATTTCTACGAGTGCAAAATAAAAATATCTAAGTTACTATATAAATATAAATGTTGTCTTGTCTTACTGAATAAGTTGAAAGTTTTCACCTTTAATTGGAGTAGGGGTGATGTACTATTCACCCCATAGGAAATGAGCAGATCTGTTTTTAGTCTGCTGCAAGTTGTGTTAAGCTTGAAATCTTCAGACTTTATGCTTTGACTATGAATTATTTTTAGATATTTATATTAGATGTTATCACTTAATTCAATTTAGTGCTTTTAATATCATTAAGTTCAATGTGCATAAAATTACTTTAAAATGAAAATTGTCTATTTTACCTTAAGTTTTCCCTTCTGCTTGCCAGGCCAAAAGACTTTCTCCAACTTGTTCCTTAGCTTTTTATCTTTGTGTAAAATTTCACTTAAGGAAACTGCCGAATAATGATAAAAAATTAAATAGCAGCTCAACATATAACTGGCTATAATACAAAACCAAAGTTAAACCACTGAAATGCTTGAGAGAATTTGCATAGAGTTTAAAGAATACCAATTTAAACTGCACACAAACCAAACAGAGTTTCATTAGGATAATTTGGTACATGACACCGTATACCTCAAAGTTACTGCAACACTATAAAAACTACATGAACTCCTTTAAACATATTCAATGTCATTTCATAAGAAAAATATTCATAGCCTCCCCACAAAGAGGTTTTTTTGGTTTGAACCCCCCCTCCTCCTCCCACCACCCCAAACCTTCAGGAAATGCTACTTAATTTTCATATACTTTCCTTGCAATTTGGTCTTCAAGCCCCCTTCCCCTCCAAATTTCCAGTGAACCTCTTCAGGTGCCAAGTATGGTTCTTTTTCTTGAAATTTATCAGGCAGGTATTAATTGTTCCTTTTGGTCACTGAATGCTAGCTAAAATACAGGGAAGAGTAAGAGCCTCAGTTGTAGAACAAAAAATAAATGGAGGAGAGTTCACCTTGAATTTGGCTTGGAAGAACATCTACATTAGATCCAACTTGACCAAGAAGGTATTCAATTACTGATGTGTTGTTTTTATACCACTCTTGAAGCTCCTGTAAATATAAGCAAGCATAAGAGATAATTTTAAATTAATTTTGTATGCCAACTCTGTGTGAATTTTTAATTGTAGGACTGAACACAAAAAAAACTTAAAATAGAGGCATATTAATTGTTATTGCCATGATATTTAATATGATTAATTCCATGTTTTTTTGGGGGTATTTTTTTCCCTCTATGTTATATCCCTAGCATCTAAATTAAGCCCTTAATCTAAAGGTCCCCTCAATAGAGAGGGGAAGTCATCGTGTCTTGTTGTCATGGTAACAAAATTTTTGGATGAAAACAAACCAAAAATTCAGTCAAAAAGAGAATTCACACTGTTTCAAGCTTCATCGATCTTATTTAGCTTATTCAATTTCATTTAATTTGTCAAAAGTTGGCAAAATTTTCTGGGGTTAAATCCGAAAGGACCATATCTAAGTTAAAGAAAAAACAAAATGAAAATTGTTGTTTTGTGTTTACCTACTCTATGAAGCGGGCACATGAAATTAGGAAGTTTCATGTTGCAGTCATGCAATGACGGCTATAATGCGAGGTGCACGTGCAAAGTTGTTGTTTTGTTAATATAAACCCAAGGATTTTTTGCTGTTCTTGATGCTGTTGCCGGCGCCATCATTGTTGCTTAAAGCTCCCTATTGTTGTGATCCAAACATTTTGTTGCCATATGGTAAGGTGATGTACATCACACTTCTCCTCTCTATTCAAGTCTAGTCCTGAAAATACGACCCCCCTGCCCATCCCTGTTAAGCTCCCACTCCCATCAGAGTATTTTACCAATAACAGTGGAAAGATGTTTTACGTGTGATTTTTTTGCATCAGAATGGCAGATTTTATTTTTTAATTGTGTATATTACAAACGCATTAAATCCAATAACACACTGTTGAATCGCATTTGTTTTTTAAACAAATTATTTGTATGAGCTTGTTTCTGCAGATCTTAATGCCAATAGCAGACAAAAACTATAATAATATTATTAGTATAGGTAATAGCATGATTTGTAGTGATATTTGGCATAAATACCATGAGTGATATTTCGAAATTGTTATACGTAATGAAATTTGAGACAATTTTGAAATATCACTAGTGGTATTTATGCCAAATATCACGTACAAATCATGCTATTATTTGTTTATACTACCTGCAAAAGGTTTGTAATTTTCACATGTGGGTATTTCAAATTAAGCTGAAATACCACTGCTCTAAGTCAATCAAATTGCAGAAATTTCTCATGTAGTAGTATAAATACAATAATAGAACAAGTAAACTGAAAAATTTCAACCTCCCTGGCCTGACCAACTGTGCTAAATATTTAATCAAGTAATTAAAACTGATGTTTTTACCAGACACAGAGTTGCACCACAAAACTCCTCTCCATTGCAACATGTCATTTGTGACATTAAATCCAACAAGTGTCCATGGTTTTTCACACACCGAGCAAGGTTATTGCACTTTGTAATAAAAATTAGAGTAATATCAGAGGTAATAAATTTATCACGTGATTTAATACATCTACAACTTAAAATAAGCTTTAATCTTTATACCATTTAACTTATCAAAAGCAACACATAACAAGTAGTAAATATAAAAAGAATGTTATTTCTTAGTGGTGGGTTTTTGATCCGAGTTGCAGTCATTTGTATTTAGGGACAATACCATACTAGAATAACTCGGCTGGTGAAATATTAATGAGTGCAAGCTAGCAAGCAATGTCAAGTGAAACCTGTTAAATCCATAAATGTACAACCAGATATCAAACCCTTAGCTGGGAAATACTCCCTTTTTCCTCAGAGCTTAATTACATAATTAAGATAGATATTTTTAGGGGGTCATCTTACATGAGGATTCAGTTCCTCCCTGATGGCAGCCTTTTTGTATTGATTATTACTAATAAAGTTGTTATAAATAAATAATAAATAAATAAATAATGCAAAATATAAGAGCCGTTTAAGATGTAATGTTTGAATGTACTGTCCCTCGCAGCAAGGGAGTCCAGCGGATGGGGAAATGTCACTAACAGCAGCGTGGTTGATAATTAAGTAACATAGCCTGAGTAGTGCCAGTATAACAAAATAAAAATGCTTCAATGAAATAATGTTATTTAGTATTAAGTCTGCCGGAGCTCATATCAAGAAAACGAAGAAGGCAACCTCAACAATCTTTATACCTTGTCTTGGTAGTTCTCCTCCAAAACTGCTTCTCGGATCTTGTCCGAACGTGATCTTCTCAAGGGTTTCAACTTTCTACAAAACACTTCGCCTGAAAAACCAACAAGACGCTGGGCTGGCACGAGGTGTTTACTCTTCTCTCTGAAAGTTACAATGCAATCGTCAGTTGCTTCGTCAAAAACAGTTATTAACAAGCGTTTATTTTAAGTGACATTGATTGCACTTGACAGTGAAAAAGAAGCCGGTTGCTTAATAAACAAGCCATTGATGGAGATCATCAGAAGGGGCAAAAAAATTCAGTTCATCAACCCACACGAAAATTGAAAGTATTAAGACTCAATCGTTATAGGGTTCTCTTACCTTTTATTGTGATAATTGTGATAAATTTTCGGCGAGGGTGGGAGAAACTGAATGACTGGAATAATAAATTGTGACAATGATTGAACTTTTGAAATTTCTCAAAGAATACTTCCGGACACAAAAAACCTGCGTACTACATATCAATTTAGTCTAGACATAAGTTTGAACGTTTCCATGAAAAGTGATAAATGTATTATCGACTTTTTAAAGAAGGCTTGCGCGCTGTAAAGAGTATATTTCACGCTCGTGTTACAACTCTCGCTTAATTATTGTGACGATGATAAAGTCATTTTTTATACCTTGTCAATTTCCACGCAATTCCGTTTATACCCTTTTGGTTTCATGGCCTACGTAATCATATAAACTGAAGATATTTGTCGCAGGCAACTCAGATGAATCTCTGAGAAAACACCTTACCGAATTTTTCAAGACAAAGATAGTTTATTCTGTCTTTTGATTGTCTAAATGCATGGCGTGATTATGGCGCAGATTGTCGACTTATTCACACGATTTTTCAAAATGAATTAAAATATATGTTGACATTAGTCTAGACATAAGTTTGAACGTTTCCATGAAAAGTTTATTATCGACCTTTTGGTATATTTCACGCTCGTGCAACTCTCGCTTAATTAACGATGATAAAGTCATTTTTTGTACCTTGTCAATTTCCACGCAATTCCGTTTATACCCTTTTGGTTTCATGGCCTACGTAATCATATAAACTGAAGATATTTGTCGCAGGCAACTCAGATGAATCTCTGAGAAAACACCTTACCGAATTTTTCAAGACATAGATAGTTTATTCTGTCTTTTGATTGTCTAAATGCATGGCGTGATTATGGCGCAGATTGTCGACTTATTCACACGATTTTTCAAAATGAATTAAAATATATGTTGACATCTCTATTAAGAATGCAAGCATACCTTTGTCTTCCTAACCTTTTCCCCATAGTTAACACTGCGCGTAGCCGCGTAGCCACGTAGCCGTAACTTTGTTGTTATGTTGTTTTGTGAAAACAATTCCCTTTCTCCTTAGTTATTCCATTCTACGCTTGGCTCTTGGATATAAAGCGAAAGCTGAAACGCGGAAGTGTGGCTAGGTTCCGGGGGGTACTCCCTTATAAGGGCTTAATGGAGACGTGCGGTCAGCCAGGGTATGTTTTCGGGATTTTTGTCTTAATCAGGGTATCGATTTTATCATTTTTTCTCTGAAACAGGGTATCGATTTTATCAATTTTTGCCTTAAACGGGGTATCTTTTCTTGGACGATAAACAGCCTGCGTGTAGGTTTTTGTACATTATGCTAGCATTTTTACGAGCATTTTAGTGAGGCAAAAGCATTGAGCATTATTCGAGCATTTTAGTGGAATTTTCCCCGCAAAATTAATTTTTCCGAGAAAATAAAGTAGAAATTAACTTTTTTCAGGAGCCCATGCCCCATGAGCTCCCGCTTTTTTAAACAAACTGAAGTCTAAAATTCAAAATTCACAAAAAACCTAATACAGCTGGGTTTTTTGGCTGTATTTATGAACTTGTACACGTTGTCGTTGTTACTTGCAACACTTGCACGTTTTTGTAAGTGTAAACTTTGAAATTAATTAAAAAAACCGTTTGTATAATGAGCATTATCCGAGCATTTTAGTGACTTTTTCGGGGAGACCGAGCATTTTAGTGGGAAAAATGGAGCATTAAGGTGGAGCATTTTAGTAGGGAAGCAAAAGCATAATGTACAAAAGTCTACCTGCGTGACTGTTGATCAAGCTGTAGATAGTTAGATATTTGTTTTTGCCCAATATTTCGGCAAGGCAAAACTAACTTTCACCCGAACAGACGAGAGAAATCTTGTATTTTGTATTGTTATAGTAACCGCGCTACATATACACGTTTCCTTCTATTGCATTTCTCTACCAATCACACCTTCTGTTATTTTTGTATCGTTTTAAATAACTGAACGATTTATTCTACGTTTTTACTTAGCTTTTCAATCCCCCGATGAAAGCTAGTTTTCATGTTTTAGTTATGCCATATCGAAATTTTCGGCAAATAATATCTCCATTTGCACACCTTCTCGAGGGTGGCAATTTAACCTGTTCCAGGTGTTCAGATAGTGGGGAGCGGTGCGAAGTAAAGAAGGAGATGAAAAGTAGAGGGGGGACTGGGGAGAGCGGTGAGGTGTGAGTGTATTGTTCCCTCTCTCATCTCTCCCCCTCCCTCGTTTTTTTTTTTTTCGCGCTCCCTTTTACTTCGAACCGGCCGCTCCCCACTATCTGAACGCCAGGAACAGGCTAGTGGCAATTTTGCCGTAGACGAAATCAATGACTCCAGTGGATGGATCTCAAAAGAACAAAGAAAAAATGATTTGGATTAGTATAAAAGAACAATATCGACGAATTAACACAAATTGATCCTCAAGGTTGTTGTTAATTCTCTGACAATTCTTCATCATTCAACTTCTCTTCTGTTTGCAAAATGAACAGGTGCTGTCTCCTTCAGTTACTGCCTGGACAGCTAGATGTTTGCAAGACCTTCGTCTTATTTTTTCCTGACCTGACACAATCTACCGTAAAATTCCGAAAATAAGCCTGCAGGGCTTATATTTTTCATAGGCCCTTTTAAGGGGCTTATTTTTGGAGGGGCTTATGTACGGACGGAAATTTGCTTTTCAATCGATTGGCTTAGCTTATAGTTGGAGGGAAATTTGCCGTTTTGGCTTTGTTTTACTTTGTGTTTGAGGGCAATTTCGAAGTACAAGCCCCCATGGGCCTTAAATTCCGAGGGGCGATTTCACGGAAGGTCCTTTGTGTCACGAGTTTGGGGGGCTTATATCTGGAGGGCCTTATTTTCGGAATTTTATGGTGTGTCTCTATTAAATGCAAAAAAGGAACTCTTGCAGCTCCTCACTAGCTGTTGCTGTGAAGACTGCACTGAAGTCTTATTCTTCACCTTTGCTCCCTTCCCTGAACCTGCATTTGCTCTCTTTGTTGAAAACAAATTACTTATGATATCGAGGTATGGGTATCGTTTTTTTCGAAGTATTTTATTCGGTGCCAGTCTGTTTGATCCGAGGCAATTGAGATTCCGGCTACAGAATCTGGAACATCAGAGTTCTTAGGTTTCCCTTTTTTGATTTCATCCTTACATTTCTGCGGTTCTTCTCTCGCCTTTTCAAGTTCGATTTTTTTTTTTTTTTCAGCAGCCATTTAAAATGAAAGTACAATGACGCTACCATATGACCTTTAATAATATTCATAAACCCCATCTATTTTAAACGCTGACGCCTGCTGTGCAATTAAGCATCCTTGGTTTGGATAGGCTATACCGGATAACATGGAAAATGAGACAAAAAGATTTTAGTGTTATTTTGACAAAAATATTGAAATAAAGGTTACCGCAAGTGTGATTGGTTCTTCTCAGATATACCACTGTTTGAGTTTTGGTATTATTTAGTCTGTTTTTTCTTGTTAATAATTATTTTCATATGTTTAATTATAAATTACTTAAAAGAATTATTCACATGCATAGCCATCAGCTTTTTTTGCAGGAACTCTCAGTCGCATTTAGCTTTATTTTCGCAAGTTTGATTTATTTCTCATTTTTCTCTCTAGTAATTTGCCATTCTAATCTAGTGTGATTTTAGTCATTGCTTGCAAATTAGGCTTCGAATTCGTTGATATGAAATGAACCTTCAGACCTAAGTACGGTACAAAGAACTTAATAATTTAGAAGCTTATTTAGTATTCTAGAACAATATCCTTCCATAACATTTTTATATGTTAGTTAACTGTATTTCGCACCATCGAAGAACTGTCTTGGGTAACTTATTCTGTAAAATTAAATTTATTTTTGTTTTTTCTTTCATATTTGTTGATTCTTTGGTTTTTTTCTTTCTTTTTTGGGGGTTGATAATTTTTTGTCCGTGTTTTTGTTACTATTTGGCGCTCTTCCGGTTGTATGCATGTTACCCTGGTAACGAGAGGTCTTTTTCTCAGGCGAGGCCATAAATGGGAGACGTCTGCACGCAGCTGCTTTGTACCCAGGCGCATTAATTCTAGGGGATTCGTAATCGAGAGCGAATGGAGCTATTTTGGTTCTGCACAAGGGATTAGGCCTGTTGATCTGAGGTATATATAATATAAACGTCGATTAAAAGCTTTATTTTTCGTTCTTGACAATAATTGCCAACATCGGTCAAGAAAAATAGCTTGAAACTTTGAAAGAGTTGCTCCCTGTTAACCGAAAGGGAGGGGTAGGTAGGCAGTTTTATAAAAACTCATGATAATGATCCAAAATTGTTCCGAAAGGCAAAACTTGCTCGAGGTTGCCAAGACCGCAAAAACGTGCTCCAAACGCCAAAAGTTGCTCAAACGATCGGGATAGGCCTACAAGGGATCATGGGAATTGCGAAGACAAACACGCAGTTTTCATTTTTCTCGCCTATCCTTCCCAGCGTCTTTTGGGCCAATACTTTAAGGCTCCCATTTGCAAGGATACTCTAAGTAATATATAGTTAGGTCCATTATGCGATTCGCTCGCAGGCGCGTTTTCTATCAAACTTTGAGACGCCCAGGACAAGGCAGTGTATACAGACCATGGTGTCCGACAGATCTACTTGAACTTGGAAGACGGAATCCACCAAAAAATTGAGTGGTTTTAATTTTCAGCGGTCAAAACCTTGTTCCAGAATAATTTATACCATATCACATTCTTTTTTACACCTTTCAAGGACTATAGATATAATAAGTTATCTGCAAAAACACCAAAGAAAATTTCTTATGGGAGCCTGAGAAAATAAATTTCAAATATCACAAGAATTATGAAATCACAGGTAATATTTCATGTGTAACTCAAAAAAGATAATTAAAAAAAAAAACAAAAATATTGAATAGCTTACTATTAATTAACTAATTAATTGATTGATTAATTAATTATTAAGGCCTGTTTCTAAGTCACTTGTGAAACTTGAGCACATTTTTTAATGATCAAAGTGAAAGGCATCTAACAGCTTTCTAAGAGGAATGAAGAAATTAATGGGATAAATTAACCGCATAGGAAAACTAGAAATACCTAAACTACCTGATCACGGGATTGGCTTTATTTTTTGAACCGCTGGAGCCAAAGATAACCACCAATTTCTACATAAAAGGTTCAGTTTCGCTGTGTCAAAACATTGAGCCTAAAAAGTGTCAAATCAGCGGATCGAATCATCTAGAAACATATTTGCAATGCATTCGGCTATGTTTGACTCAGTAGTGCCACTCCTCTTCAAATAATTTTTTTGAACGGGAAAAACTATTTAAAAAACTACTTTAAATGTTTTCGTATCATTAAGGCTGAACAAGAACACTATAAATAGCCATTGTTTGGATCTACAGAAGGTAAAATTTTTTGCTCTTGATCTCCATCCGATGGGGATTTCTAGTCTAAGAATTTTGTTCAATAAAATCAGGGCTTAGCTAGCTTTACCAGTTGTAAAATACTAGGTCTCAATCTACTTGAGAGAGTTAAGAACTTGAACGAGGTTTTAACCACTGTTTAATTAAACTCTCGGGGGGCCGGGGAGACTCTGTTCTTTAAAATAACCTGCCCAATGGATTGCGATTATCCCGGGAAAAATGCTTTCCAGAAAAAAAACAAAAAGACCTTGAGTTACATGAACGGAAAGGACAGTGATGTTTTCGGAAATTGTTCACGTTTTATTTTCTGTTTATTTTACATTTTCATTTTTTTTTTCCAAAAAGCATAATGGCAATTCACGTGACGTCACGCTGCCTCATATTCTACATTGATCAGCTCCTACACTCCCTAGCCTCCCACGCAGTTCGTCACGCCGTTAGTGGGGCAGGAACGCGTGACGAACGCCTAAGAACGTCTGCGTGGGAGGCTAGTTCCTGCCAGTTTCCTTCTCGGTTGGCTGGTGACATCTTTCTTCAATTTTGAGAAGATAGAATTTTATTTCGTATGAATGAAATAACCCCTTTGTAAACGACTCAAGAGTTTCGGGAGGAATGCGTGACAAAGCACCGTCTGAATACTCCGTACCCCAGTCCCCGTTTCGACTCACCTTGCTAGTCCCAGGCCTAATATGCGCTTCGGACTTTGATAACCCTTCCGGGAAAGAGACAAACTGAAGAGATTTGTTCAGTCTATCGTTTCCCTGAACAGGTAAAGGATTAAAGCGGAATGGGAAACGCTTCTTCTGTACAAGACATAAAACTTGGGGATAAAATTGGCGATGGTGCGTATGGAGAGGTTTTTAAAGCTGTGTGGAGTGGAAAGCAAGTCGCTGCCAAACGAATTCGCGCGGTATTCTTCGAAGGCGATTACGACGGAAGCATCAGAGCAGCGTTCTTGGAGAAGTTTAAATCAGAATGGGAGCTTCTCAGCAGTCTTAAACACCCTAATATTGTACAGTATTACACAGTGATCCTACCTCCTACCCCAGAGACACCGATCATCGTCACCGAGCTGTTATCATGCGACTTGGCCAAACACATTCGGGATTCGCAAAGCAAACCGAAAGTGTCTTTCTCGGAAGTGGTGAAAATTATGTTGGACGTTGCCGAAGCTCTGCAGTATCTTCATTCACAAAAGCCTCCGATCGTCCATCGCGATTTGGCAAGCAAGAATGTTTTGCTAACAAAGTCGCTACACGCAAAGATCGCTGATTTGGGTTTGGCGAAGGTTTTCCCTCACGGTGCTATGTATGCCACAGCCATGCCGGGTACCCCGGTCTATGCCGCCCCAGAAACTTATCCCAAGAAAATGGGAAGAACACAGAAAGGAAATAAAGCAATCTACACGGAGAAAATCGACATATTCTCCTTCGGCGCTCTTATGTTGGAGACGATTATTGGTCATCTACCTGAACGCATTCTACCCGATCCGGTTCTTGAAGGTCAGTATTTTGTTAATAGATTTGTCATCAGACATGCATTTAATTTAGATTTCAATTGTCGTAGTGATCGATTACTATACAAGTAACGTAATTATAGGCGAAATATAGGTTTGACTGCTTCTGTTTTGTTACGCATTTGATATGCTTAACGCTGTGGTCCCTCTACTCAATCACAAAGTCCTTCAGTTCGTAGTCGTGCGGTTGTTTTACGGCTCACTTAACGACCTTAACGTAATAAAGTTCGCTTCCCATACTTTAGGATTACTTAAAAAAATACAAGTCTGGGTGGTCTTCCCAGCCGTTTCTTAGTGGAAGGTGAAAAGTGTTCCGAGAAAAAATGTCACACAAAAAAAGGTCACGTAATTCACCACCTTTAAAAGTAAAACTACTGGCTTCTGGCTCAGTGATCGACCTTTTCATGGATGCTCAATCCAGACACCTCAGTTGCTGAAAGCATTTATAATTTTAGATCGCCTCTGTTTGCCTTTGCTGACTTCCCTTAGTATCTTGCTATCTTTCCTAAAAAATGAGCTTTTTTCATTATTTGACTTATTTAGCCTGGTGTCTCGTGCATGACGCAGCACTTGACATGGCGGCGTTTTCCTACCGTCGAGCTCCATCACTTAAGTAAGATTCTAAGAAATCGGTAGAGAAGGTTCATCCAGGAAATCCATAATATTCACTCATCACAAAAGAGTCTAACCCAAATAAGGGAATCCGGATTCTGGAATCCTTGAAATTTTTCTTTGTGGAATCTGTCATCCCGGGCTTTGGACTCGGGAATACAGCTCAGGGAATCCGGAATCCCACTAGCGAACGGAATCTAGAATCCTAGTCCCACTGACAAAGACTGGATTCCAGTACCAGGGATCCGGTACCCTGGGTGCCAGATTAAGGTGCCAGAGACTTTTCTAGCGCGGTTTCCGGTTTCGGTCAAGTCTTTATAGTGACCCGAGTTTTTTCTCGCGGCTTCGGCCTACGGCCGAAGATGTGTCAGCCTTCGGCCAACACCGAAAATTCCCGCCCCTCGCGAGAAAAACCTCTGGTACCCAGGGCAGGGATCTGGAATCCACGGAGTGGAATCCAGAATCCAAGATGGTCTTGGATTCCCTAACATTAGGCGAACTGAACGTTTTCCGATGCAAAAGGTGCAATGAACCAGTGATTTGACTTGGTCTGATTTGATTCGATGAGACTCCATCTCCATCATCCAGGACGTATGGAGTAACCTCTATCAACCTGGGCACATCAGAGTGAAGGGGAAGGTGGTTTTGGGCTAGCTTAGGGAGCTAATATTATTACCCATACAGATATCACTTAAAGTAGTGAGTAAAAAAATAGTTTATGCAGGAAAAACAAACTGTTATGTTGTGTTGGAGAGAGTTTTCAATTTTAACATATTTACCTAATTGTAATCACTATAAGAGCTCTTTTAAGAAGTACTGAAATAGGCAAAAAAATTGTTCCCGGGAATTGGTTACCTGTTTCAGTATCTGTTACTACTTTGGATCAAATAAATCTTGAGCCAGGCCATTTGTCCAAACCCGTATATTTCACCTGTTCACACGGGGGTTACACCACATCCGGGTCGCCTCCGCACACCTGTAATGACACAAATAGATGCTGTTCCTCTCAAAGTGTGATGCGTTTCTTTTTGTGTAGATGGAGAGATTGTTCCAGAGTACATTCGCCGAAGCGAGGACCTGGAGGAGATGGGACCGGATCACCCACTACATAATCTCGTATGCCAGTGCTTTGAAAACATCCCTGAGAAAAGACCCAGTGCTACTGAAATCATTAACACCCTTATGAAATTTACCAAAGAAATAAAAGGAAAACTTCCTAGAAAGGCCACTGGGGAAAGAGTTGGGGCTATGTCAAATATCCAGTACGACCACAAGTTTAAGGTTCTGGTTTTAGGCGAATCCGGCGTTGGCAAGACGTCCATAGTGGCTCGATTCCTTGATGCTCATAGTTCGTTTCCTGACAACCCTTTTCCAAGCACCTTGGAATCTGAGGATCACTTCGAGCGTCTGCGATTTCGCGACAAGTCAGTACATCTTCACTTGGTCGATGTTGGAGGGAACAGGTTCAGCCCAGCAGCCAACTTTGCCCCGCAGATCTTCCGCAAGGTCCGGGGTGTGGTCATTGTTTTTGATCTCACCTCACAAGTGTCTTTCTTGGAAGTTTCCACGTGGCTGGAAACCGTGAAGAAAGCCTGCCATGTGGGAATACCCGTGGTACTGGTTGGAAACAAGAATGACGACTTGGACAGGTGGGTTGATGGGCGGACGGTGGAGAACTTTGTCCTGAAAGAGAAATTGTTTTACATTGAGGCCAGTGCAAAAACTCGAGAGAACATTGACGAAATCTTTTCTGTTCTTATTGGTTTAATGATTGAGAATGAAAATCAGCTGGAATCTTCTGATGGAAGCACGCTTCTTGACTCTCTGCGGAGAACATTACCTGAGGGCGAAAGAATCGAGCAGAGCTTAATTGCTGAAAGACAGAGAAGCCCTCGGCACGAAGTTCTTGATCCTGGGGTTATAGTGTTGGAGGACACGAATGCTTCCGATAGCAAAACCGGAAACAATAGTGCAGGTGAAAAAGCTGAAGATGACGGTATCAAAAGCAAGAAACGACACTGGTGTTGCTTAGTAAACTAAGAATTTCACCCTTGAAGATAAGTGTGATAGATTTTACATACAGTTCAGCGGATACAGGGGGGGGGGGGTCTTGGTGGCTCCGAACACCCTTCCTTAAATTTATCCCATGAAACCAGAGAACTCCATTACTTACTTAACGACTTAACGTCGAAATGTTTGATAACTGAAATTGTTGCCGGTGAAGGATCATATTATAAGGACCAATGCAAGTGAAATTTCAAACAAAATTTTGCATAACCGACCAAGAAGTGTGGAAATAATCACTTTATGTTATTGAATAGTATTCTCAAGTGTGTACCTCTTTTTGGGTTCTGTCCGTACAATAAACGGTATCCCTATTCTTCTCGATTAAAAGAAACAGAGAGAAATGTAGTTAAAGTGAAGAGGAAATTAAGGACTGGACTGGTTATAAACCTTGCTTTGATTGTCATTTGTCCTTTGCACGGCATTTTACCTCTTAGTGTAGTATAAAACAGCTCAGTGTTATTTACTGTGGCTTATATAAGACTGTCAAGAAATTATATATCGTATGCATTGTTCTAAATATGTAGTAAAACTTAGAACACCAGTTTTGTGGCCGTCTTTTTACGATTACTTCAATACCGAGGGTTATGTTGAGTGAATGTAATGGGTTTAGGTCGTTGTTAGGATCTGAGGTGGGGGTCAGGGGTGGGGATTTTACTGTTTCGTTTATTGGAAAGACTCTTATGGCTGTCGAATCAGCAAGAGATCTAGGAGTATACATAGATTTACACCTGACCTATGACACTCATATCTCTTACTTAGTCTCTTCTTGCTTGACTAAACTGGTTCAGATCAACCGCGTGAAATATTGTTTTGATAGAAAGACTTTGGTTTTAATTATTCCATCTCTTGTCTTTAGCAAAATGCTCTACTGTTCGACCGTGTGGTCTAATACCTCATCTAAGAACATCCAAAAGCTGCAACTTATTCAGAATTTCGCCTGCAAAATTATCTGCGGCGCTCGGAAATATGACCACGTGACGCCATTACTTGACGAACTCAACTGGCTTCCAGTTAGCAAGATGCTCAAGATGCTAAGTTTAAAAAACGATCTTCTGTACATAATCGCACAACCCGTAATAATGAGAAGTTCGAAATCCCATTATTCAGGTCAGCCACTGGCCAACGTACCTTCGCCTATAGAGCAGTATCCCTGTGGAACACGTTAGACGGAGACCTTAGTAACGCTACAACTGTAAAGGCCTTTAAGAAAGCCTTGAAACTTGTAATGAATGAATGATCGAATGACAGTTAGCATTTAACAATTATTAGCTTGTTAGATATAGCTTGCATTTATATTTGTAAATAGGTACTGAAAACCTTTTTTGGGGGAGTATTTATTAAAGTTTTCATTTTAATTTTAATGGGCCTAAGCAGAGACCTGGGGGTGAGTTGGTTTGTTTTTGAATCAATGTTCTCTTTATGATTGTTTTTTTTCTGCTTGGAGATTTAATTTTGTTACTGAAAACTACCCTTCTTACCATCCATACCTTAAACTTTTGCATATAAGCCCTGGGCTATACAACTTCGTAAGGCGTTTTAGGAGGGCTTATGAACCCGGAAAGGTGGCTTATAACTGCACTAAAAAAGTGTTGCAAACAGAAGCTACGTTACAGTGCTGATTAAAATACTTTTTGAATTTACTCTATTTTTAAGCTCCAAAACGCCGTAAAAATCGATTCCATTTCAATACTAGCTAGGAGGGGGCTTATACCCAGATTTATTTGTTTTTTTTTTACAGGAGGACCCCCTGGTTTACAGAGGTGGATCTATAACTGAGAAGCTTACAAGTGTGTGTGTGGGGTGGGGGTGGGGGGTGCTATAAGCGGAAGTTTATGGTATTTGGTTAAGGTCTCGGTAAATGAAAATTTTAGTACATTGCTCGATTTTGTTTTTTTTTTTAATTTTTGGCATGAGTGGGTCCTAAATTTTATTTTGGCAGAAAAAGAAAATCAGAAAGTGCTTTTTAGCCCTTCTAAAATGAGCCTTTTCTGAGCTAACCAGCCAAGCGTGGACCTCGCGCTAAATCTTTAGAGCTGATTTTCTCTCACTCTATTTTAGGCGCAAAAATCAAAATTCTCCGACCTCCAGTCGGGACAGGCGCTGTGTAAGTCACCCCGAATTAAAAAATAATGTATTTTTCTGATGCCCGAGTTTGTTTCCGGAAAATTCCCAGTTGTTATTGTCGTTTTTTTTTTCGCTAGAACTTCTGAAATAACCAATACCCTCTCCCCCCCCTGCTCAAAAAAAGTCAATGATATTCACGCGCTACAAGAATTTTAGTCAGTGTAGCTGGTATTAAAGCAAAAACACAAAGACGTTTATTTTACAGCAAGTACATTGGTGTTCTGTACATGCAGCCTAATTTTAATGACCTTCGAGTACTGTCACACTTTCGTTCGCTTGATTTGATGCAGAATTCAAAAATGTGACTAAAACTTTGAGAATACAGGAAATATTTTGCTTTTATCTGTCAACAAAATGAGTTGACTTACGGGATACCTGAATACAGGAAATATAAAACTTGTCAGTATCAAAACAGCATGATAGCGGCTTTTGTAATTTACTTTGGTGAAACAAAGAAAAGTTTGCGGGGGAGGGATTTTTTTTCCTTTGAAATTTCTTTATATTTTAGTAAATATTTCTCATTACATTTGTTTATTTTTATTTTACTTCGTTCGCCCCTCATAACTTTTAAGCTTAAGCTAGACTGCGAGCAGTCTCTCTTTTTCTTCAGATTTAGTGAGAGCAATGCACGCGCGCGGGAGCGGCGAAGCCGCGAGACGCGCGAAACGCGGGCGGCCTCTCCCGTCTCGCGCCATCAGTCACGCGCGTGGCCATTTGCGTGTCTCGCGTTTGCTCGACGGACTACAGAAAAAAGAGAGACTGCTCGTAGTCTAAGCTTAAGCCGGTTTGTGTTCGTTACTTCTGTCAGTCAACAACATTATAGCGGTGTATTTTACACAGGCTAAGTCTTCCCCCCCGTGATTGCATTTATTTACCAGGCGTTGGTTGCCGCCAGAAACCCATAAGGGGTTGAAACGTGTAACTCGCGTTCAATGCTCGAGAGTATTCATTTTGACCATATTTGGAAACCTTAGTGACGGAGTCCATTTTCAACAAAATGGCTGCTGCGCGATCACCATGCAGATGTTTTAAGACAAGAGTTCTTCATTTCACGGTTTAAAATACACCGTTAAAAGACAAAAAATGGAAAGAGAAAGTTCAAAAGAATGCTCAGCTTTCTTTTTGTGGAGAAAGGGAAGCTTTTTATCAAGAAATCGTCCTTCGAGGGATTCAACCTTGTTTTCTTCACGGCGGAGCCCATGAACTGTTTTGAAATGCAACCAAGTCAGCGAAGTTTTTGCTGAATTTTCAGGTACATTTTGTACTCTATGGCCAAGACAATTACGTTTTTGAAAGGGAATTTATGTATTTTTAAATGTTTCATAGACGTTTTATAAATTTTTCTCTTCGGCGCTAAAGAAAAATTACAAAATGTGCCCTGATTTGAGATGGATTTTGTATTGAATTTTGCCATGTGCTTAGCTGATTTCACTTCACTGACTTGCGTGAACGGATCCACGATCCAGAGAGTGTTTTCCGAATTGCTTTAGAGGATTAACTTTTCGTTGAATAAAAATTTTCAAGAAACGGCTTCTCTGTCTATTGTTTTGAGTTTGTTCCTCTCCCCTCCCTCAAAACACGATTGTGACTACAACATCTAAGTTTAATTTAAGCTTTTAAAATGCTTCCCACATTCATTACAAGCATCACTTTTTGCGAAGATGTCAGGTTCAGGTTTTGGACACTTTTCGATGCGCAGCTAATGAATTTCATTCGAAAATACTTTTCACTGTTTATTCTAGACTTTTAGCATAGGAATTTTAAAAGCCTATTTGCCGTATAAGTTTACTGTGCAGAGGGTCAACGAGGCATCGTTTTTTGAAGAGACAACTTCAAGAAGTTGCGAGGTCGTCAAAGTGTTTCATAATGTTATGTTTGGCCCGGGTGGTAAGGCAATAATATCCTGTTCAGTGTTTTGGTAATATTCCTGGTTTCAACCTTTGAAAGCTTTCTCGACTTTCGGGAGTTTTTCCCCCAGTTTGTCGGCCATTTTTTTAAGCGGGCGCGGGAACCTGAAGGAAAATTACGTCTCGTTGTTTACGAAGTTTGATTGGTCAGTTATCTCTTCTTCTCGTTCCAAATATGGTACTTTCTAAAATGAATAATCACGAGCATCGGACAAAGCAAACATATGAGAGTTACACGTTTCAACCCCTTATGAGTTTCTGTTACCGCTCAATAGTGTCCGTTATGTTCTTCTTTGCACTGCACTACACTGTTAGTACTTTATTTAAAAAAGTACACAACAATAGTAAGAACACGTGTACAACAAAAAAATTTTGAGTGAGTCAAAGTATGAAGAGATAACCTACAATACATACAGAATAAGAGGTGAAAATCAAAGCTTCAGCTGAATACCTCTTCACCGGGCTAACTGTCTTTTGCGCTTCACCTCGATGAACGCGAAAATCTAACTCTCGCAAGAGACGGGGCGATGGGAAACGAAACATTTTATTGGGATGGCCTAATCATTCGCAGGCGACTTAACACCGGGGACTTATTAAACACAAGCGAAATGGGTTCACAAGCCGGATGACATCTAAGTGACAATCTTCATCTTTATTAACCAATCACAAAGCTCGCTACCCTCGCTCCCTGCGAAAGGCATCTAGCCAATAAGAACACACCTTACGAGAGCTGCTACACAACTGCTTACATGTGTAACGGTGAGGGGAGCCTCTCAGGCCTTCGTCACCTTATTCTCCCTCGCAGCCGTTTTCTGGCGACCGTTGCGTGACATCCCAAAAACGGCTGCGAGGGAGACTATCGTCACGTGGGAACGGAACGCCTAACGCAGAGCCAGGAGAGAAACGTTTTTACTGCCCACCCCTTCCCCCTTCTCCGCCCCAGAAACGTATCCCAAGAAAATAGGAAGAATACCTAAACGAGATCAAGCAATCTACACGGAGAAAATCGACATATTCTCCTTTGGCGCTCTTATGTTGGAGACGATTATTGGTCATCTACCTGAACGCAATTTACCTGATCCGGTTCTTGAAGGTTAGTATTTGTTAGTAGACTGTCGACTGATAAAACTATCCGAAATGCATCGTATTGATCGTTTAGAAGTAACGTAATTATAGACGAAATATAGGTTTGCCTACTTTTGTTTGGTTACGCACTAAACGCTCTGGTCTCTCCACTGTCACAAAATTAAAGTTCGTAGTCGTGCGGTTGTGTTTTACCTCACTTAACGTAAGCTCGCTTCCCCTATCTTAGGATTACTAAAAAAATCCATCCAGTATTAGTGACTAAAAGAGATCGACTTGTAGCCTGCGTAGCAAGCGTTTCCGTGCGGTTTAGGAGCAAACACGAGGAACGAGAGTTGATGGCGGGAAAAATGGCGTAAGTAAAAGCGGGGAGGGGGTGGGAAAGAAAGGAAGGAAACCTTCCTTCCTTCCTTCCCCTCCCCCTCCCCCCACTTTCATTTTTTGGCTCTTGTTTCATTTCTCGCGCGGCCAAAACCGAGAATCCCGTTCCTCGTTCTTTCTTTGCTCCGAAACCAAACGGAAACGCTTGCTAGCCAGACTTGCACCAAGTCGATTAGCCTGCGTGGTCTTCCCAGCGGTTTTTTTAGTGCAAAGCGAAAAAAATGTCACACAAAAAAGAGTCACGCAATTCACCACCCCTAAAACTGCTGGCATCTGGCTTTCATGAATGCTCAACCAAGACACCTCAGTTGTTTATATTTTAGATGGCCTCCGTTGCCTTTGCTGACTTCCTTTAGTATCTTGCTATCTTTCCTAAGGACCTGCAAAAAAAATTGTCCCTTTCCATTATTTGACTTATTTGGCCTGGTGTCTCTTATATGAGGCAGTACCATCGAGTTGCACCATGTAAGAAATCCGTTGAGAAGGTCCATAATATTCACTCATACACAAAAGAGTCATTAATATACCTATATCTATCAGTGTATCTCTATGATCAAGGAAATCTACCTGGCCCATGGCCATCAGGACTGAATCACCCCAAATAAGGGAATCTGGATTCCGGAATCCTTGAAATTTTTGCTTTTGGAATCTGTCATCCCGGGCTTTGCACTCGGAAATACAGCTCAGGAAATCCGGAATCCCGCTAAGGAATGGAATCTAGAATCCAAGTCCCACTGACAAAGACTGGAATCCAGTACCAGGAATCCGGAATCCATGGAGTGGAATCCAGAATCCAAGATGGTCTTGGATTCCCTAACATTGGGCAAACTGAACATTTTCAACGCAAAAGGTGCAATGAACCAGTGATTTGTCTTGGTCTGATTTGATTCGATTAGACTCCATCTCTATCATCCAGTATGTATTGAGTAACCTCTGTCAACCTGGGTACATCACAGTGAAGGTGAAGGTGATTTTGGGCTAGCTTAGGGAGCTAATAGTGAACTTAAGCAAAGACGTTTTTGAGCGACGCACGTCAACCGGAAGTGGTCTTTTTTCATTTTTGGACAGTGGCTTTGCCCATCTTTTAGGACAACACGTCTCTATAATAGTTAAGACACTTAGAAATACAAATTTGGGAGCGTAAAGGTGCTTTAAAATGAGAACGACCTCACTTCCGGTTGACGTGCGTCGCTCAAAAACGCCTTTGCTTAAGCTCCCTAATATCTTCACCCATACAGATATCACTTAAAGTACTGTGTAAAAAACAGTTTATGCAGGAAAAACAAACTGTTATGCTGTGTTGGAGACAGTTTTCAATTTTAACATAATTTGCCTAATTTTAATCTCTAGAGCTCAGGAATTGGTTGCCTGTTTCTGTATTAATTTTGTCACTATTGGGGAACAAATTAAGCTTGAGCCAGGCCATTTGGCCAAACCCGTATCTTTCACCTGTTCACACGGGGGTTACACCACGTCCGGGTCGCTTCTGCGCACCTGTAATAATATAAAATTAATAGATGCTGTTCCTCTCAAAATGGGATGCGTTTCTTTTTGTGTATATAGATGGAACGGAAACATAAGTAAGGAAGTTGACGACGGACTTTGGCAAAAAGGATAAAAAGAGACAGAATGAATGTCCTTCAAACTTCTCACCTTTGGAAAATTCAAACTATCAGGAGGTCGAGCTGAGACGGTCGAACGAGGCACAGCTCGTCGATAAAATGGAAAGCTATTTTACCACCATGTATATAGTTTATTTTATCATAATATTTTTGAGACTCGAACAGTTTTCCCTCTTTTTAGCCTGAATTTTATCACATTACCTCGAGTCGTTTAATATTACTTCCTCAGTAGCTGAGAGGAGAAAACGACTCGAAGCAATCGGATGAAATTCAGGGTACCCTCTTTTTCGTTTCAAAAGTAGACTGCTTTCAGTTTGCCTTTTCTCTTAAAATCCGTCTAGTTCTTATCTCATCCAGCGCCATTGCAAACAGTAAGGGATTGAGACGCCCTCGTTTCTCGCGGCTCGGCTCGCGGCTTTGCCGCTCGCGTGCTTAGGTTTCGCGTGCAGTAAATAAGAGACTGCCCACCCAGCTAGTTTCGATGTTGTCATGCCGACATCGAATAAAGCTAAAATTGCTTCATAATATTCATTAAAAATTTGGTGCATTACCTGGGTTATGGGCTCCTGGCGTTACTACTAGTACTAGTACTATTTCTACGTTTTCCGGGAAAGCATGCCCCCAACCCTCCCCCAGCTAGTTGTTGACTCAACCTCTCTCGCGCGGTCCAGTGAGTAAATTCTTGCATCAACATCTGACATCTGACGTATGATTCTGAGGGGAGCATGGCAGCCGACAGGTAAAACACCCTGACAAATCAAAAGTCGCAGAGTAAATGGGAAATACTTCATCTAAAGACGAATTGAATCTCAGCAACGAAATTGGTAGAGGAACGTATGCTATTGTCTACC